ATTAAAAGGTAATTGAATTGTTGAATTGTTAGTTTGACTATCTAAACCCTAGCTAGCTTTTCTGACCGTTGTATTATTCTCCGGTAAATTTTGTGATTTTGAAGGAGAGAAAATGTCGGCCGATTTGACGCTGAGATCTTCGTGCAGCGGATGTGGATCGACGTCGGAATTATACGGAAGCAATTGCAAACACATGACTCTGTGCCTGTCCTGTGGCAAAACCATGGCTGAGAACCGCGCCAAATGCTTTGAATGTGGCGCCATCGTCACTCGCTTAATTCGAGTTCGCTCTCTCTCTCTCTCTCTCTCTCTCTCTCTCTCTCTCTCTCTCTCTCTCTCTCTTTCTTTGTTATATACATATATTATATCTATATTCTGGAGAAAAATAGAGTACTGATTTATGTATTTTTCGGCTGTTCCTGAAATAGGAGTATAATGTTCGTGCAAGTACTGTAAACGACAAGAACTACTTCATTGGTAGATTTGTGACTGGGTTGCCAAGTTTTTCGAAGAAGAAAAATGCTGAAAATAAGTGGTCTCTTCACAAGGAAGGACTACAAGGACGCCAACTTTCTGATAACTTGCGGGTAATTCAATTCAATTTTTTTCATTCCCTTTGTAACAGAATTTTGGTGTGTGCATTGCACTTCAAATACTCCAAGTTCTTGTGTTTTTTCTTTTCTATTAATTATGTTCCGCTTGAACTTAAGACAGTTGTGAGATGTTTGATGAACGGACATTGATGCAGTTTGTAGGGTTCAGTGTATTCTTTGGGTTTATCACTTGTTCTTATTACATTAAATTTCGTTTACGTAGGAGAAGTACAAGAACAAACCTTGGGTATTGGAGGATGAAACTGGCCAGTCTCAGTACCAGGGTCATCTTGAAGGTGCACAAACTGCAACATACTACCTACTAATGAGGCAAGGAAAGGAGTTTTCTGCTATTCCTGCTGGTTCTTGGTATGCCTGCTTGGCCTTTCTGTTAGAGCTATTTTCAGTTTGTGGTTACTCATTCATCACTATTAACCGTTAGTATATGCAGTAAGATCTAAGTGCTACCCGTAGTACATATTACCTAAAGTTCTGAATAATAGTGAAGGAAGGCAAATAATAAATGGGATTGATAGCCCTGTATGAATTGTCCTCCAATTTTTTTATATATACCAAAATCAACAAATAACTACAGTAAGCATAGAATGAAATAGGTTAGGTAATAAATGTTCTTAGATCAATATAAGTGAAAATTAAAATGTGACAAGACTACAAAGAGCAATTAGGCAATGTCAAATGATCATAATCTATACAAAAACTTAATAGTGACAATCCTGGAAAAAGGGGAACATTTTTAGATCATCATTACTGCAAGTGTATTCATATTTGGGTCTGCAGGAGAGTTGCAATTGATTGTCGTCCATTTGTATATGTTTCACAAACAGTAGTTGAATCAATTATTAGCCCATCGGATCACTTGTTTATTAATTAAATTGAGTGTAGAGTTAATCATTAATTAAACTAATAGTCTTAACATGAATACATAGAAGAGCTTTTCATAATTACCAATTATGGTTGCAATTGTTTTGTCCGTCTACATATCAAAATAAGGTTGTTTTGATAATATCTCTTAGGTTCAACTTCAACAAGGTTGCACAATACAAGCAACTTACATTGGAGGAAGCCGAAGAGAAAATTAAGAATAGGAAGAAGACCGCAGATGGATATGAAAGATGGATGATGAAAGCTGCAAATAATGGAGCTGCTGCATTTGGTGAGGTGGAGAGGTTTGACAAGGATAATGGTGTGACCAGTGGGAAGGGACGGAAAAAAGCTGGTGATGATGATGATGGTGAAGGAAATGTCTCAGATAAAGGTGAGGAAGATGAGGAAGAAGAGTTAGCCAGGAAAAATAGACTGAACAAAAAAGGTGGTGATGATGATGATGATGATGGTGCAAGGGGAGCTGATGCTGACTTGGACGATGATGATGTCGAGAAGGGTAGGCAGTTATTCTATTCTCTATTTTGCTTTATAAACAGTAAATCATGAGCACGATTTCCTTTCTTCCTTGCTAACCTCAATAGCTGATACCCAATACCATTGGGGTGATATGAACACAGTCATCTTTCTTCCTTGCTAACCTCTCAATCATCAATACCCAATACAATTATTTATCTCCACAAAGTTTCAGAAGAATGAAATTCACGATGGACCTACTTGCCATGGCAAGATGATGCATGTTTAGGCATAATGGGGGCATCCTTTTTACAGTCTCTTTTTATGTATCTCGTGAAAATTAATGGTCATTAGCCATCTCTTTCGTAAAGTACTTCATTACTTAATAGGTTGGGCTTTACTTGTTAGTTCTATGTTTGGTCATCCACTGGGGAAGCCATATCAATTGGCTTCCTTTTGTTTCATGCGATGTGAGGTGCTTTTATGTCTAGCACTTGCATTTTTTTTCTTAACGTGCATGAAAATAGGTTCTCAGAGGGGGTTCTTACATTGCAGCGAGCTTGACCATATCCTGTGCTATCTCTGTTAAATGAAATTTAAGTCTTGTCTTGATGTCTTCTTTTCGTAAACATGAAAGGGGAACTTGATGAAGTCCATTATAACCATGTCTGCATTTATTTAAAATTGTCCCCCCCTTTGTTGTAGGTGATGATTGGGAGCATGAAGAAATTTTCACCGATGATGATGAAGCTGTTGGCAATAATCCTGAGGAAAGGGAAGATTTGGAACTTGAGGTTCCAGCTCCTCCAGAAATTAAGCAGGTTTGCTGCACACATGTCCCGTAATTGCTTTGTTTGGGGTTCTACATTATGTGTTATGTTGCACTGTGCTCTTCAAGTATATCTTCTGCTAGAAAATACTGATATTTCAAGATATAATGCTTGATGATTTCCATTTTCTGGTGCAACTTATTTATGCTGTTTTCACAATGTATGTCAATTTTATACTGGTCCAAGTTCTTTGTAAGTTGTGGCTCTTTGTCCATTTTCTTTCACAGGATGATGAGGACGAGGAGGAAGATGACAAGGAGGGTGGACTGAGCAAATCTGGAAAAGAGTTGAAGAAGCTACTTGGGCGAACTGGTGGGCTGGATGATTCAGATGCAGAGGATGACGACGATGACGATGACGATGTAGGTTATTTATTTATTTATCTTTGGGATACTCAATCTTAGTATGTTACTTGAACAACTCAAAGGCTATACTGCCTGCGTCACTTAGTCAGAACTGCGTCCGTTATATGATTATAATTTTGTCCTGCACTGCATGCATTCTGAAAAGTGATGGGGCATTTATGTTGAAGATACCAATTTGTTTTATGCATTGACTTAGACTTTTTGAAGAATGGTGTTGTACTGTTAAAGTGCATCATAGCTCTTTGTCCACTGATCGGCATTTCCTTTCTGCTTTTTCCAGATGGATGATGATATTGGCTTTCCTCAAGCAGCGGCACCAAAGCAAAAGGATGCACCCAAAGAGGAACCATCTGACAACAGTCCCTCAAAACCAGTGCCTTCTGGGTCTGCTCGAGGAACTCCATCTACTGCCAAGTCCGCAAAGGGAAAGAGAAAATTAAGTGCTGATGATGCTAAGACATCTAACAGTGCACCTCCCAAGAAGGTGAAAAGTGAAAATGTATGATTGTTACTAACTTTGTTTTTTTATCACCTTTGAAACTCCCCATGCTTACTGGTGATGGTATTCATGTAACCAAAATTAGGAACAAAAAGTTTCCATCAAAGAGGAGCCTGCATCTGCTTCTAAAAGTAGTACACCTTCAAAAGGTACTCCATCAGTAAAAGTGGAGCCAACATCATCAAGTGGACCCGTCACTGAGGAAGAAATCAGGACTGTTTTGGTGCAAAGAACACCAGTCACCACACAAGATCTTGTTGCTAGATTTAAGGCAAGACTCAGATTGCCAGAGGTATGATCTATCATGTGTTTATACTACTGTTTGACTCATTTTCCTGGCTTTTACCTCTTCTGTATAACCTTTGCTGAAAATAACATGTGTGACTGCTGCTGTAGTGTCCATTCAAGCAGACTCTTTATGTGAACGTTAATTGTTTGGTTATATTAGTGACCTTGGATATAGAATGAGTTTTGCGTTTGTTTGCAGTATGATACAATCTTTATATGTTTACTCAAAACAAAGAATGATCGGATGTAAGATGGTCCTAAAGAAACACTATGGAAGTTATAAAATGTTCACTCAAAACGAAGAATGATTGGAGGAAAGATGGTCCTAAAGAGATACATTATGGAGAGTTTTAAATGTGTTGCTTCTTTTCGCCCAGATACAAATACTGAAATTGATTGTATTCATGTGTTCCTCTTCTCCATCAAGTCAAATGCATATAGTTCATATAATTTCTGCTCGCATATGTTTGAACAACAATTGCGTTGTAATATGGTTTGAATTTGAAGGAACATAGAGACGTGATACTTTTGGAATATGGCAGTTTTGTTCTTATTTGTTCATTGTGTGTATGGTGCAGGACAAGACAGCTTTTGCTGCGATCCTGAGGAAAATTTCTAAGATACAGAAGACCACCAACGGATCCAGCTATGTTGTGCTGAGGGATAAATGATTGCCACCCACCCCTGCCCCTACCCCGACCCCCGAATATGTAATCAGCCTTCAAACAATACTTCTGAGGTGGCCATGAATTGGATTGTCTTTTTTGGGTCTTTCCAATTTGGTAGCAATCTGGACAATTGCGTGCGTAAATATTTCGAAACTAATTGGCTTCATTTTCCGAATGCATTGTGTGATAGTTTAGCTGAAAAAATTTCAACTTTCATTTTCATTTTCATACTAAAGTAGAATTAATACATGGAAAAATCCAAATTCATATCAATCCTTTACTAAATTAGAATTAATACATAACAAAGCTGGCAATCTTCTCTTCTTTTCAGTGGCTCATACAATCCAACACGCAAACAATAAAATACCCCTCACAAAATCTCAGAGTCTGACTACTTACTAAATACCCATTACATAACAAACCAACCCAAATGATAACAAAATGAGACTTGCAGCGGTGAGGCGGGTTGAGCCAGAAGGAGTTGTGGGCCCCGCAGCAGCTGCAGCCAACAGAGAGCTCTTTGGTTCTGCAATTGCTATTTTGGGGTTGGGCGTTTCAGGGTTTTGATGAGATTGAGGCATGACTTGCACGTGCAACTTGAGCCCATTCTTGCAGCTCTCCACGTTACTGCTGGCGAAGTAGCGGAGTCCCTCCTGGTCCATGGAGATGCTATCCAAACCGTCCGTGAACATCCTGATTGGGTTGCTTACATCGCATGACTCGAATTCCTCCTTGCTCTTCACTTCAGCTATGCACCCATGCGCTGCAGAGTAGGCTAACCCTGCCCATCCATTAAAGTCCCCACACAAACAAAAGAGTCTTGTGAGTTGTTGTGAACTTGTAAATTAATGAACAACTGCTTTGAAAATGACTTTCTTTCCACTTTACTCTCTCCATTTTCTCGGAAACCAAACAAATGGCTTGGTTAAAAGATGCCAACAAAACGAAAGCAAAGCATAAATAACAAATTTTTAGGCTCTAGTGGGGGAGAGAGAGAGAGAGAGAAGGAAGACTCACAGATGTTGTCTCCGACCCTGAAAGTTTTGTTGGAGGACCAAGAAGCGAGGTCGGAAGAAGGGTCCCAGCCACGGTCTCCTCCAACGACATGGTGCAGTTGGGCTCCGACCCCACAAATCCCTCCAAGGCTCACAGTAACCACAATCGCCACCACCACCTTCAAACCATATTCTCCAGCCATTATACTCAAGTCTCTCTTTCTCTCTCAACCCAAAGAGGTAGCTTACCTTTGCTTTTATCCCTCTCTTTTCCTGACCAAACAGTAAATGCTAAACAAAGAGAGAGAGAGAGAGAGAGTGATAAAGTGAAGGGTAAGTAAAGGCGCCTTCTTTCGGTTTTTAGCGGTAGCTACCTCTCATCTCATCTCATCCCACTAAAAATTGTGAAGACTTACTTTCCACGCAACTTCCCTTCTCCCCCGTTCTTAAAAGGACACCCCCCACGCACATACAATACAACCAATGGACATGGAGGACACTCAAGACTGAAGGACCGGTGGTTGGTGACTTACGCATCGCATCCATGACTGAAAGACCGTTTGTTTGTTCTCTTCTCTTCTACCCTATAGGGCCCTCCCTCTCTACCTGTGTATGTATCACTATCACCCGACCACTCTTCTACTGCTCATTCGCTTTTTTTACCAAAATACCCTATTCATTTGTTCTTGGGACCGATGTGCATCTAGCCTTAAGTGGTCTTGTGTTCTCCATCTCGAGGGTACACGTACCGGCAGCATAACCCTATTTTCGTGTTCCTATGACCTCATCCTTTATAAAAAAAAAAAAAAAAAAAAAAAAAAAAAAAAAAAAAAAAAAAAAATTGAAACTTGAAAACTGCATTTGTTTGTTGCGCATAAATTAATTAGCTAGTGATGTCTACTTAATTATGCATCTAATTACACTAATTACGTACCTTGTTTGTTAGGACATTCGTTCCTTTTCTCTTTTTGGCAACATTAATTCTCATGAGAAATTGGCCCATATATAAGATTGTGTCCCATGTTGTTAACTTTGTAAATGAAAACATATATTTTAAGAATTTGGAATGTTATACTGACTAAATACACCATCAAATTTACAGACAACTTAATGAATAAATAAAACTAGAGAGAATTCATAAAATAAAGGGCACACTTTATGCGTGACATTAACCATGAATAATACTTTTACATGGGAATCCGAATATGAAAGACGGTTTGAAATTTGAAGGTTTTTTTTTGGTCTGACCCAAATTTGAAGGTTAGGTGCGTATATATCCTTTCTTCTTCTCCTCTCACCCAACATCGCATGCACCACCAACAACCAAAGACGCTCTCTCTCTCTCTCTCTCTCTCTCCTCTCTCTCTCTCTCCTCTCTCTCTCTCTCTCCTCTCTCTCTCTCTCTCCGTTTGTATTTTGTACAACAGAAACGAGCTAGCCGCATATATTTCTTTACTTTAACTTCTTGGGACTTTGTAAATATTAATAAAATCAATCCCTGCTGTAAGCTTTTTCATTTTTTGGAGGTGAATTGATGATGAGCAAGATGAATGAAGTCGCTGAAACCATGCATGGGAATAACTAAAACATGAGCAGATGAATGCACCACCTTAGACATTTGTCAGTAGTAGAGAAACAGAGAGGTCTTTCCATATATAGCAATAATAATAGGATTAAGTAATTAAGACTGAACTGCTGTGAGTGAGATTGAAATGATTGAAGGATAATTTTGCAAACAAATTATTCACATCAAAACCCAAAACCAAACCTGAAGCAAAACTGGTGTCTTTGACTAAGATTTGACATCTTCGCTGGTAGATGTACTTATATCATAGTCTTCATCATCACTATCACTCTGTCACTGCCATGATCTCCTCCGAGGCAAAAAACTTACATGTAACGGGGATAACAATATTTTGCTATTTGCGGCCAATAACACAATGACATGTGGAAAAGTTATCCTTCATGTCATTGAGTTATTGGCCGGGGATAGCAAAAAGTGATATCCCCATGTAAGAGTTTTTCTCCCTCTGAGGGGTAAAATATGATAATATCAGGTTCTTCAGGCAGTCTAAAGCTTACCTTCTTTTTCAACTTATTATGATTCAAAATTTGGGTTCTGCAGCTTACAGATGTTGAAATATAATTGGCCAAGTTTGCTTCATCTGCTGCATTAAGAGGCAGACCAAAAACCTTGCAAGAAGACTTAAGAAACAAGAAGAAAGCACATCTCCAAGTGTGCAGGCAGAAAATGCCCCTTTACAATATGACGATACATTTTCATATTACCATTCAATGAGTAAAACCATTCTTGCATAAACCCTCAATTATCCTGCTTCCTCTGGCTAATTTGGCATACCAACAACATTTACAGAGCTATCGAGTTTCACAGCTTGTAACAAATAATGGACCTTCCCAACTTACCAAGGTGACGTGTTTACTTTTCACTTTGAAGGAGAATAATTCAGCTTCTATTCGAGCATTTTGGCCTTCCGAAGAGTAACCAGGGCCTCAGCTTGTTTTACTGCACGTTTCAAATTTATAGCCTTAACCTTCTCTACCTTGATCTGTTCTTCCAGCTGAGTTCTATCTTGGGTTGGGTTATTGCTCTTGCCGGCATTAACTTTTGAAGGCTCTGGTCTTCCAGGGCCTTGAGATAAAATGCTAGCATCATCAATGCCAATTGCTTTCAAGGCAGACAGTAGTTGAGGATCAAGAAGACCCTCAACAGAGACAGTAGTTGGATCATGCATATCTTGATCTGTTACTTGTCTCCTTCCTCGTCGGCAACTGGCAGGTTGGGATGCTCAAGTGACAAATCTGGGACCTTACTTACTGCCAGTGCCAACAGTCCCATGCATTGCCTTCGGCATAGAACCATTTTCGATCTCTTCAAGCTGATGCTCAAGAATACTGCCTTTCTTCAGTTCTTCTTCAGCATCATCTAATCGTCCTTCCCTTCTCAGAGCCAGGGCTTTCTTTTTCAAGCCCAGAAGCTCTTTCTGAATCATAATTTACTCTTCCTTGCAGGTTTGGAGTTCATGTCTTCCATTGTATTATTAACATTCCATCACCCACCGTAAATGACTTTGATGATTTATCAGCAGTTTGGTTATGAATTGTTGTGCGATCATTTGCAACATTGCCCTCTGGAGAGTCAACGCTTTCGAGGTCCCTTCCAAGTAGCTTTGCCTTCTTTAGCTGGGCCATTGCCTCTGTAACATTACCTGCCCGCTTATGATTTAGAGCCCCTCGTTTTAAGGATTGAAGCTCACTTAATAGTGCTTCCCTGTCAACAGCAGCTATATGGGTACGCAGGGGTTTCCGGATTCTTAGCATCTTGAGACCATCCTAAAGATTGTAAAGCAGCATTTATTTCCGAGTCTTCCATATCCTCGTCTGTCACTTCAAAATTAATATCCAGAATATGATCATCAGCAGCACTAATAAGATGATCTAAATTAAAGCCATCCTCCTGCTCATATTGAATTGAAAATTCTTGTTGTTTGTCATCATTCATCCATACTGCAAATTAATGCAGATAGCTCATCATCAGAATCTTCAACCTCTGCCAAGAATTCCTGTTCTTCGAGTTCCTTCTCCAAAACTTTAGCTCTCTTGAGTTCCTCGGCTTCTGCAAGTTTCCCCTCACGCTTCAACATGAGAGCCTTCTTTTATGTGCAACAAACTGGGTTTTGTCAATGGCACTATTACCCTTATTTTTATTGGTCTTTTGTGAGATTTCTCCAAGAAGAGAAGAAAGTTCACCCTCCAAACTAAGACTTGCTTGCTTTTTGTCTTCATCGCGAAGGTCCATATCGGACCATCCACTCAAAATAATTAGAGTTTAAAACTGATATATTTATTCTTCTCTCAAGGAGGAATATATATACCATATACAGAGTTCAATGCCAGCATATAATTGTTTGCAGCTGTTATGTTATTATTAGGTTGTACATGCATTTCCGTTATGAAGTAACTGATAGGTTTTATGTTCATATTCCTCATGTATAAATGGATTGTAATATCAGTTTTGAAATACAAGGAAAACTCTGTTTCTTCAGTTACAAATAGGAAATATGTACAAAATCTCCTAATTCTACCCAAATTAGATAATTACAATAAAATAGAAATTCTATTTCTAATAGGAACGTTGACTCACGCCAACACATCCCAGTTCTTTAAGCTCATCGGAAAGGTCATCTTTTGATTTATTCACTGGGGGAGTGACCTTATTTCTTCTTCCAGATTCTGAAGGCCCATCTCTAGTTTGGCTCTCAGCCACATTGCCAGAGAGTAAAACCTTTTTACGTTCTTTTCTCAAATGTATTTCCAATGCGTCAGCCTGCCTCTCAAGCTCCTTCCCTCTCTTAAACTCTCTTAATGCTTCCACAGACCTTCCTTATCCTTCCAGAATTTTATAACTTCTTCTTCTCATCCAAAGCTTCCTGACGCAACTCCTCAGGAGAAGCAGATCCATCACCACCCTGTAAATGATTAGGCTCATCAACAGAAAAACTTCTATGTATTTCTCCCACCCCATGGTGGCTGAAATCTTGTTGACTATTTGAACAGATGCACTACTACTGGCCCTCTGCATACTAGCAACCACATTACTGTTAGATTCTTGTCCTGATTCCTTCCTATCATTACCGAGAATTTGGTTCAGAACTTCATCCTCAGGCTTTGATGTCAACTTCAAACTGCATGCACAGAAAGTTAGAGGTTTGATACAGAAGGAACCATCAAAGGGTAGAGTAATTCAATCTTTTTCTATCTGCCATTAAAATGAGGCAAGTGCAACAAAATCTATCTATACCATAATTCAGCAAAAAAGCATGTGGCGGAATCACAAAACTAGCAAAACTGGTGACAGAACCGACAAATGTTCAACGCAACAACAAATGAACTAACAACCTTAGAAGGAATCAAGATGGCACCTCTCCCAGCTCTAGTCTTGTGCCCATGTCTCTCAAAGCGTGCTGCTTCTTCTAGCTTTCACAAGGCTCACAAATGCCCACAGGCGAATCACCTCGCCCGCGTAAAAACATTTTTTGCTGGGTGCAGCTGTGCAAAACAAGCCCCCATACGTCCGGCAATGATGCTGAAATTCCACATTGCATATAACCAAGAATCAGAAAAAGACCCAGAGACTAGAAAGAAATATCACATTCAACCCTAGAATACCCTGCAAATAAGCTTAAGTTGGACAAAAAGTCCTTTATATAATTAGAACACATTTCTTTGCACAACACAAACTATAAATCCCCAGTACATTCTTAAACGAAGTAATCATGGGCCTGTACAAAATAAACAATCTACGGCGTACACAAGGTTTAAATTGGAAAGCCACGAAGCGCAGTATCGAAATCACGGTTGAGTATAAAATTAAAAAAGCTCAGATAAGGCATGGGTAATGAGTAAACAAAAGCACTTGTCAAGAACTCGTAGATGGGTCATTGGATCGGAGATGGAGGGAAGCATAAAAAATGAACCTTGCGATTGATGAAGGTGAACTGAGAAGTACATCCCTGACAATGAGAGGCGTCAACCACCCAAGTATTCCCTCTCAGTGATGGCTTTGCCGGCAACCCGATCTTCTCCAACATCTTGACGAAGGTGAATTGAGAAGTACCGCCAGGCGGCTATACGATTTAGATATATTCTAATATTTAAATAGTACCGCCGGGCGGCTATACTCTAAATATATTCGGATATTTTAATAGTACCGCCACACGGCTATACTCTTGGCGAATATTTTAATATTACCGCCAAAAGGCTATCCTTTTCGAATATTGTAATCGTATAGCCGCGCGGCTATACCCGGAATATATTGGGATATTCAAATCGTACAGCCGTCCGGCTATACTCTTTTCGAATATTTTAATAGTATAGCCGCCCGGCTGTACGCTTGATTCTCTGATATTTAAATATTATGGCCGCGCGGCTATACCTGGAAATATATTCGGATATTTAGATAGTACAGCCGGACGGCTATATGATTTTCGAATATTTTAACAGTGTAGCCGCTCGGCTGTACGATTGAAATATATTAGGAGATTTTAATAGTATGGCCGCCTGGCTGACCGCTTGAAATATATTCGGATATTTTATTAGTATTGCCGCGCGGCTATTCGGATATTTTAATAGAAACAGTATAGCCGTCCGGTGGTACGATTTTTCAAATTTTTTCCCCCCCTGCGTATGGTTGAAAACTTAAACTTGTCCGAGTCCCACCGAACTAGGCGTTGGTGATTCGAACCTTCGCGAGAAAGGGAGCTTCTATCATGCACATAAGGCAGACCTCTGTGATTTTGCGCTTGTCAGCTGGTGTAGTGGCACCTATATAGACTTTGATTGATGATAATGGAATAAAAACTTGAAAACTGTAGAATGATGAAGCTCCTGGAATATCATCCTTCTTATCACCTTGTCAATTAAATTGATATGCAAGAACATAAGGTGTTCGACCCACCATGTTGTTTGATAGCAATTGGTTTTCTTTTCAGATTATGACTGCTCCTTGCACTTGAAAACTGGAAACTCAGACACATAAGTGCTTGTAACAAATGGGCAAAAAAGCTCTCTCTCTCTCTCTCTCTCCTCTCTCTCTCTCTCTCTCTCTCTCTCTCTCTCTCTCTCTCTCCATTTGTATTTGGTACAACAGAAACAAAGAGGAGCCGCATTTATTTCTATACTTACCTTATTGGTATATATTAATAAAATCAATCCCTGCTGTAAGTTATTTCTTTTTTGGAGGTGAATTGATGATGAGCAAGATGAATGAAGTCGCTAAAACCATGCATGGGAATAACTAAAATATGTGCAGATGGATGCACCTTATACATTTGTCAGTAGTAGAGAAACAGAGAGATCTTCCATATATATAAATAATAATAGGATTAAGTAGGGCCTCATGCTATAATTAAAACTGAGCTGCTGTGAGTGAGATTGAAATGATTGAAGGAGAATTTTGCAAACAAATTATTCACATCAAAATCCAAAACCAAACATGATCAAGCAAAACTGTGGTCTTTGACTAAGATTTGACATCTTGGCTGGTAGACGTTCCTATATCACAGTCTTCATCACCATTATCACTGTCTGTCACTGCCATGATCTCCTCTGAGGGGTAAAATATGATAATATCAGCTTCTTCAGGCAGTCTAAAGCTTACCTTCTTTTTCAACTTATCATTAATCTGATCGTTCTTGACGGATCTCTCCATACAGATGCTGTCTCTTGCTTTAGAGTCTAAAGGCGCTTCTGCCGTAGGAACATGATCAGCTGGTAATTTAGATGAAGAAGAAGATGCAGGGTGCACCCTTCTAGAATGGGGTCTAAACACATACAATTCACCTCCAGTGATATTGTAATTATCTGGATTCTTCATGCCATGATGGCCAGGAGAAGCTAAGAGACATTCTTCGAGTGTGGTCAACCTGGTCCTACTCGCAGATGCTCCTCCTCCTCCAGTATTATTATTATTATTATTATTATGAATCTTCTTCCTCTCTGGGGTCAATGGTCTCTTCATTTTCTTCTTCTCTGCTTTTACTTTTAAGCACTCTGGTTTCAGCAACTCCATACAGGACGGTCCAACTGGACTTGAATTACCATCAGCTCCTCCTGCCTGCTGCAGTCTCTGTGTAGCAGCTGATGATGACGATGAGCGCTTGAATGTGCTCAGATTAGCTCCCATTTCGATCACTTGTCCCTCTCGTAACAAATAATAATTAATTGAAGGAAACTAGAATTTTACTTATAGATTTGAAAATATATCCATGATGAGAAATGCCATGACTTAGTGCAAATTGGGGGGTTTTTAAAGAAATTTTGAGACGGAGAGGCCTAGAAGATTAATGTCGCTCATGAGCACAATGAAAAGCTTAGGTTACGTCAACTTGGTGTTGTTATGTCATGTGTGTGCTTTATCCGTATGTTACATATATATAATTCTATATGTGTGTGTGCGTGCGCTTATTTAAGTTGAATTTCATGCTACCATGATCATCATCAATTGGCAGGCTGTCTGTATTCTAATCTAATACACACAAGAACCACCGCAGGTAGCTTGGCCTATCCTTCGTCTTAGTAAGCCAAGTTAACACACCGCCCAATTACAAGTTGGATTTCAGATTTTGACAAAAATGGCGGTAACATCAATGATCTACGTTAAGAAATACATAACAACAGAGGTATGCAAGACAACTTTGATCCTTGAATTTTCTCTTTCCTTGGGATCTGGAGATGATGATATATCAAACTCATCAGTATCTTCGTCGTCTTTTAGTACGTAGAGATCATTTGGTTTTCGATTAGAGAATCCAATTGCTATTGGACTTACCGATCTTTAACCGTTGACTCTGAGTGGTGGCCGTAAATATTTGTTTAATAATATTCATATTTATAGATGGTATGAATGGGATTTGGAAAATGAAGGGCATTAATTTAGTCGAGTTCATGTAGTGACTGTGCTTTTTGTCTTCATGGTCAATCAATATTGCATGTATCATCACATCACATTCGCATATAATATGTTATGGTTGGTCTCGCGGTCTCTTTACCTATGTCGTCTATTGTGTTTCCTTGTTGACATACGTTATGCAAGCATCAAAAGCTCCCTTCTTTTCCTTTGTTGTTGATGTTTCTCATTTGGGCAAAGAAATTTCTCGGTGTGACCGTAACGTCATGTAGATTGACAATACTACTATATAACAGTGTGATAATCGCAGGACGGACTTCAATTATACGATATTTATAACGTATTGATACATTATTAACAATATCGATACAAAATTGGACAAGAGCAAAGAATTTTTTGTGCTAAATGTGTATGGTTTTTTATGAGTGACATGATGGAAAAAGATTATGGGCCTTAGCAGGCCCAATTTAAAAGCTCAAATCCGAGCTCCATCGATGCGGCCAACCCTATCTTTAGGCTAAAAGCCCTGGCTGGCGCTGGCGGCGGTGAATTGGATGAGGCAAAGAGAAAGCTTTATGTTTACCAAAAAAGAATGGCATATAACCCCACACGTTTAATATTCCAAGTGTCAAACGGGGGCCAAAGCACCAGATAGAATTTAATAGATTGAGAAGGACTTCACTTGGAGTTGAGATAGAAAATAGACAACACAGAATCTTAAAAAGGGCATGGCCTTCCTTTCTTCATCACCGCCCTCACTTTCGTATGTCACTGTCTTTACAAATTTGGGGACTCTTGCTTAACGCTTAGGGCCAGTTTGGCATTGTTGTGCTGTGAAAATAATCTCTGTCAGATTTGCTGTGAGAGAAAACAATTTGATGTTTGGTAAAATTTTTGTTAAAAGTGTTGTTGGTATTGATTTTACACATAATCAGAAAATGATTCCCGCATAATCATTAAACTCAGTGTCTCTTCGAAACTGATTTATGCATAATCAGAAAATGAAAGCACCTCATTAGCTGCTTTCCCTTATAGTTTTCTCTCACAGCAATTTTTAACAATAAGTAATTTTCTTACAGTTTACAAAACAGGTTGTGCTTCTCAAAATTTTTCAAAAAATCACTTATCACCCAAAATAAGCAATGTCAAACTGGCACTTAGAATGGACCTGTAAATATTCAATAATGCAAAGGAAAACTTTTATAATATTAATATCACCTTCTTCTTCTTACTCGTCACATGAGTTCCATGATGATGACTTACAACCCAAAATAATAGCCCACTAATTTTATTTATATTTATACTTAATCACTTTTTTTTTGGTCAAAAATTTATAATTAATCACTAAACAAAGGATTCGTGTTGTGTCCCATCGTTTTGAAATAGGAAAAAAAGGATTTTATTCATTCAACAATTGTCGTCCATAATATTAAAACTAGTTGTCTCCTTAACACTAAATGTCCGTAAACCACATATAAATAAATAAATATCCGTGTATCAAATGATTATAATTTAATAATTGATTTTTTTGAGTAACGAAGTTACAGTGTAAATGCATGCACTAGGTAGGCACCACAAAACCATAAACCAAAGATATTGTTTGTTGATTTCCTAAAATATTAAACCAATTAATGTTGATTCATTGACTTTTACTTATGTTATTTGGGATGGCGCTGGGAATTCAAAGAACTTGAGGGTCTAGGAAGTAAAGACAGCGCATCTAAAATTTCCAACGATTTCACATCTGAAGATGTTAGCCAATAGCCATACGCGTGTAACTCCCAGACCTAAATCACAAATCCGACGCTCATAAATCCATTTCGTATCACCACTTTATACTTTACAAGGGAATATAGAAGTAGATTGTTGAATTTGGAGATTATTTTCGTTGTTTCCTTCTCTCTTCTTCCAGAAAACCAGTAACGAGAAAGACACTTTCACTCTATCTCCCTCTATCTCTCTCTCCATTATTCGTGCGTGTTCGCCTCCTTCTCCTCTATTGGGCTTCCTCGCCTCTCTTTCACTCTGTCACTTCCCAGAACCAAGGAAACGAGGTCGGTCTCTCTCTCTCTCTCTCTCGCACTCTCTCTGTCTGGTGTTTTCGATCTTTGGGTTCAAATTTTTTGTTTTCAGATTTAAATTTCAAGAGCTCCTCTGTATTCAGCTTATATATTGTTGGAATTTTTTTTATCCACCGTTGCACTATGTGTGTGTATTATTCTGCGTTTGTGTGTTTGAATCTTGTGCGGTTGGCCAAGTTCATAAATCTTTCATTGGGACAGTGAAATTTTGAAGACTTTTCTTTTTTTTCTTTGGTGAAATTGGGGGTTTATATCTGAGCAATGCGAGTTCTACGCAGACTAGTGCGTATTTTGGTTAGTCTGAAAATGGAATCTTTTAGGAGTTGGTGGTGTTTAATTAACTATGGGTTACTTCTTTGCCTTGAAATGGAATTTTTCTTCTTCTCTTTTTACTCACTTTACAAGCTAGGAAGTGATCAGTATGGTGGAAGTTATTGAAATTAAGTTTATCCCAAAAGGTTTGTCATTGATGGTTGAATTGCCCGTTGGCCAAAATGTGGAATGTTGTCTTTCTTAACTAGTGCTTGCAGTCACACCCTGTGGTGGAGTGTGTTTGAAAGCTGCCTATTTGATTGCAACCATAAGTAGGGCATGTACCAGTACTACTAAAATGCCCATTCCAGAAACTAGGCCTCTCTTTCAATTTGTCCTTTACCGTGCCACAAGGGCAGTTGAGGTTTTAGCGTCTTCTACCTTAGTCTCTGTAGTGTGAAATGACAGAACAATTGTCACTTTATATTTCAATTACCTTCCCCAAGTATCATAAGGTGTTTTGCATTTTTCAGGTGACGATCATTTTGAATCAGATACATGTATGTTTTAACCTATTGAGCAAAAGTAAGTTAGAACAGTCATGCAAAGAGATAATGGTACCGGAAGCCCATCAGCCCCAAGGTCCCCAACTGCTCGACTTCGGCATCGTAGACGCTCAGCTGAGGTTTGTTAACTTGGATACTTCGTTATTTTTTTTCATTCTAATGGAATGGACTGTATAGTTTCATTTTGTATGAATCTATTCTTTCTCTAAAAAATTATTTGGGACAAAATGAATTTGTCTAGAAGTTTAATTAGTGGATAGAGAGGCCACATATAATTTTCTCCTAAATCTTTTTTTCTTACTTTTTCCTGATTTTGTAACTAATCATGTGCTTGTTCTTAAATTAGGGGCTTAAATAGTTATTTAGACACAATAACGGGTTTTGAGCCCTTTTGGAACAAAAATTACAGAAAATTGCTGTATTAGATGTACATGCTTGAGATTAATTGGGTAATACTTAGTCATTTTATTTTCTTTATGGCTGCAGGCTCTCCCGGATGTTGGTAAAACAAATGGAGGCAATTTACTTGTTAATGACCGTAATAAATACAGGTCAATGTTGATTCGTGCATACTCTTCTGTTTGGATGATCGGAGGGTTTGCACTGATTATTTATCTGGGCCATCTCTGTATCACTGCCATGGTGGTGGTTATCCAAATCTTTATGGCAAAGGAGCTGTTTAATCTACTCAGGAAAGCTCATGAAGATAGGCACCTCCCAGGATTCAGGCTGTTAAATTGGTCAGAATAGTAGTATTTAGTTGTGTCTAGTGTGTTTTATTCCCCAGAAAGCAGTACATATGTTTTTTATATGTGTTACTAAAATATTATTTTATTTCAAATTTTCTGCTCAGGCACTTTTTCTTCACTGCAATGCTGTTTGTTTACGGTCGCATACTCAGTCAACGGCTTGTCAACACTGTAACTTCAGATAAATTTTTATATCAGCTTGTGAGCAGTCTTATCAAGTATCATATGGTCGTCTGTTATTTCTTGTACATCGCAGGTTAGTTATGTTATGTTTGTTTTTATATAAAGTACTTCTCTGCATAGCATATTTTGAATTGAAGTGAAATTAGCATTTCGCTGGGCTTGCCTCTTTTTTATCATCATCCAACTACATATTTGATATGCACAATGACCTAATTGTTTGTGAATTTTCATTTTGTTGGTGTTTTTCCTTTGCCCTCTTTTATTTTTATGTAGCCCAATTCTGACTGATATTATTCCTTTCCCCAAAATTGGGTTCAGGTTTTATGTGGTTCATTCTTACATTGAAGAAGAAGATGTACAAGTATCAATTTGGCCAGTATGCATGGACGCACATGATTCTAATTACCGTGTTTACACAGTCATCTTTCTTTGTAGCCAACATTTTTGAAGGAATTTTCTGGTAATTTAACTTTCTGAAGGAACAGCATTTTCAAAGACACACATTACCTTCTTTCTTTCTTTTTTTTAATAATTGCTTTCCCTGACGCAAAGGAAAATTTGATGCAGGTTTCTTCTTCCAGCATCACTTATAGTAATCAATGACATTGCTGCTTATATCTGCGGTTTCTTCTTTGGAAAAACCCCTTTGATCAAGATATCTCCAAAGAAAACTTGGGAGGGATTCATTGGAGCATCTATTACAACTATAATATCGGCATTTTTGGTGAGCTTGTTATTTAACTTGGTGATAATAAATAGACTTCAGTTTTTCTTACATAAAATTGAAACCATAGTTTCAGTTATATTGGGGTTGTAGCCCATTCTTTAAGGTCTGTGCCAAGGGTAATGTCCAACATGGATCGAGCATGATAACATTTTATAGGTCTTATCCTCCAATAAAATAATGTTTTGATTTGACTGGCAGTGCCACGATAATTGGTCACAGTACATCTCAACTTATTGCGATGTGTGTTTTGCCAATTCTTTTTTACTGTTGCAACACCACCAATCATAGGACGTGTTTAAAAGGTTTTCCCGAGTGACTTATCAAACCTAAAGTTTTCCCCTTTTGAATTCAAAATTAACTTGTACACCCTAAGTTTTTGGTTGCATGCTTGAACCAAATGTACGATGTTCCTGGGATGCATACACATTCACTATAAGCTCCATGAGAGTTGATAATCTTCTTGTTATATCAATTTGAGTTATATGAACATGGTATGTACTTTTGTATGTGCAGCTTGCAAATATCATGGGTCGTTTCCAGTGGCTAACATGTCCGAGAAAGGTAATAATTTTGATGAAATATAAGCCAATTGATTTTGGGAAAGAAATAGAGTTTCGGTTATAGTAGCTTATATGTTGATACACTTGCAGGATTTATCAACTGGTTGGCTTGATTGTGATCCTGGTCCATTGTTTAAGCCAGAATATTATACCTTTCCAGAATGGCTCTCACCATGGGTGAGTGAAGTGACATTTATTGATTCTGTAATTACATGAAACCCGACCAGTTTGTGTGTAGTAGTAAACCATGGTCCGTGGTATTTCTTTGAATTGAGTTCTTTGTGCTGGAGATCAGATATTTGACTTGTTTTTCACTTTTTCATGGTGAAGTCATCATTTTGTCAAAGAAAATGCTCATATCCCATATAACATGCATCTGCATTTATGCCTTTTGTATATAATAATTAGTATCTACAGTATGTGCTTTATCCTCTTATTCTGATAAGATATTTGTATCCGACCAGGCACATGTATGTCTTGAGATTCCGCAGCATCCGGGAGCTATTTGTGTTTCCTTGTCTGGTGTAGATGAATAATAATGATGTTCTCAAGTGAAACTTGTTCTTTTTTCCCTCGCACATTGATAAATTTTGGGCTAAGACTACTGTTGTACAATGCTACTCATTGTCGTCTGTTCTGAAGCTTGCCATATAATTAAATCCAATAGTTTATTCTATGACTGTTATTCTGTCTGTAGTTCAGCATATTTTCTCCTATTAACAATTCGAAGATGAACTCTTAATGCACAGATTTGGTTATATAAAAGCTATGCGTGCAATTGAATTTGGTTATTTCAATCTTGAACTATAAGTAATAATAATATTTACTGTCTTTTGTGTTGCAGTTTCCTTGGAAAGGGATCTCGATTTTGCCAGTTCAATGGCATGCTCTATGTCTTGGGTTGTTTTCATCAATAATAGCACCTTTTGGAGGTTTCTTTGCAAGTGGTTTCAAAAGAGCTTTTAAAGTCAAGGTTTGCTTTTGATGTTTTAATTTTGACTGATGCAATTATGTATAGTAAGTGTCAATTGTTCAACATTATTTTTAATAATTTTTCCCCTTTGTTGTAGGATTTTGGAGACAGTATCCCTGGGCATGGTGGAATCACAGACAGAATGGATTGCCAGGTAAGTTTTTTTTTACTAAGATAATAAAAGAGCACTTCAAATTGTTCCTTGGTACTTTGAATATGGCACTAGTGTATTGTTGCTTCCACTTCCCACATTTATGAAACTACTTGAAGCTGTCTTATGTTGACTCTTTTGTCCTTAGTAATGGAATTTTAAACGTTTCTTGTATTCTATATTGTGGGGTCTTCTTACCCTTATGTTTGGCTTCAAACATGGTTTTTTGTCAATGATTTAACTGCTGTCTCCAGTTGTGCGCTTCTGTAATTGACATTATTTTATCTTGCAGATGGTAATGGCTATATTTGCTTACATCTATCATCAGTCGTTTATTGTGCCTCAAAGCCTCTCAGTTGAAATGATCATAGACCAGGTATTGTACAAGTGTCACGCATAATTTTGTTCTTGGCTTTATTTTGCTAATGAACTAGAAGTGATTCCATTTGCATTGACATTTTTTCTTCTTATGCAAATATAGATTTTGATGAACCTCACCGTTGAGCAGCAGCAAGTTCTGTTTGAGAGGCTTAAACAAGTGTTACAGGATAGGCTGGTTGGATAATCGTGTGAATAACCTGTATTTGTGTCATCACTCCTCTCCCATGCATGTTTGTACATGTTGGCACAGAGAGGGAACCGAAAAAAAAAAATTATTTTGTAAATGGTGGTGTTCTGTTTTCGTAGAGCAACCCCATTAGGTTGGAGGCATCATTCTGTGCGCAAACCCTGTATAGTGTCTCTTTGTCTTTTAATATACATGAACTCTAGATGGAAGTGATCCTTCTTTTTCTCCCTCCCTCCCTCCCTCTGATGCGCCTTTTGATGGATTGATTATTAGTTTATATACCCACTGCAAAAATGGGTGTTTTATGACCAACATTGTATTTTGCTTTTTCTAAATTTTGATGGAATTTCGTTTAGAAAGCATATTGGTGTTACCTTCATGCCTTATCATGTTTCCAAACGTGTCACCCATTTTCTGATTAAGCCCTCTTACACAAGAAAAGTAAAAGAATCATTGGAAGTTCCAGAGCACAAAACAAAACCATAGTGGCAAAAGAATCATGTTAAAATCAATCAGCGGCAAAAGAATACTTGGATGCTTGTGATGTCCAATCCACTACAATCAAAAATCATGATTCTCTCAATTTCTGTAACAAACACCTGACAGAATCATAGTTTGGCTTTCAAATTGAAAAACAACAAAAATTAAGCCATCTTGTCAGATACGACAATAAAGAGCTTATAGATATGTTACATGTCCTACTTTTACAACGAAAATTAAGACAATATCCCATCTAAAAGAATAGAAACAAAACTTCTTCTTGGCCCATCTAGAAAGTGAAACAAATTTGTTTGCTTATATTCTGAAACTGTAAAGATGTCTCAACCGAAACTATACGACTGCCATTTGCTTCAAACATCTCATTGGGTTTTCGGTTTTTCAATCTTCACATAGGGCAAAACCCCCATAAAATGAACTACTTTGGGGCCCCACCCTCGTTGTTGAGCCCGGCAAAACATCAAGAAAGTGTTTGCAAAGTAGGAATTAAAACCCATGAACAAATGCCACAAGGCATGACCTTGCGGGTTAACGGTCCAACTGGATATCTCTTCGCAGTAAACATTATCACAGAGCCAACACAAACTCCCTATAAGAAGGGTGGCAACATACAGCTTTGCAATCCTCTTAGCAGACAAGTCTTGGGTGTATATATAATACTTGTACATTCGAGGAATGCAGAGGAGGCACAAGATCACATAGTGCACCTTAAAGCCAATTTCAAAACGAGCCACAGAATGAACAGCAGCAAAAACAGCACCATAGAGGAAGAGGAAGATGGGCATTGTACTGCGATAGTGCCAATCTGGGGAGTAGAGAATATACATGTAAAGGAGCATCTCCCAAACCATAGGAGTCTCATCGCTCTGCTGTTGCCTGGAAATATATATCAAACAAATCTTCAGACATCAATTTTCATAGCAACTATTTAGTCAAGAAGAGAAAATTTCATAATAAAGTTTGACAGAGTGAGTAACAAATACAACTATGACGCAGAGAAGTCGTCCGCATATAGCCTGCATAACTAATGCAGACGTGCATGTGTGCATATGTGTGTGTTCATTCTTCAAGAAAGCTAACACCGATATCATCAGCTACCCAGAATATATTTAATGAAGGATCTCAATAACATGAATTCTTATATGTTTCTCAAACATTATGGATCATTGCAATTTTCCCCAGTCCATAGAAGACTACATTTGCTGCAACTAACCAACTCAACCTAAAACACTTTTGGGTGCATGAATTATACTTATCTACAATATCCATAGAAAATTTATTTATAGAAGAGAGAAGGAAACAATCAAATAAAAATATTTGCGACTCTCCATGTGAAAGTTGTTCGCCTCACATTGGGAGTTACTGCTAAAATGCTTACAATACTCATAAAAGTCTAATATACACATGTCATTCACATTTTCCAATTAAGACTCTTCTATCAACACATCATAGTTACTCTAATTCTAGCTTGAGAATCCGAGTTCAGCTAATGATCCATTCATTTAAATTTCCAGAACAAGTAAACTCAGCATAACACTTACACATGCTGCAACGTGGCATGGTATAACATGCTTCCAATGGCAAGAATCATATTAGATATGTGAAGAATGCTGAATCTCTTCTCAAACCGCTGCCTTAAGACATTTATAAGGCCAATGAGCGCCAAAAGAATGCTTGGGATGTTTGATAAAGTGTTGAAAAATTCCGCAATATAAGAAGAGTAGGCATAATTCTTCTCGCAACATTCAATCGTGGATGTGACAGGACCCCAGAAGCTTGATCCGGCATCAGCCATTCCTCTTTCTATGTTCTGTATATATTGAACCAAGTCTTGTTATCCAGAAAGTTGCAGAGTTCATAAAACCTGCACACCATACACCTGCACAAGATAATATTCTAAGCAACCAGGCAACTTGATTCAAATAATACAAAAAGGAAATAAGAAACATAAGAACACAGTTCGGATAGAGATGGTATAATAAAATTTACTACAAACAGAACAGTATGGCAAAAACCATGTTCATCAAACGATGCATATTCAATGAAAGCATAAAATTAATATCCTAAAACCAATCAAAGATTCTAAAAATTGCATTATGCATTAAGTGCACGCGACATTGTAACTGGTTTTAACTGCATAATTTAACCACACATCTTAAAAACACTTCTTAAATCAAAACAATGGTTACATATTTCACGAACGTTCACATCTCAAAAACTCTCGAGTGCATGGTTTAAACATCGATCTATACAACAATATGAAAATAAACCATGGCAATGAAAACCAGGTAATTTCCACCCGGTGGGTCTGTTGGCATTATATTCGCAAATAGCCCACACTCCACGAAGGTATAATCAGATCCCACATAACAAATCCTTAACCCTGATTAGACCAGCACCATTATTCTCCGGAACACACGAAATCTAAGTTGACCCTCCCAAAAAGAGCATCAACACAATCAATATTCGAAAATAATAAGATCCAATCTAACCATTAAGTAATCTCAGAAAAAATGAAAGCCAAACTCAACCATTACCCATGACCTATGAATCCATGAACGTGCTCAAAAGCTCGAAAGCCACCAACGAATCGATACAAAAAAAGAACACAAAAGCCAGATACATGGTATAAGCTGATGTATAATGGAATAGTATATTTATGTGTTGTGCATATAAAGTACCAAAACGCACCGTCTGGGCTGAAAGAGATCTCATTCCTTCTTCTCTGGTAGGCTTGGGTGAGTCCGTATGTCTCCCTCCCCAAATTTCAATGACAAAAGGGATGGCTTGTGGTGGTGATGAGGGCAAGAGGCTCAGAATTTCTTTTCGGCGTTCGAGGCAGAAAGAGACCGAGTCTGCTTGTGTTTCTTTTCTTTCTTTTTTCTATTTTTATTCTTTTCCCGTTTTATTTTATTTTCATTTTTAATGGTTTGGATTATTTTTGACTTCTTGGCCGGGCCAGTGCCGACAAAAAACGACGGCCCATCGTAACCCAGCTCATCCTATAGCCTCACCCTTGTTAGGTTGCTAAATGGGCTTTAGATTTCAATAAGTCCACTTAACTTGGTTACAATTTGGGCCTACAAACTATATTATTTTTAAGCACCTTAAAAAGAAACCCTATACATTTGATTTTTTTATTTTATTTTATAAATAGGGAAAAGCCCTACATATTTGATTAGTAAAGTTGTAATGAATATTTAACCCTAAAATTACTGATAAGAGAATAGGGAATGACAATAGTCAATTCTTATATAAATGTATTGGTAAAATGATATACTCTTAAGACGAAGCTTCCACGTAATGAGTACATTATTAAGAAAAATGGAACATATAATTATCAAGTATTGACCTTTCAACTTCGTGAGAAGGTGCTCTTTACAAGTTAGTTTTTAATAATAATGTATTGGAAGCTGAATCAATAACAATGTTTATAGCTCAACTTCAATTTTTTTTAAATAAAAAAGTCCCACTTGAGTATATAGAAGGGCCAATGTATGAATGAAAAATAAATTTCTGTATCAAAGATAAGCTTAAAAATAAAGGCATTATCAAATGCTTCCCACTAATAAGGGGTGACCTTTATATAACAATACCTTTTTCATTTATAAAAAAAACCAACAGATAAAGGGATTAGGCCAACATGATTAATGCATCTACCTCAAAAAACAGCCGTATACACAATCTTAAACATGCATTAACAGACCTCATATATAATATTTATCAGATTCGTCGTTCAATGATGAGATAATGAGACAAAATTTCCTTAAAACTTTATATGTACAAGTAAGTATTTCCAGCATAATATTTGTTTTTTTGTTGGCCATAAATAGACAATGAAATTGACGGATAGTAGACTAGTAGTACCTACGATCTCTTTTGGTCCAATTGAAATAGATAACCCAAGTTGCTTTACATTTAAAAAATATGAGTTTTTCGCAGCTATGATCCCTCAACTATATCCGTAATTGTATTTGGGTCACTGAACTCAATTATTAGTTGCAGAGGTCACTCAACTATGTGTTTCGTTGCACCGTTAGTCCCTACCGTTAAGTCTCTTTAACGGAAGGGACTAATGGTGCAACACAACACCTAATTGAGTGACCTCTATAACTATTTTTTGGAGTTAAGTTATCAAAATGTAACTCTGAGTATAGTTGAGAGATCATTGCTACAAATAATCCTAACTGAAAAGTCACATTTGCCCATCAATAATTGGATAGATCTTGCCACGTCATCATTTTAAATGGAAAAAACTAACGGACTTGACGGAATGACTGTTTGTGCAACGAAACACATAGTTGAGTGACCTCTGCAACTAATAATTGAGTTCAGTGACCCAAATGCAATTACAGTTATAGTTGAGGGACCATAGCTGCGAAAAATCCAAAAAAAGAATAAAATATAAAACGCACATGTTTATCAAGTTTCAAAAGTAAGTTTGCCTTGTCAACGAATGTTGGTTGAGTTGGTAATGATCGTTCTCTACGCTATCAAGGTCTATGTTTCAGTCTTACTGTCGACAATCTCTTTTAACAAAAAATCTATAAAAATCATAAATAAATAAAAAATTCCCTCTATAAATCGTCAAAAAGACGTTGAGATGCCATAACTCTTGAATGACACTGGTTTTCTCACTCAAAAAGTAAGTTTGCCTTTTCATCTTCCTTTGGCGGCTATAATGTGGTTGGATATGTCACTTTACCTGTTAACAATTTCAACAAGGTCACGGTTTTCTTGATTATTATTGTTGTTGTCTTTATTATATATAAATTACATTGGTTTGGATTTAGGGAAATAAGTATTAGGGTTCAATGCATGTAGACATGTGTAGGTTCATTGAACCTGGACATTTCGGAACAACAAAACTGGTTTCAGCTTCCGTTTTCCACATTTTCCACATCTGAGATGTAGGATGACGTAGTTAGCAGACTGGGGCACGTGTGAGAAAACTGTGGCCTACATACTAATGCTTCTGTACACTAGGAAGGGCCAAATTTAGTCCACGAGTCTATACTCACAAACTGTGGAGCAGCTAGCGTCAAACGAGTCCATTGCCAAACATATCATAGGAGTAATGCTACACTTACCATATTTTTATATTACATGATGTGGTATGTTCATATCATATGCTATATCAATTAAATGAATGAAATGTATTTTAATAAAGAAAGTTTAATTAACAATTTTGTTTAAGTGTTAATAAATCATAAAAGAAAAGAAAATGTTAAATGAATTTAACTGATGTGGTTGTCTACCTGATTTGCTACATAAGATAGTATGAGAATGTGATATACAAATATGGTAAGAATAGTATTATTCATATCATATATGCACCATTCGACTCTACACACATCAAAAAGTCTACAATTTCGAAACTAGCTATACGTTTGCCAAAATAATCAAAGATCCTCATCCATCATTGCCAACTTGAAAACTGTAACTAATAGTAAAACCAAAAAATTCTAACCCCTAAGGAACAAACCACCAAGGAAAACAAAGGAAAACTATGTTCTACCTTACTAAACTTAACATATTCTATTCCATTCTCATGCATAGTTGTTAGTGCGTCATAGGGTTATCTTTTGGTTTGACTCTTATGTATCATGATTAAATTTGTGACATTCCAGAAGATTAGTCAAGTCGAGAATCATTAAAAAATTTAATGTGATCAAAGAAATGCATTTACCTTGTGGTTTTTTTTTTATGTACAACCCAATTAATACTGAAACGGAATCAAAAAATCTAAAGTGAATCTAAATCCTCTATAGATTATAACTTGCTTTGATATGATGTTAAAATTTTCACTAACATCCTCAATAATTTAAGTTGCTATAAGAAATAGCCATCAATGTTGGCTTGAAAAATAATTAATACAAGTTGTACAGGTGATAAATATATTTAATCATCCATCCTTATCTACCAACAGGGGTGGCCCTGAGGGTATGCAAGTGGTGCCACCGCACAGGGTCCTTGATTTTTTAGGGGCCCCAATTTTTTTTATGTGTATAATATATGTTTAACAAATGTTATATATATATATATATCGAGTGAGCAAATTGTTGACACAAAGACGTTCCAAGTTGTGTTGGTTTGCAGGGTCTCAACTTCTATTCAGGGTGCGACTTCAAAACCCGCTTGTGTTAAAGGCTTGTCCGATGTCAACACCAACATTCAATATCCCAGTTACTTTCACAACCACAAACTGAAATAATAAATACTCGATCACAAGAAATTAGTTAGTAATTATGCTCAAATATTCAATTTTGCAAAAATAATGCATCCAACTAAGTCAACCAAAATAATTGCATTGAATTAATGATGACAAAGACAATTGATACAAATTAATTCTTTTGTGAAATTTCAAATTTATCCTCGGGAGTAAGGGTACTTTGGTCACTTTAAGGAAAAAAACATTTATTGTATGGCATTAGTTAGTAATTATGCTCAGATATTCAATTTTGCAAAAATAATGCATCCAACTAACTCAACCAAAATAATTGAATCGAATTAATGATCTTCCTGGAATATTGATACAAAATAAATTAGGTGTTAAAAAATATTTAATATATGAATATGATCTATGATGATAAAGACTCATTGTCACAATCCATGGTGATTATTCAAAAGGTGTAATATCCCTGACCCAATTTAATTGATTTAATCGAATTTAATTCTTTTGTGAAATTTCAATTTTGTCCTTGGGAGTAGGGGTACTTTGGTCACTTTAAGAAAAAAAAACATTTATTGTATGACATTACGTAATGGTGTAAGTTTGTGTTAGTTTATGTGAGGCCTTAATTTAAGGTTCATACATGGCCTTCAAAATCTCAAGACCCGCCTTGTCTCCCAAATTCAATTATTAAATGCAATGCAATTTAATTGGACGTGAAATGGTGACCAAATCAAAATCCAATTATGCCATCTGAACTAAATTGTTAATTTAAACTAATCCACGGTTTCCTCATTCGTAATGTATTTCGTACACAAATCCTTGTATATCTCACGCTATATTCCTCCTCCAGAACGAAAGCAATACAGAAAACGGAACGGGGACGTGAAAAGGGGCAGATTCATTTGAAAGAACGCGATCAAGCCCACATACATCAAAACCTCCCCAATGCAAACTCGCGGACTCATAACTGGCATGAGACGTAGCTATAAATAATTCACTGCGGCGTTTAACCCTACACATCATGTCATCATCTTCATTTGCCACTTCTGTCTTCTATGTAAACACCATGAACACAATATGACAACACTATAGAGCAAATACCCAATTACCTTTCCCCTTCGTTATCTCTCTCTCTCTCTCTATATATATTTATTAAAAACAAGAAAAAGAAACCCACAAATCGTATCATTCACTTGAAACGTTTTCTCACAAAAGTGAAAGCGGATAGCTGATTGGGAGCTAACCCATTAAAGGGAGCAGAGCAAAGCACCCCAAAAGGGGAAGAAGAAAGCAAGGAAGTTGATAGCTATAGGCTATAGCATTAGAATTTAGAGAATTCAAATGGCAGCCAAGATTCCAGTGAGGTTTCAGAGAGTAGCAGAGGCTTTCGATGAGGTGGCGCGGGCGAGGCTCTGCGAGAGCAGTGGAAGCGAGCACTCGGCGGCGGCAGAGAGCTTTTCGGATTTATCGGCTCTTGTCAACTCTTTCATTGAAAGAGGAGATTTCAGAGGAGAAGGGGATGCCCGTGAAGACATAAACAAGACGGAGCAGTTGATGGATGACGAGTCGGAGGGTTATTGGTCTGATTCAGAGACCAAGAATACCCTTCAAAGCCTGCTTGATAAAAGTGACGAGGATGATGACGATGATGTGAAGCAGAGGATTTTTGCTGAGGTAGAAGTCGCAGTTGGAGGGGCTATTGGGGACAGGTCGTCCCCGGGGTTCAAGCGAAAGTTGATGGCTCATTTGCGCGAAAAGGGTTTCGATGCTGGTGAGTAAAGGCTTTTTTTCTTTTGATTCCTCTGCTCAGTTCTTGAAAGAAATAGGATTTATTTGACCGAAAATCTGTCTTTTAGTTCTCAAAATTTGAACCATTCATTCCTTCTTGTACTTTGTGTTGAAAGATTGCAAATTTAAAAAGTAAAACTAGTTCAATTGGTTAAAATTTTGTGAAAGTTTCTTGATGCATTTCGAAAAATCCCAATTTCTTAAGATGCACTCTATAAACCCAATTGAAAATTGCTGAGATTGAGATTAATTACTAATTATGTTGTGCTTCCCAATTTTACAGGACTGTGCAAATCGAAGTGGGTGAAATCCAGCCGGTTCCCAGCAGGGGAATACGAATTTGTAGATGTCTATGTCGAAGGGACTCGTTACATTGTGGAACCATTCTTTGTGGGAGAATTCGAAATCGCTCGTCCCACGAGTCAATACGAAGCGTTGCTCAGTGTCTTCCCGACGACATTCGTCGGACAAGTTGAGGAGCTGAAGAAAATTGTGAGGCTCATGTGCACCGCCATCAAAAAGTCGATGAAGAGCGTGGACATGCCAATGCCACCATGGAGGAGAAATGGGTACATGCAATCCAAATGGTTTGGCTCCTACAAGCGCACAACAAATGCAGTTCCAGCCAAGGAGTTGGAACACAATGAGAGCGTTGGTCTAAAGAGATCAACGGGGTTTGAGGCTTTGACTACAAAGGCTTATTATTGCAGAGATGCCTTCGCTAGCAAGAACGGCTTAAGAGTTGGGCATTTAACTGCTGCGTTTCAGGGCATCTGAGCATTAGTTTTGTCCTGTTTTAGTTTGGTAATATAAATTTTGTGATTGTGATTCTTTTGGCTACCCCCTTGGGTAGTAATTTTGGAAACCATCCGGGTTTTGATTAGAACAATGTCTGTGAAATACCAATATATATATATTTTTGAATAAAATGTAAAATTAATTTGTCTCGTTTCGCTTGGGTCAAGTCATATCAATTTGTTGTGATTTGTCTTTGAAATCCCCAAATGCATGACAAAATGAAAAAGAAAAAATGTAGGCACCGATAGACGCAAACAGCTGGGAAATCAAAGCAAGTTTGCCTGGAAGGTACCCAAACGAAAAATTTGTTAATGTAAGAGAAGGTTCTCATGAAAAGGCTAAATCCTATGCCATTTCCCTCATCTCCCCTTCTCATATGATTCATTCGAATTGAAAATACCCCAAATTAAGAAGATGAAAAAAAACAATTAAAAAGATTGTTTAATCAGAGAAAAGAAATGTGAGAAGCTCGGTAAGCAGATCCGTCGACAGAGCACAACGACCGGCCAGTAAACTTATCATGAAATCGATTTAGCTACAGCCGCTTTGGCCAAATTCAAGAACAAGGTTACTGATTTTTGTATCAAACCCTTCTCTTGGTACAAGTAGCTCATACAATCTATAAACTTTCATTTTTGCAAAAACTAAAAGACATGCAGAGTTGAAGATTACAGAAACAGAGAGGGAGAGAGAGAGAAAGAAATGGAACGCTAAACGGCTGAAGAGAGTGAGAGAGCAATGCGATGCGACTCTCTCAAAACCCTAGGGGCTGCTTTATAACGAATGAATCTCGGATAAATGTTAAGTGGGGTGGAAGACGATTAGATCTCAGCCGCACATCTGTGATGTCAAGAATATCTTCCGGTGCTACGTATGCAGATGTACTACTACCCAATACAATCGCCACCACTGCGCTGTCAAAATGTATCACTTGGGCTTTAAAATAGCTATTGAAATCTAGACCGTCCATTTGTGTCAGGCCCATATAAAGTACGGCTTGGAGTTGCTAATCTTTTTCCTTTTATTTTTTTGAAATCCAAAGCCAAGTGTCTTTGGATGATAACTAGCATACGCTGCTTTGAAATCTAGACCGTCCATTAGTGTTCTTTTTGATTGATACCATGATTGATACCAGGAAGACATGGAAAACACTGACCTTCCATAATATTTGTTGTTGTTGCTGTAAGATAATGAACAAGATGTGTTCAAAACAAAACAAGATCACACTGTCAAGAATGTTACACTCCTACAGCCGATGCAGCAAACTGGGCGAAATAATAAATATACGGATACACACTCGTCGCGCCATTCTACAAAAAAGATAGCCTGTAGTTTAACAGGAAATCAAGCGCTGACTAATTTACTCATACATGACGAACAGAAATCATGTTAGTCTAAGTTTGGAGCTCTTTCTTAGCCCCCGGCCCTTTCCCTTCTTTTGTGTGTTTATATCTGCATGCATCCAAGTAATAGGACGTTTACATCATCTGGACAAAGCCCTTCAAAAATGAAATCCTATGGTTCTGCTAGCTGTATTCATTGGGATTTTCTTTGCTCCGGATTATAGGAACACCATCCTCCCTCCAAATGACCCGATCTTCACATAGTGCTGTTATCACTTCCACATATATGCGATGCTCCTGAATTCAATAATGAAGCCAAATCAGAAAATTATTTGCATAGGATGCACATACTACCAAATCTATGAGTATAGCATCCAAAAAGAGGCCAGCATAAAAGAAAAAAAATGAAAGGGAGGTAGAAAAAGCATCTTGTGGTCTGTCAGTGGTTCAGACAAATCAACAATTATAAATAAAAGTGTGTCATAAAATTGCATTACCTCCCGAAGAACCCTCTCTGCCAGCTCCTCCGCAGTGTCCTTGGCAAGCACAGGGACAACTCTTTGAGCAAGGATACGTCCCGTGTCGTAGTGCTCATCAACAAAATGTATTGTAGGGCCTGTGTATCTGACCAAAATGAAAGAAACATAATATTAGGTCTCCTCCTCATACATGGAAACAGCACAGTGTAACTTGAACAAGCGAAATTAGATTCAGAAGCTATTGAGTTTTGGCAATAGTAGCATACCTTGCTCCAGAAGCAATGACCGCCTTGTGGACCTTCATCCCATAATTACCTTTGCCTCCAAATGCTGGAAGAAGTGAGGGATGGATGTTCAGTATGGATCTGGGATAAGCTTGTATCAACTCTGCTGGTATAAGTTTTAGGTAACCAGCCAGGAGAACAAAGTCAACCTCAAATCTCCTGAGTATATAAGACATCAAAAGCTAATAAGCAATAAAACAATGCTTATAAAAATATTCACAGATAATTTATGCCATGCTAGCTTAAAAAAATTACACCTCAATTTGGCCTATATTCTTAGGCTTATGAAACATGTGAGAACATATAAAAAGCAGGTACATTTAACCTACGCTACGGTCATAGAAGTGCTGGCAACTTTAGCCATCAAAATAAGTTGTGTTAAAGTGCAGGCAACACTCAATGTTATTTAGAATCTTTCCAATATGTGAAGAAGCTGAATTAGATTCAAATAATTTCCCAGTGTTAGACTAGATATTTTGATGGCAGTGCTTATACAACAATGAGTTAATATATAAGACACTCCTCCTGGCTTAACAAAAATGTGAAGGAGCCTCACCTAAGGGTAGCAACAAGGTCAGCTGGTGATATTCCATCAGCCTCAAGTTTTGTTTTGGGGAACAATATAACTGGGAGGCCCTTATCTCTTGCATAGTCAGCACCTCCGCAACCTGAATATACAATATTTGTATCAAAGATTTATACAATATATTTCTGAAGTTGCTAATTTGCTTTCTGTTTTCACCACACTCTCATTAGAAGAAAGAAATCAATTAGGACCTTTCCTCTATAAAGCATAAAATACTATTATATCTCAAATTGGTGTTTATCCAAGTTGCTAGATCAATATCAACAAGAAAACCAATTTCACACAATTCATAACAGATTTGGAGAGTGGAGGAGACCTTGTTTACTTGTGACTACAACAACAATGTCTCCATGAATTGAACCCTGAAGACATGCTTCATGAATGGACCGGAAGTTGGAGCCTCCACCGGAAACGAAAACCGCAAGCTTTTTCCGTCTAATCCCACTTCTCAAATCTTCTTTATCAGAAGGAAGGAACTCAATTCTCTCTCCACTGTTCCTACACTGAAATACCTTCCCAGACAATGCACTTTGTGAAATAGAAGGGCAAGCTTTGAAGGAGACCCATTTTTGGGATTGAGCAAAAGAAGCAGAAGAAGAAGAAGAAAGGGGAAATTTTACAAAGACTTGGGTTTTGGTATTTTGAATCGGCGGGGTTGAGCAAAACCCAGAAAGCAGACGCTGAGCTTCCATTGAAAGGATGAGAGGGAATGCTGCAATTAATTGAATAACTAAATACAATGAAAAACAGAATCTTTGGAGCCAAAAGACTTGCACAAATGTCCTAGAAGAAGCAGAAGAGTTTAAATGTGAAAAAAGGCTTTGATTTTGCTAGCGGCTGCCAGTGCCTGCCTTCTCTTTTCGCCGCTCGATCGAAGCAGGGGAGAGGCTGGCTCTGCCAGTTTTTCTTCCTTTTTTAATTTTCGTTTTAATTTGTCTTTTTTTCTGTAACGTTTTGGTGTCTCGGCAAGGCCAGTTACTGAAAGATGACCCAGCCCATTCTGGAGCCTCGCATTCTTTTTGGGCTGGTTCTTGACGGATGCTAGAGGTCCAGTCAAGGGCTTACTGACAAAAGTACATATCCGATTCTTCATTGTTTTTCTAGATAAGGGTATGGCATTGGCATATGCCAATACTAAACCTATTTTCTCAATTTGTTTTTGTCTCGATACAATGTATAGGAGAGGAGTTTCAAATTCGGATGTAATAAGGCGGACAGGCTTTCTAAACCAACTAACCTAATTCAATTTTAATTTTAAATATGTTTTTAGACACCAAATATCCCCATATTAAAAACACAGCTCAAATTTTTTAATATTCGGATTGCATCACAATTCAAGTGTTTTGAATACCGGATCAAATACCCTATTTGTTAATTTAGTTTTCTCAAGACAAGTACACGATTAAGTAAATAATTATTATTTTTATTGTTTCCAATGATTGGTGAATGAAAGTGGAAACAAGAGAAGGGCCAAGTCCCAATCTGGTGAAGAGTCCACGTAAACGGCCCTGATTTAGCATCACGCGAGTAACAGTGTACGAGCACCATCCAATCCTACCTAAACACGGAAACCATAAAGGACATACATCAAAACGCACACCCACCCATCTTTAGAGAGAGAAAGTGAGAAACAAAGCAAGAAAGATACAAAGAAACAAAGAATTTATATAGAAAAATCTTTTTAGTTTTTAAAATTTCATCACGGATCGGACGCCCACTGAGTCGCCAGCGCAGAATCGGAGATCCATCAGCAAGATGGAGGGAGTTGGGGCCCGACTCGGGCGGTCCTCGACCCGGTACGGACCAGCCACGGTGTTCACTGGGCCGGTGAGGAAGTGGAAGAAGAAGTGGGTCCACGTAGCACCATCCTCTAACACCAACAACGCTAGTTCTACCACCCATCACTCTCATCAGATTAACGGCCACAACGGCACCTCTAACGGTAATAACGGCTCGCATCTCTTGCTTTACAAGTGGACCCCAATTACCCAAAGCCAAAACACAGCCATTAGCAACAATAATAACGCAGTCACCAATGGCAATGGGGGGGACAAGGTTTCTGCGAAGGACGACGATGCATTGGTGGCTAACGAGGAGCCGCCTCGCCGAAAATTTAAATACATTCCGGTAATTTTCTGCGATTTTACTTATTTTATTAATTTTTGTTTAATTCTCTTGGAATTCTTGGATTTGGGGCTGATTATTGTCTGGGTGGTTTTTTTTAGTCGTTTAATGAAAGCATTGTGGGTGATTGAGTTGAATTCTTTATGTGTTTTCTTGGGGTTAATAGTAATTTAGGGTTTGGTTTCAGGATCTTTGGAAAGGAGGTCTTTTTGGGTTGATTAGACACATGGGGAATTATGGGTTTATGTTTGCTTTTAATGTCTTTGGGGGCTGATAAGTGAGGATCTCGTGATTTGCATTAATGTTTGTCCTTGAGTTTAAAAAGGAATGATAGGTTATAGTGACTTTTGGTTATACTCAATTGTACAATTTGAATTTGAGTTCTTAGTCGAGTTAAAGTGGTGGCTTAGCTTAGCTTGTAATTTGTAAAGGAACTGTTTGAAGTTTTGCTACTAATACAATAGAGTTGTTATTGCATTTTGTTTGTGTATATTTTTTAATGTTCACACTCATGACTCACCGCAGCTCACGATCATCCATTTAAAACTGAAAAGGAATTAGCTCATTAGAGAGTTTTGTGTTTAGTAGTAGTATGATTGAGGAGAAGTGTGAACTTGTGGTTTTCATGTTATGAATTTCTTGTGTTGCTTTATGATTAGTGATTTTGTAATTCTAGTAGAGGACGCAACGGTTACTGTTAATATATGAGACAAGCTACTCTGGATGAATTTATATGACATTAAGCTGAATGTTGTTTTAGTAATAAATGATTTTAGCACTTTGATAAAAGATAAGATGTTAAAGGTTGTAGTGATTACAAATTGCAGTTAGCGTTCTCACAAAGTTGATATTGAATCTCCGTTATCAAGAGGGGTTTTTTGGGGTTTACTTTGATATTTTATACTCTAGAGAATGCTCTACTGCTTATTATAAATTTTCCTTTTGTGGTTCCTTTTGGCATCTTGCTGAACTTTAGCGTGTGGGAAAGAATTTCCAGCCATTCCTAAGTGGTCAGTGGCAAAATAACTTTGGTAAAAACAGTGATGAAGTTTTGATTACTACACATTGATAAGGATGTAGTTATGCAGCAATGTGATAATCAAAAGCTTACACGTCTACTGTGCTCATTTCTACGGTTTATGTTAAGATCTAGATTTATCTCTGCAGATAAGCAAGACTCAGAGAAAACATTGATATGTGAATGCCTTTGTGGTGTTCCTGGGAATCTCTTATTTTCCCAGAATCTGCATTAGTGCTTGCTTGACTGAATCCTAATTATAGGAGCCAGCTATGTTTATAAAATTGGTAGTGTTTGTCCTCGTTGGAAATTGGTGTCATGATCTTATTCCTATGGTGAGCTTCTGGAGGGAAAAGAGGTGGTTTACTTACACTGGATAGTTAGGAAAGTACTTGCGCAGGGAGTTACCATGAAGTAGTCAAACTTGAGTTTGTGATGTTGTGTACTTGTGCTTGGAGTGAGTATAACAGTTGAAAACAACAACGTAGAGGTTCTTTATTCTTGTTCGTGTGCTCTAGTGGATTATTGGAGGAACATATGTTTTACAAAGGATGACTCTTATGATAGTAATGGTATTGAGTTCATTGTGCTGTAACCATTCCCCAAGTTACCACCATAACATCACTAGACTAGTTTTCCAAGATTGGAATGTGGTTAACTGGATAGAATCAATTCGATTTTCTTAATTATTTTGTGTGATTTCGTTGGGGTTTTCTGTTGAACGATAACTTTGGCCATTTGACAAAGCAGATTGCTTTACTGGAAGAACAGCAACTTGAGGCTGCAGAACAGGTTGAAGATGAATCTAACTCTATCGATAATGAGCCAACTGAAACAGAGGCCACTCCCAAGAATGAGGTTTTAGATGAGAAACCTGACATTAATGACGTTCCTATGGAAGAAAATGAGGTAAAATGTTTGTAACTATTTTTATGCTTATGTTGTTTCCTACTATTTCTTGCTTAATGGAGACAACGTGCTTATTATGTGCATTGATGTATATGGAAAACCTAAATTGACTGATGAATATGGACATTTTTGGGAAGGAGGAAAACTTGATGGTTAGGTTTTCTGTATAAAAGGTGAACTATTATCAGTCTATATGGGCACTGGACTTTTCTGGTGGAGGGATTCCATTTAATTGTCGTTCTTTATATAGTGAATTGGGGAAAGCATATTGGCAGTAGAATTCCAAGATAAATCAAATGGATTTCATTTCATTTTCTATTGACTGTAACTTGTATTTTGGTTTCATTCTCAGGACAATAATCAGGTAGTATGCCAAGATCTGAATGAAAGCACTTTGGATTTAAGTTTGGGCTTGAATGCGCATGAAAGTGATAATGGTTCTGCTCTAAATACTGAACAAACCAGAAATGGTTAGTTGCAAAAGTAGGTTCAAGTATTGGTGAGCCTATGATTGGAGGTCTTTGAAAAATGGCACTCATAAACTTAAAAGGAGGAGCTAATTTGTTGGTGTCTAATTCTGAATTCAGTTTTCCCTTTGGCTTTATATTTTACCTATGGCCATATAGGGCAAGTGAATTTCAGTGGCATACGCATGTACTACTAGTCTTCATTTGATGTTTCATTGTTTAGCCGATTGCAAATTGCACCCATTCGGTATAAGATGCAAAACTTATACTTTCAACATTGAAATGATTGAATTTTTTTCAGCGGCCATTTTTGTTTACTTCTGAGACGGGAGATGTTGTACTTGGAAATTGTAGTGGGATTTTAAACTTCTGATTTATTAAACAAGAACTATGGTAAAGTTTAGTCTTACTATGCTTTAGTTCCTTGATTACACCAGTTGAAATGTCTTGCTATGTTGTTTCATGTGTGATTATTGCTAATTATAGTAGTTGGCATGTTAACAGAGATGTACCACCAGTTTAACTTCGATGCAATTTCAGTGGCATGCTCTTCTATACGGCCAGCCTCTCAAGCTCCTTCCCTCTCTTACATGCTCTTAATGCTTCCGCAGACCTTCCTACTCCCTTCAGAATTTTATACTTCTTCTCACCCAAAGCTTGCAGACGCAACTCCTCAGGAGAAGCAGATCCATCACCACTCTGTAAATGATTAGGCTCATCAACAGAAAGACTTCTATGTATTTCTCCCACCCCATGCTTTTAATGCTGCATACTAGCACCCACATTACTGTTAGACTCTTGTCCTGACTCCTTCCTATCATTACCGAGAATTTGGTTCAGAACTTCATCCTCAGGCTTTGATGTCAACTTCAAACTGCCTGCACAGAAAGTTAGAGGTTTGATACAGAAGGAACCATCAAAGGGTAGAGTAATTCAATCTTTTTCTGTCTGCCATTAAAATGATGCAAGTGCAACAAACTCTGTCTGTACCATAATTCAGCAAAAAAGCATGTGGCAGAATCACAAAACTAGCAAAACTGGTGACAGAACCGACAAATGTTCAACACAACAACAAATGAACTAACAACCTTAGAAGGAATCAAGATGGCACCTCTCCCAGCTCTAGTCTTGTGCCCATGTCTCTCAAAGCGTGCTGCTTCTTCTAGCTTTTCACAAGGCTCACAAATGTGCACAGGCGAATCACCTTGCCCGCGTAAAAACATTTTTTGCTGGGTGCAGCTGTTGCAAAACAAGCCCCCACACCTCCGGCAATGATGCTGAAATTCCACATTGCATATAACCAAGAATCAGAAAAAGACCCAGAGACTAGAAAGAAATATCACATTCAATCCTAGAATAACCTGCAAATAAGCTTAAGTTGGATAACAAGTCCTTTATATAATTAGAACACATTTCTTTGCACAACACATACTACAAATCCCCAGTACATTCTTAAACGAAATGATCATGGGCCTGTACAAAACAAACAATCTACGACGGTGTCCACAAGGTTCAAAATGGAAAGCCACGAAGCGCAGTATCGAAATCACGGTTGAGTTCACATATAAACTTCTTTAAAAAACTCAAATTTTGATGCATGGGTAATGAATAAACAAAAGAACTTGTCAAGAACTCATAGATGGGTCATTGGATCGGAGATGGAGGGAAGCATAAAAAATGAACCTTGCGATTGATGAAGGTGAACCGAGAAGTACATCCCTGACAGTGTGAGGCGCCAACCACCCAAGTATTCCCTCTCAGTGATGGCTTTGCCGGCAACCCGATCTGCTCCAACATCTTGACGAAGGTGAACAGAAAAGTACCGCCGGTCCTTAGATATATTCGAATATTTAAATAGTACAGCCGATCGGCTATACTTTAAATATATTAGGATATTTTAACCATATAGCCGCATGGCTGTACTCTGGAAAAATATTTGGATATTTAAATCGTATAGCCGGTCGGCTATACTCTGGAAATATATTCGAATATTTAAATAGTACAGCCGACCGGCTATACGCTAAGTATATTTGGATATTTTAAACGTATAGCCGCGCGGCTGTGCTCTTGAAATATATTTGGATATTTAAATAGTCTAGCCGTGCGGCTATAATCTGGAAATATATTCGAATATTTAAATGGTACAGCCGCGCGGCTATACTCTATATAGTAGGATATTTTAACAGTATAGCCGCGCGGTTGTACTGTTGAAATATATTTGGATATTTAAATAGTATAGCCGTACGGCTATACGCTGGAAATATATTCGAATATTTAAATAGTAACGCCGCCCGGCTATACTCTCAATATATTCGGATATTTTAAGTATAGCTGCGCGGCTGGACTCTTGAAATATATTTGGATATTTAAATAGTGTAGCCGTCCGGCTGGACTCTGGAAATATATTCCGATATTTAAATAGTACAGCCGCCCGGCTATACGATAGGCGTTCTCTCTCTCTCTCTCTCTGCGATTCCGAAGTTTGGAGTCAATTTAAGCTGGTCAGAGGGTTAATCATGCTTTCAAGTTTTTTTTTGGGGGTTCTAATGAAGAAGCAAAACCCAATTCTCATAGCGACAACGCCAATATTTTGGATTGACCAAAAGAACCTGGGGAAATGGGGGAAGGGAATATGAACTGCGCAGAGCTACAAAAATGTGGAGCAAATGAAAGGAGTTCGGACCCCAAAAAGAAGAGAGAGTTTTGGAGAAAAGAGATTATTGGTAAATTAGGGACTTTTGGTGTCCAACTATCCACTAACTTTCAGTTGCAAAATGACAAACAACAGAGAAGTACAAATACTCGTACCACATCTGACTATCCAAAGATCTCCAAGAAGGCAACCGTAAATCAGGGGTACCAAACTGAATTCAATACAACGGAAGGGAAGTAGGCAACATGAGCCTTTGCACCCATGAGAAGATGTGCTCAGGACAATTTTCGTCATCATTCTTCAGCAGCAGCTGCTTCTGTCTCGGAGAAAAAATCTTGCCTGGAATATAGAAGATTGTGTCGTAGAGATGTTCAGGTTATGATGGAACAAACTCATAAAAACATTTTGATTCATTCCAATTAAACCATTGATAACAAGCACTGTTTACTGAATCATTTGATAAGATCCTATCCTTGAATAATCACCAAAATTCCACATCAAAACAAATAACATCAAATTGAACTTACCGTATTTTACGAGAAAGTTGGTAGAGGCCTGTCCCTGCCATTGCTACATTCACACTAAAAAGATTCCAGTTCTTCTGCAATTATGAATTACAGAAACCAAAACTTAAAATCCAGCAGAAAATATATCCAGGAAAGCTCCAATAACAGAATCAAGAAGAGAACCAAAAGACTTATCCTTAACACAAGCACTTTTACTCCTTTTACCTGCAACCAGGTCCCTTTTTTCTGTTCTATTTCCACATCAAAGAACATGTATGACTAGTTTGTCGTAATGGTGATTATCTTATGTGTTTAAGGTTTTGGAGGGGTCCAGAGGCATGCCACCATTACTTTATCATGGAGCTCACAAGTTTACCGAAAGCAGGTCTTTCTAATCATTTAAGAAAACTCCAAAGTTGACAAACATAAACCTGAAATAAAATTTTCGAACCAATCTTCCTTTGGAAAGTAAAAAGTTTGGATTGAACTTGTGATCACAACAACAATTTAGCACATCAATCATTTCAAGCAAACCTAATTACATCACAGATTGTACACTACACACCAAATCTACATAAGATATGTTCCAAGTTCATATGATCAACAAAATTTACAATTTGAAGCAAAAGCACAACCTGTATATGTATTCATTTTATAAACTATTCAATAAAAGTTGGTGTTAAGTAAACTTGAAACAGAAGTAGCTGTTTGACACTCTCTGGATCAGAGTTATTATCATCAATCTTGTGATCTTCTAGAGGCAGGAATATTATATCAACAGTTGTGCTTACCGGAGTGATGACAGTGCTATAGCGTGACCAGACAACTCCAGTGCATGCAACCGCTGTGTAACAATATTGAAAGAGACAAAGAAAAAGAAAAGTGAGAAGAATACAACATTGAGGTGACTCAATGTGTATCTTAAAGCGCTTGTAGTACAAGAAAAATGACTCCACATTTACAGAAGTACTTGTATACAACATCAAACAAACCTAATTGCTGAGGATATGAAAGATTTTCAGGTGGTTTAGCGAAGTCAGCAACATTAGCTATGCTGATGCCCCATTTAAATGTGGGTGCCCAAAAGTGAACTGCAATGCAATAACAGAGTAATTAATTAATACAAATCACTATCCGTAAAAAAATAGCATTACAATTATCAATATAGCAGAGTTTATATAGATTGGTTTTAGGTGGTCTCCAAAGGGTAGCAGAGTTTTTCCCAATTATCAATATATTAGCAGCCAACTTGGTTTCAACCAAAGCTCTGTTCCAAACAATGCTTTGTTCCAAACTTCCACACGACCACCCAAAAAAAAAATCAAATGCAAACAAAACAAATGGTTATTCTAAACCTGTGAAAGCCATCTAACCAAGTGAAGTTAGCTCAGAAATCCAACTCTCAGTTCTCCTTTAAGGTCATTTCCATTAGTAATTTTCTTTTTTAATGCAATGCACTACAGAAATTTGTTGACAACGTCAACGCACTTTAGTTTTTTTTTAAAATCAATCAATCAATGAACAAAATTTGCAGGGAAGAACTTGATCAAAGCTTAAATGCAAACGATGCAAAATTAAAACTTGAACTTTATTAGTCTAAAAGAAACAACTAGTCCTCCTACTTCTAATTTCTAGGAGAAGTCTCAACTGGGTCTCTTCACCAGAAGATAGTTAACGGTATGATTCATTTTAGGGACGGGTTAACTCTATCCAAAGAAAAAGATCTAAATCGCGCAAAACAGAAAATAAAAATTTAAAAATTGAAATTCGGATAAAAATAATTAGAGAAAAGGATGATTCAGGTGTGAGATTGGAGTAACTGTGACTCACTGGTTTTAGGGCCGGCCGGATGATTCCACAGCGCTTGGAGCTTCGAAGCCGCCATTAATATTCTCTCTCTAGCTCTGCAGCCCGCTCGAGTCAGAGAGAGATCAATAATATCTGCTCGACCGTGTTGATCTGTAAACCAATAGAATTATGCCACGTATGCAATTAAAGGAAAATAATTTTTTTTGGTGGGAAATAATAAAATTTCCTTTTTTCATGAAGACATTTTTGTTGGACTGGAGCGGGGTTAGGTGCCGAGGAAGGCCCCAAAGAGACAGGGGTAATTCTGGTAATTTCACATCCAGCTCCCCAAATTTGCGAAAGCTAAGCCCTATGGTTGATGATCAAGCATGAATCTTTGGCTTTTAGCAAAGCCAATTGCTGTGCTTTTGGTCACCGTAAGCAGCACCATCTTCTTGCTGCTACTCTCCCGGCAAAATCAATCTCCAAGACCAGCGTCAATGGCTCGAAGCTTTGTTCTGTGGCTTCATGGGTTGGGTGACTCAGGCCCAGCCAACGAGCCCATCAAGACCCTCTTCACTTCGCCTGAGTTTAGGAACACTAAATGGTCCTTCCCATCTGCTCCATCAAACCCAGTGACATGCAATTGTAAGTTTACATTTACAGTCATAATTTCCGGATACTTGTAATTTTATATGTAATTTTGAATTAGCTTTTTTTTATTTTTTTATGATATTACTTTTGTATGTTTATGTAATTGAGGGTTATGATCTTCTGGAGAATTTAATTACCGTTGCTATTAGTTGCGTTTTGAAGGATTGTTATAGATAGCTCTTGAATTACATGAAGTTCGAAAATTCCGCCTAGGCGGCCTGGGCGGGTCTCCTTTTTTTTCCTGACTTTAAAGAAAATCTCACGCAGCACGCTAGGTTGTCCCTTGTTATCAAACGCATTATGAGTCTATGATGCATTCAATCTTGATTTTCAATACGTAACTTGTATTGCTTTTAGAATTGGGGTCTCAAATTAAAGTGGAGACTGCGGTCATTGTTGAAAGTGCAGGAATCTCTTTTTTTTGTGAGTGAAAGATGCCTTTGTGCTGATAAATACATAGAAAGAGCATAACTTGATCTAGAGCTATTCAGTATACTGATATAAGGCATAACTTTGTTCTTGTAGATGGTGCTAGGATGCCTTCATGGTTTGACATTGGTGAGATTCCTGTAACAGCTGTAAGTTATGATTCTGTTTCTTCCCTTTATTTATTTAAATATGCTTGATAATTTTCAGTAGACTCATGCCCAGATAATATTAAGCCCCTGATCTCACCCTTCCACCCTTATTCTTAAGGCCAGAGGAGCTGTCGAAAAGGCCATTGGCCTCTCAAAATATAATTTATTTTTTTTCTCCTGCTTAAATCTTTCTGTTTTGCATTCATGTTATGAATTCAAATGAAAAGGGGGTCTGACACCCTCTACCACTTGAACCCGTTCTCATGAAATTGCTTGTATACTTTGTTGTTTATTGAAGACCATACTGTTACATGTTTCAGAATTCTCCAAACAATGAAAGTGACCTGCTCAAAGCAGTTAAGAGTGTGCATAAGATGATAGACAAGGAGATAGATGCTGGCACAAGTCCTAGTAATGTCTTTGTGTGTGGATTCAGCCAAGGGGGTCTGTCTCTTTCTCTAAGCACTTACATATACACGGGTAGAAACACTTGCACAATTGATTTCTTTGTTGCTACTGACTTGCAAGTACAACCTTTTTACCAGGTGCCTTGACATTGGCAAGTGTTCTGCTATATCCTAAAACTCTTGGAGGAGCTGCAGTGTTTAGTGGATGGGTTCCTTTTAGTTCATCCATAATAGAACAAATCCCACCAGAAGCAAAGAGGGTATGTTTCAGAAATCTATGACGTCTCACTAACATAGTGCCATGCAGCAATCTCTTTTGTTTTCAATCAGGATTAGTTTCTGTTATTGTGTTGTGCGTCAATAATTTATCACTTGTCATTGGGAGAATTCAAAATCAAACTGTGCTTGTCCATCTATTATAGTGATACCATCATATCTGGTAATAGATTTCATCATTGTCATCGTCATGGACTTTGTCCCATTTGTAAGATTTCTGTCTAATGAAATCTAATGTCTGTGAGTTCCTATTATATGGCATCCTCTCTCCTATTAATCTAAGAGAAAAACTATTGTGGTCTCAATGTTAAATGTGATTGAAATGAACTGGTGCTTTCTTGTGAATTGTCGCGTGATACAGCCATCTGATTACCAAAATATCATTACTACATGTGCAGACACCTATTTTGTGGTCTCATGGTATCGCAGACAGAACAGTATTTCTTGAAGCTGGACAAGCAGGTCCCCCTTTCCTCGAACGAGCTGGTGTAAACTGTGAGTTTAAGGTATTTTATGCAAAGCAACACAAGACTTCTTAAATGCACACTTCACTTGTATGCAACTCCGAAAATTTGACTGGTTGTAAATTGCAGGCTTATCCTGGTCTTGGCCATTCAATAAGCAATGAGGAGCTCAAGCACCTGGAATCATGGATTAAAACTCGTCTACCAAGTTCTTCTTGAAGGTTTTCGCTTGTATAATTATAGCCATAGGTCCTTGGTGTTTGATCATTATAAATGTGAGAATTCAAAATTCCCATTTTTATCTGACTCATATTTTACCTTTTGCCCTTATGTCAAATTTGCATTGTCTTGAATCTGATCGGGGGGAAACTGGAATGCCATAATAAGTTGTTTTTCATGGCTAGCGCAGACCTTGACTTGCTCTATTTATCATTGTTATTGCAATCTTCGGAATTTGCATGTAAATTCCTTTGACGATTTCTGATATGATGTGTAAATTGTAATGGCTTGCATTTTGCTCTACATTTTGATATGATGTGTCAAATTCAAAAACTTTGGATATACGATGTTGTCTGATCATATGCTGCCCATTTGAGATTTCTAAACACACAGAGTGTGATGTGAGTGAGACATGAGTTAGTTTCCATTCCAAGTCAACAAAATGTAGAGCAAAATGCACGCCATTACAATTTACACATCATATCTGAAATTTGACACCCTACTTGCAAATTGCAATCTATTAAACTCGTTTTGACACAGTCAAAATGGCATTGTCTTTTTACAAAAAATAAAGTATCTTATTGCTTGATTGATTAATCCAGTTTAGTTAACAAAAGCCTTAGAATTCATTGAATGCATTTGTATTTAAATAAACTTTTACCTCGTACAGCTTTGTTCAGGGTCAGGTTCAACTGTAAATAAAACAAGGATTAAATAAATAAAATTTCATTTAAAAAAATAAAAAACAGGTCCAGGCTCATCCCCCTGGGCTGTAGCACACCACAGATAAGGCCGAGCTCAAAGCCCCACCAACCCCTACTTACTTACTTACTTACACGGAGGAGACCGAGAGAGACTAATCAAAGGTAAGCTGGTCCCACAACATCACAACCGTCCAAGTAATCCTATCCACGCACTCTGAGACACTGCATGTACAGATAGTAAGTAGTCCTGCGTTGCACGTGAACATTGCCCCCAATCAGAACCCAACTTTCGTAATTTCATACATCACCCCAACACCAACTCCAATGCGTCTCTCTCTCTCTCTCTCACTCTCTCTCTCTGATGAATAAAACCTCAGCAACCCTTCAACGGCCAAAACCTCTCCCTCTGTCTTCTCTCTCCGAACCTCATCGTCATCAACTGTAAGTCTTTGATTCACCAATAGGCAACAACCATGAAGAAGCTCTACCGGAAAGGGACGGTTCATCCTTCACCGCCAATCATATCAGATCAACTGGCCTTCCTTCCCGCCACCATCCTCACCCTCGCGGCGGCTCTGTCGCCCGAGGACAGAGAGGTCTTGGCTTACCTCATCTCCTGCTCCAACAGCTCCATCAACTTATCATCCTCCTCCTCCTCGTCATCATCGTACGGTTCACGTAAGTCCACCGCAGCCTCTGCCGCCAAAAAGGGCGCCGCAAAAGGCAGTGGGAGCGGCGGTGACCACCCGGCGCGGTTTAACTGCGACTGCTTCAGGTGCTACAAGAGTTACTGGGTCAGATGGGACGAGTCGCCGAATCGGCAACTGATCCACGAGATCATCGATGCTTTTGAAGATGGGTTGTTGGCTGAGAGTAAAGGGCAGGCAAACTCAAAGTATAATAATAATAACAGTAGGAAGGAGAGGAGGAACAAGAGGGGTCATAATGGTGGGTCATCGGGTGAGCTGAAGCGGTCCGAGTTGAGTTTGAAGAAGAAGGAGCTGGCTCAGGCTCACATGGCGGATCAAGAGACTGGTGGTGGTGGTGGTGGTGGAGAGGTTGATGAAGAAGACTCAGAGAAGGGTTCAGTGAGAAGGTTTGTGAGCTTTGTTGGAGAGAGGATATGGGGTGTGTGGAGCCAATAAGTTTTCCCTAATCTCAAAGACCACATCAAGCAATAATTAAGTTATAATATGACTTAATTATGAGGTGGGTTTAGTTAATTCCATCTTCTTCTTAATCTTCATCTCCATATCTTCATCATGTGTCTTTTCTTTTGTTTTGTTTTTTGGCCGTAAATTACCCTTTCAAGTACATGTAAACAAAAATGGGTAATTTTAATTTTGACCTTTGAGTCATCACAAATTAGTTTGCAACAACTGTGACTCTGACACCGAGTGTTTTTTATTTTATTTTGATGGTGCATGCAAAAATCTATTATTTTCATCAGCTCCTGCCTGAAAGGTTTTTGGAATGAGAGCACACAGCACGGGGTGGCTTCTTTCCTTATTTTGTCTTTTGACTCTTTCCTCTTTGCTTGCAAAAATGTTGAACGACCCGTCGTTTGTCGAAGCATATCTTTGCCAAATCGCCAAATGCCTTGGCTTCCCATATTTTGGCATCAACATAATGTTGGAAACCATCACTTCACCGGTTTATTATTAGATTATACACAAATTTTGATTCCAACACATAATCTCGTAACTAGTTGCGATGAGAAGAGGTAGGTGTCTCGCAGAGTCGCAGAGGTAGGTGTCGCACTGCACTAGGCGAACACAAAAAAGTTAGGCTTCGATCAAAGCAAAGAAGCCAAAAGAGTTCCCCACTATAAACTCCAGTCCAAACCCTCACCTTCTTTTCGTTGTTCCCCAAGCCCATTTATTCCTTCCATAATTGATTAATTTAATATATAACGTCACCTTTTGTGGACGAATTTACCCCTTTTCCAACATCAACCCTAAATTTATTGTCTATATTGTTTGTACTCAAGTTGCTAAAGCAAAACCTGATTATAGTTTATATGGTGGTGTAATGCTAGCTCAATACTTTTGATGATGAACTACTTCTTTACAAGGCTATTATGCACTGAATCGATCGATGCTTAATGATTATAAATAGGGAAAGGAAAATGGGTGGTCTTTTTATTGATTGAGAGTAAATCGGCTTCCTTTTGAGGAATCACTTAAAACGATGAGGAAAAAGGTGAGGGAAAATTGCAGTTTACCAAACCGAAAGAAAAAGGTCATCCACACTTTTGTGTTTAGTTTTAGACTAAATCTCACTTATCAAAAAGAAAGAAACCACATACGTACTTTAAACAAACAATTATGACAAAATGAAAAGATAGATGATAAGGACTATTGGTAACTCTAGTATAAATATTCTAAGTGGAAGTGGACTTTTTAACAACATAATTAAAGAAGAAACTCACTTTGTTAACTCTAATTAACCTTGCACAGTTGCACCTAATTACCAACAATGAGACACTTGTAAGCATATATGTGCACTACATGCCTTCTCCATTAAGTGAGAAACATATCCATCTTTGACATTTCCTTAATAAAAGTGCAATATTCAGTTGATCGAATCGAAATAAAAAGGGCATTTGGGTAATTTTCAAAAAGGAAACAGAATATTGTAATAATAAATATTCTCTGAAATTTTGCACCCTGATTGTTTTTTTTTAATAACTAATAAAATTTGGTAAAATAAATGAGTGAGAGAGTATCTTTGGAATGCACATCTTGGGTTGGTTTGGGGCCAATAAATAAATAAATAAATACCGAACCGAAAGAGGGGGACAATTAGCCCAACTCTCGGTGCCTCCAGCACATATTCCCCGACCATATAGCTTAACATGTACCTACGTATCATAACCGTACACGTAGCATGGAAAACCTCGGATGTGCCTGATTCCTGCGTTATTTTGACGGTCTAGATTTATCGTTAAACTAAACCCATCCATACATGTTTTCCATTAGGTGGTTAACAAACTTTAGTTCAAGTCTCCAAACTGGCAAGCATTAGCTGAAGATGCTGGTCAAGATGGTGTGAGTTGAGTTTACTCTTGAAATGAATATTGCTTCAAGGATTTATAAACAAAACAATAAAGTTGCAAATTATAGGTCCCTAAAATAAAGTTGCATTATTATTATTATGTATAAGCGATGGTTTAAATTCATCTAATTTGTGTAGAGATTCGGATGCTCACTTCACTTGGTGTCGTTTTTTAGCTTTGTTCTCACGCGTTTCATTTGGCTAAATGATTTAATGTATTTATTTCTTGGTGAGCCATCCAAAATTCTTCAGACCACTCATGATGATAATGCAGATAATACGAGTTGGATTTGGATTTTTGAATGGGTCAAGTTCAACAACTTTTAACATTTAGATGAAGTCCTCAAATAAAACCTGCAAGAGCAGGCAGAGGCTCATGCTCATCCACAATTCAGAATGAACAACATCTTTTGGCTTTTGTTGCAAACTTTTTAAAGTTCACGTTATGTTTGTGATGCAGATAGCAACTGAGCTTTTCTCCACTCGTCACATATATCAACCTGACGTGTTTTACTGAGCGTTGATTTCGTTTGTAGCTTTCACAAAAGTCTTATTAAGACTTAATTAAACCCAAACAGAAGGCTTGCATGCAGCATATGCATGAATTAGTCAACACCAAAAAGCAGATTCTTTCTTTTTTGGTCCACAGTATCAAATTGAAATGCTTTTTCCCTAAGTAAGAAAACAAAAAACCCATTGGAATCCATTATGTATGCGAGATTAAAAAGCAAAATGCTTTACTTTTCTTAAACACATGACTCATGAGCCGTGCTGTGTAAGATTTTTCTATTATTCACCAATATATCAATCATTTCATTCATGGTTTGTCAAATGAATTTCGAATTCTATTTCACTTTTGTGATTGGGATTCTATATCTGCTTGCTTTGATTTGAACGACGTTGGACAAAGAACAAATCTAATCTCTTCTTTTTTATCTTTTTCTTTAGTACTCAGAATTCTATATCTGAACATTCACATGGAAGTTTTTACATTCCTCACATACAGTTACATAAGATAATTAAAAGAACATCATGTTAAAATTACAATGGACTCATTCATTGACTCATTTGACAGCCTTTTATGATGGAAATAACAACAGCAATACCTTGTAATGTGGACTTAGGCTTGTACAGGTACAGAAGAGGAGCTCATGGATACACAGCCTTTCAAGCGTTCGATAACATTTCTGCTCACCAGCCCGGAATGGTGCGTCAGAGGAAGGCCCTCCTTCACACACTCATCATACTTCTCCAAAGCAGACACAATGTCACTAAAATCCGGCCGCTTCGAAGGGTTTGCTGCCCAACAGCGCTTGATCAGGTGCGCAAGCGCCGGTTGACAACTAGCCGGCATTGGAGGGCGTTCATTCTGCCGCATCAAAATAAAATGATGCTTATTTCCTCCAATTTCAGCAAATTTTTTTTTTCCACGTGTAGCAGCAAACAAAAGATTGATTACGCACTTGTAACAACTTTAAATAGGAATCTTATTCTATAAGAGCTTTGGAAGCCCCTACATAGATGTAGACTGATGTAGCAGCTTGCATTGCAGCATATATATAACCAAAACCACATCTTAATTAATGAACAATTCCTGTTCATTCAAAGCAAATACATTTTTCACTAGAATGTTTTTAGTCCATTAGACAATTTAGGATCCAAATTATGAGAAATCCTGAATTGAAGAATAGTATATATCAAGTTAGACAGATAAAAAAAGCGTAAGACCTAAGCATATTTCAAGAAAGATGGTATGGAATATCTTTTGACTCTAATGAAAGGATGTGCAATTTGAGAATAACCATCTCACCTTTTCAGCCACAGCAAATGCAGCCTGCACAGGGGTCATTCCTTGAAAGGGAAGCAAAGCTGTTGTCAGCTCCCATAACACAATCCCGAAACTATAAACATCAACCTTCCGAGTACAAGGTTTCTCCTTGATCATCTCCGGTGCCATCCAACGGTAAGTTCCCTTGTTTCCCTTGGTTTCCCGGCATTGTGTTTCAAGACACGATGTACCAAAATCTGCCACCTTAACCCTCATTTCATCATTAAGAAGCAAGTTATTGGATTTGAGGTCCCTGTGGATCACCCCTTGAGAATGAAGATACTCCATTCCTCGGGATATGTCAAGAGCTAACCTCAGTATTGTTTCTGTTGAAAGAGAGTATGGCTCCTTCTTGTTGAGATACATCCTCAGCGTTCCTTGTGACATATATTCCGTGATGATACAGTACACAGGGGGCTTTTTACAAGCCGCAATAAACTGTGAACAAAAAGAGTTTACCAATTTAGCAACAAGATATTCAATAATCACATGAGCAAGTGTTGATGCAGAGTACTATTGGATTACACCCAGTCTAAAGTAGTAGACCACCGGTTAAAATGCTAATATATATTATATGCCAACATGATAAAACCAACATATAATCTCGGAGATTAAAGGCAAGGCCAAAGAAGATGTGGGATTTACATATTAAGAGCCTAACAGTGAGAACCCCGAAGTCTAGATAATTTAATTTGCTCAAAATTTCTTAGGATGTCTTTCTTATATTTGATCATCTAGACAACCAAACCAAACCAAGTTTGACAGAGGAGGATCAATGCCGATTTCCCCTTATCTGAAGTGGAAAAACAGATAGAGCTATACTTTTACTAACATGTTCTGATTTATAATAGTAATCTATAGATAATACTAGTAGTACAGAGCAGAGCCAAGGGACTTTGTTAACTAACTAGCATCCTCCAATACACTATTTTCCATGAACTTTTTTAAACATTTGAAAGCAAGAAAACCTTTAATTAATGTTACCAATAATAGTAGATGAATTTTTGTTTTGGAAGTTGGAACATAAACCTTACCTGCACTATGTTGGGATGAAAGAGACGTGAAAGCAGGGCAACTTCAGACTTAAATTGCTGCTCAAGTAAGGTTCTGGTCTCCTCCCTCTGGGTTGGAATTCTCACCATTTTCACAGCAACAGCTCTCTGCTTGTAGATTCCACGATAAATCCGACTATGTGCTCCAGACGCGAACTTGTTGCCAATAAACAGCTGAGAAAGATCAGCAGTCCACTCCTCCTGGTCCTCCTTTGACACCTCCCAAGTTTCCACATTTTCCGACTCCAATATCATAGACCATGAGTCCAAACTATCAAATCTCTTCCTCTCCATGCTGTCCATGTCAGAATTGAACTGGGGTCTCGACGAGGAAGGGTTTGGTAAAGACTTGCTCTTTGACTTTCGAAGACCAAGTGCATGGAAACATGAGGCCGCCATTGGGGTTCTAACTGAGGTGGTTCAATAAGCCCTTTAAGGAAAATTGGTATTATTATATGAAATATGGCAAGTCTTCTGTCAAAACAAACAATCAAAAGGTATTTTCCTTCTGAACGTGTGAATTGATTTCAGGAAGTGCATGAACAGATTCCGAAACATGGATCACGAAGAAGAGTGGATTACATGTGTGGGTTTTCATCAAGTAACGGAACAGGGATGTTATCAAGGAATAAGCTTCAAATTTCTCAGAGAAAAAACACGAACATAGAATAACCAAGAGACTATTTTCCATGAAAAAGATAGGCCAATTGTTGTGTATCAAAGGAAAAATGATTGAGTCGAAACCTTGTGCTTGTGATGAAAGTGAAACACATGGAAAGGGAGATGACTTGGTTTCATGGTTTCAAGGATTAGAAGCAAAAGAAGAGAGAAGGCTTGAAAATGAAGATTTTGCAGATGAAGAGAGAAAGGGGTACGCAGATTTTCACGGTTGTTTTATTTGTGATAGGATAAGGAGGATTAGGTCGTTCAGCAGTAGAAAGATGAATTCGAAGGCAGAGATTTCAGGGGTGGCTCGTGATTGCTCGGTTCAAAAGTATACTTTTTTTTTATTGGTTTGAGAGAGAGAGTCGAGCCAGCTACTCTGTTATGTTCTGTTTCTGTAGCAGGTTCTTTTTAGCATCACGAATGCTAAGTGGCCACAGTGGCAAAGGTTTTTTTAGATTTGCTGTTCCTGGAAACTTGGGATATATCCCAATTCTTTAACTGTAATTAACAGTAATGCCACTTCTGCTTTGCACAAATGTCATACAAAGGGGGCTTCAAACCCAAAATAAAAAGGCAAAAACAATTTCTTTTAGTGGTTGACTGAATTTGAATTTAACCATTGTCAAAATTAAATAATTGCATCAACAATTCATTGTTCTTCTCACTGAGCGATTTGGGATTTAAATTTGCCCAAATGAAATGATCTATTACTCTCTCCATCATAGGATATGATTGACAATGCCTAATCTTGTTTATGTCCTTATTAATTTATTTGTTAATGAAAATTTGATGATTCTGCGAATATTTTTGCCCCTTCTTCTTGAAGAAACTTGGTGATGGTTCTGATAGTCTGATTTATGTCAATACTGTACCAGGCATAATACTTGGTCAGCTGCCCAAGCTTAATGGGCTTTAAAATACGGGTAACGTGGCAATGCTTGATTCATATGTTTTTTATGATTTACGTGTTAATAAGAACAAATCTTTTACATAAGCCGTGCTATCTGCTCCAACAAAAAACCATAAAAAAATTATATTGAATATTTTAATAGTACAGTCGAGCGGCTATACTTTGTTAATATATTCGAATATTTTAATAGTATAGCCGTCGGCTGTACATTTTAAATATATTCGAATATTTAAACGGTATAGCCGTTCGGCTATACTTTTTAAAATTCAAAAGTGTAAAGAAGAAAAATTTACAGCAGCCAGTTCAGTATCAGTGTCATATTCTGTTCCTCGTCTTTGTCGCTTTTTCCTCTTTGCGCCCAAGTTTATCAATTTGCCGTTCAGTTTCTGTTTGAACAGTAACCCGAAAACAGAAGTGAAATGCTTCATTCCATATGTTTTTGATGATTTATGTCTTAATGAGAACAAATCATCTACAGAAGCTGTGCCATCTGCTCCAACAAAAATCCATGGGTAGAAGGGAGCTGTTAGGGAATACAAGGAATCGAATGCGCGGTTACTGTTGGAGGAAATGGGCACAGCCCGATTTAAGCCGACAAGTACATAACATAAGAGCAAGTTGGGCTGCGGGATAAACCCTGTTTGGAAGAATGTCCTCTGCAGATGAGGAATTGGACAAAAGTCGGATGCTAGTTCAGAACTTTTGATAGAAGGTTTCCCGGTGGCATTAGTTAGTAGATCCTCACTAGTAGGAGGTGTTGATTCATCTTGCCTTTCTCCAGTTGCTGGCAGGTTTGGGTCTAGGCAGAGAAATATAATATATAAATAGTATAGCCGCTGGCTATACTGTATAAATACATTCGAATATTTTAATAGTATCGCCGCCTGGCTATACGTTACTAATAAATTAGAATATATAAATAGTATAGCCGAACTGCCATACTTTGTTAATATATTAGAATATTTAAATAGGACAGCCGGGAGGGGCGGCTATACATTTTTTATATATTCTAAAATTTTAATAGTATAGCCGGACGGCTATACATTGTCACCTAACCTCTCCTAAGCTGGCTTGGGCTATTCTGTAGCTCTATTTTCCTTGGATCCGGGCCGACTAAAATTAAAGGCCTATATTTAAAAAGTATAGCTGGCGAATATTTAAATAGTATAGCCGCGCGCCTATACTATTTTAATATTTTAGAATATTTAACAGTATAGCCGAATGGCTATACCTTTTGAATATATCGAATATTTAAACGGTATAGCCCCTCGGCTATACCTTTAAATATATTCCAAAAATTCTGAGAATTACATAAAAGAAGCAACATAATTGATCTATGCATCTTAGGTGTTTTACCCAATCCATCATATTATACAACAACTAGAAAGGCCCATATGAGGAAAAGTTAACCAACTTGAGTTAAATGACGTACAACTCCATTTTGTAAGTGAAAATTTGCAACAGAAGCCAGAGCTTTTCCTCTCTTTTTCTCTTGCACAAGGTACTTAGAGGCTCAGGCAAAGGAACAAGAATTAGTTAACAGTGTTTCAGACGGAACAACATACAACACAAGATTGTGCAAAACTACAAAAGCAATTTGTATGATGTAATCGCCAATTACACAATATTCACCCTTAGCTGTTTCATACTACAACAGAGCCGTCGTCTCCATTTATACCAGTTTTGCAGGAAAAAAGAGGAGAGAAAAATTCACTTAATAACTAGTTTTATTAGAATACTAGTATACCTGGCACACAGTCGCATTAGGGGGGTTTTTTTTTAAGAGATATTTAGTGATATACCCATTCTTAGCACTAATATTATAGATAAACCCTCCATCATTGAATTTCTATAAACAAACCCAAAAAAAACCCCAAAAATAATAGGTGGCCTTATTGAATTTAATATTGATTATTAAATTACTTTAATGCCCTATTGAGTGTTTTAGGTATTTTTATGAGATTTTGGGGTTGGGCTTGTTTTAAGAAATTTATGGTAGTTTTGTAATTTATAAGAAGTTAAAGCCTCTTTGTTATGTTGTAAATGAGTTTTGGGTGTGTTTATAAAATTCATTTCATATGAGGTATTTTTATAATTTGAGCTCCCATATTGGGTATATTAGTGAATCTCCCTTTTTTTAATGCTGAAAGCAATTTATCAGAATTTGTCCACTCATCCATCAGTGTTCTTTCCTCTTCTGGTTCAAGTGTGTTCTCCCAAAACGTAGAACTAGATGTATCAGCTGGCAAATGTTGTATGTCTTCACCTTAAGAAAGTTTTGATTGAGAAGCCAGCTTAGATCATAGGAGCCACTGCATGTACCTGGGATGGGGCTGAGAGTCACAAATGTCTGATTTTAAAGGGAATAAAAGGCCATGTGTCAGAGAGCAAATCTATGAGCAAGACTTAGGCAGAAAAGTATGATAAATATTATACATCCTCAAATTTTAAAAAGAGACTGAAGCACTTACAGAAATATTTGTCATTTCTCTTTTCACAAGTGTGATCACACGTTTGATTAGAAATTCCCAGGTTGATCCCCTGTAAGACAGGCTGTGGAATTTTTTCAGTATTCAGATCAAGCAATGGTAGCAACTCGCAAAGACACAATATTTTCCTCTCTGAGAATATGCAAAAATAGCAATTCATCCTGGAGTCTGATTTCATTCTTAACATTATAATATTAATGTCATAGTATATAATATATATATATATATATATATATATATATTATATATAGGTTCAGGTTATAGTTGGGGAGTCAAAACGTGCGTTTAACTTAAAATAAAGAAACCAAAACCTTAAACGAAGTCGTTCCATTGAAGAAAACCTTAAAAAAAACAACTTCATCTTCTCCATCGCGCTATTTGCAGAACGCAGAAACAGCAGCGCTATTCTGCCTCGCTCCGCCTCGGCCGCCTCACCACCCCTGGGGTATATGCAGATGGTGGCCAAGATCTCTATGTTCTAGGAGGGGCTAGGCGGGGGCTAGGCTCGCTAGGCGGTCTAGGCGGTCGCTAGGCGGCCTCTAGGCGGTCGCTAGGCGGTCTAGGTGGCGACATGAGGGTATATGCAGATGGTGGCCAAGATCTCTATGTTCTAGGAGGGGGCTAGGCGGGCTAGGCTGGGCTAGGCTCGCTAGGCGGTCTAGGCGGTCGCTAGGCGGCCTCTAGGCGGTCTAGGCGGGCGCTAGGCGGTCTAGGCTGTATCATCCCATGTGATCTGGTGAAGCTCTAATGCAGCAGGGCTAAGCCACGTACTAAGTTTTTCCTTTAAGTAGGAACCCAATGCTCGCAAAGACACAATATTTTCCTCTCTGAGAATATGCAAAAATAGCAATTCATCCTGGAGTAGTCTGATTTCATTCTTAACATTATAATATTAATGTTATAGTATATAATATATATATATATATATATATATATATATATACAGGGAGCTTCCATTGAGGGATCCCTCAAATAAGCTTATTTGAGGGATACTCCTTGTTGGGCCCACTCCGGATTGTATTTCACTAATCCAAACCGTCTATTTTGTAGATACACATTCAAAGATCATTTCTACAAAAAATCACTTGAATCCGATATCATTTGACCATTCAATTGATTTATTGAAATTTTAGTATTTTCTTAAAGCACCGTGTTCATTGATTTTGTAGGACACAATTGGATGTCGAAATGGTTTCCGATTTGTCTAATTTTTTGTAAAGATGATCTATGAATGAAGACCTAAAAAATAGATGGTTTGGATCATTGGAAAAAAAATTGTAGGGTACCCTAAAGGGCATCCCTCAAATAAAATTATTTGAGGGATCCCTCAATAGAAGGGGACTGTATATATATATATATATATATATATATATATATATATATATATAGGTTCAGGTTATAGTTGGGGAGTCAAAACGTGCGTTTAACTTAAAATAAAGAAACCAAAACCTTAAACGAAGTCGTTCCATTGAAGAAAACCTTAAAAAAAACAACTTCATCTTCTCCATCGCGCTATTTGCAGAACGCAGAAACAGCAGCGCTGTTCTGCCTCGCTCCGCCTCAGCCGCCTCACTACCCCTGGGGTATATGCAGATGGTGGCCAGGATCTCTAAGTTCTAGGCGGGGCTAGGCGGGCTAGGCGGGGGCTAGGTTCGCTAGGCGGTCTAGGCGGTCGCTAGGCGGCCTCTAGGCGGTCTAGGTGGCGACATGAGGGTATATGCAGATGGTGGCCAAGATCTCTATGTTCTAGGAGGGGGCTAGGCGGGCTAGGCTGGGCTAGGCTCGCTAGGGGGTCTAGGCGGGCGCTAGGCGGTCTAGGCGGTCTAGGCGGGCGCTAGGCGGGCTCTAGGCGGTCTAGGCGGACGGGCTAGGAGGGCGCTGAGCCTAGAAAAAAATAACTCCATTTTGGAATCTCCAAGGTCAGGGAAGAGATCACGATGGTGCTATGAGCGAGAGACAGAGAGATGAGGATTGAAGAAGACGTCTGAGCGAGAGAGAGGGGCTGGAAGATGGCTCTTGTTAGAGTTAGGGTTTGAGAAGGAAAATTGCATTCATATGTTGAAGAAGAAAAAAACAAAAGAAGAGATGGGCCCCCGATTACTCCTCTAGGAGTAAGACCCATGCGTGCAGCCCGGCTAGTGCTTTTAGACTCCGGTAACTTCATTTTGAAAGATAATATAAATGGAGGAATCTTTTGCGAAAGCTTTGATTACCCCTGTGATACTTTCTTACCTAAATTGATGATAGGATTCGACAAAGAAGAATGTTATAGTATATAATATATATATATATATATATATATATATAGGTTCAGGTTATAGTTGGGGAGTCAAAACGGAGAGAGAGGGAAAGAGACGGGGAGAGAGAGGAAGAGAGATTTTATTTTTTCATTTAAAAAAAATTTAAATACTGATTTTAATATTTTAAAATTTATTTTAAAAAGTAGATAAGTACATAACATAAGAGCAAGTTAGGCTGCGGGATAAACCCTGTTTGGAAGAATCTCCTCTGCAGATGAGGAATTGGACAAAAGTCGGATGCTAGTTCAGAACTTTTGATAGAAGGTTTCCCGGTGGCATTAGTTAGTAGATCCGTCCCTGAGATTTTGAGGGCCCTGTGCGAAACTTAAATTGGGGCATCACATAATCTAATACGAAAATACTATAAATAAAAATTTGCCATAACTTAATGTCATAACATTTTTTTTATAACTAAAAGTCACCATCAATATTTATGTAATGATAATCATAAATCAAATTCATAAAAATTTAAATGTTTCCATTTGATAAAATTAAATGTTTGGTACAAAAATAAGCTCCTTATGCCCCTATAAGGTCCCTTGTTTAATAGGAAAAAGAAATTGGCAATCACAAATTAAAGAGTAGTTGCACACAAATGTCAATCACAAATTAAGAGAAAGAATAAGCCATGAAGTTTTTTTGGTTTTGTTTTGAATGAAGAAAGTACTTTTCTTAGAGGAGAAAACTTTTTTTTTATATTTATTTTAAAAGAACGATAGGTAAGGAGTAGAAAGTGTTTGGGGGAATATATAAAAACAGGCAAAATAAACCAACATCAATGAGATTCGAACTCTAGCACTTCGTTAAATAGACAGCGCTGGAGCCATCCACCAGACATATTCTTATGCAAATATCTAGCACGCTGTACTATATATACAATGCTTACAATATTAATATATATAATATAAAGAAATTTTTTTCAGGGGCCTTTAAGAATCGGGGGCCCTGTGCGGTGGCGCCACTTGCACCACCCCAGGGCCGCCCCTGGGTGTTGATTCATCTTGCCTTTCTCCAGTTGCTGGCTGGTTTGGGTCTAGGAAGAGAAATATAATATATAAATAGTATAGCCGCCGGCTATACTGTATAAATACATTCGAATATTTTAATAGTATCGCCGCGTGGCTATACGTTACTAATAAATTAGAATATTTAAATAGTATAGCCGAACTGCCATACATTGTTACCTAACCTCTCTTGGGCTATTCTGTAGCTCTATTTTCCTTGGATCCGGGCCGACTAAAATTAAAGGCCTATATTTAAACAGTATAGCTGGCGAATATTTAAATAATATAACCGCGCGGCTATACTATTTTAATATTTTAGAATATTTAAAGGTATAGCCGAACGGCTATACCTTTTGAATATATCGAATATTTAAACAGTATAGCCCTGCGGCTATACCTTTAAATATATTCCAAAAATTCTGAGAATTACATAGAAGAAGCAACATAATTGATCTATGCATCTTAGGTGTTTTACCCAATCCATCATATTATACAACAACTAGAGTTAAATAACGTAAAGCTTCATTGTATAGTGAAAATTTGCAACAGAATCCAGAGCTTTTCCTCTCTTTTTCTCTTGCAGAAGGTACCTAGAGGCAAAGGAACAATAATTAGTTAACAGTGTTTCAGACGGAATAACATAGAACACAAGCCGTCGTCTCCATTTATACCAGTTTTGAGGGAAAAAAGAGGAGAGAAAAATGCACTTAATAACTAGTTTTATTAGAATACTAATAACTGGCACACAGTCGCGTTAGAGGGGGTTTTAATGCTGAAAGCAATTTATCAGAACTTGTCCACTCATGGTTTGGTGAAGTCAATAAATTGAACAACACTTCCATGCTGTTTTTCCCAGAAGTGAATTCCCTGAAAGTAACTTGCCAATTACAGTATGAAGCTTACAAGCATCCATCGGTGTTCTTTCCTCTTCTGGTTCAAGTGGTTCAAGTATGTCTTCACCTTAAGAAAGTTTTGATTGAGAAGCCAGCTTAGATAGGAGCCACTGCATGTGCCCTGGGATGGGGCTCAGACTCTCGCAAATGTCTGATTTTAAAGGGAAGAAAAGGCCATGTGTCAGTGAGAAAATCTATGAGTAAGACTTAGACAGAAACATTTGTCATTTCTCTTCTCACAAGTGTGATCACACGTTTGATTAGAAACCTTCCCAGGTTGATCCCTTGTAAGCCAGGCTGTGGAATTTTTCAGTATTCAGATCGAGCAATGGTAGCAAAAAACCGAAGATAAGAGGTCAATATTCCCTTTCAAAAAGGAAACAAAGAGTTGAAGGTTATTTAAATTCTAGAAATAATAATTAATGTAACAATATGCACACCAGAGTTGATGATATGGAGTAAAGCAAAGCGGATGTAGCCTCACATTCGGGAAGACTGAGTACCTCATAATCCACAATTTTTTTCCAGCAAAGAGGCTGGATCATCCCATGTGATCTGGTGAAGCTCTAATGCAGCAGGGCTAAGCCACGTACTAAGTGTTTCCTTTAAGTAGGAACCCAATGCTCGCAAAGACACAATATTTTCCTCTCTGAGAATATGCAAAAATAGCAATTCATCCTGGAGTCTGATTTCATTCTTAACATTATAATATTAATGTCATAGTATATAATATATATATATATATATATATTTATATATATTATATATAGGTTCAGGTTATAGTTGGGGAGTCAAAACGTGCGTTTAACTTAAAATAAAGAAACCAAAACCTTAAACGAAGTCGTTCCATTGAAGAAAACCTTAAAAAAAACAACTTCATCTTCTCCATCGCGCTATTTGCAGAACGCAGAAACAGCATCGCTATTCTGCCTCGCTCCGCCTCGGCCGCCTCACCACCCCTGGGGTATATGCAGATGGTGGCCAAGATCTCTATGTTCTAGGAGGGGCTAGGCGGGGGCTAGGCTCGCTAGGCGGTCTAGGCGGTCGCTAGGCGGCCTCTAGGCGGTCGCTAGGCGGTCTAGGTGGCGACATGAGGGTATATGCAGATGGTGGCCAAGATCTCTATGTTCTAGGAGGGGGCTAGGCGGGCTAGGCTGGGCTAGGCTCGCTAGGCGGTCTAGGCGGTCGCTAGGCGGCCTCTAGGCGGTCTAGGCGGGCGCTAGGCGGTCTAGGCTGTCTAGGCGGGCGGGCTACGAGGGCGCTGCGCCTAGAAAAAAAACATGCCATTTTGGAATCTCCAAGGTCAGGGAAGAGATCACAATGGTGCTATGAGCGAGAGACAGAGAGATGAGGATTGAAGAAGAAGTCTGAGCGAGAGAGAGGGGCTGGAAGATGGCTCTTGTTACAGTTAGGTTTTGAGAAGGAAAATTGCATTCATATGTTGAAGAAAAAAAACAAAATAAGATATGGGGCCCCGATTACTCCTCTAGGCGTAAGACCCATGCGTGCAGCCAGGCTAGTGCTTTTAGACTCGGAAAACTTCATTTTGAGAGATCATATATCTGGAGGAATCTTTTGGGAAAGCTTTGATTATCCCTGTGATACTTTCTTACCTAAAATGATGATAGGATTCGACAAAGGAGGAGCTTAGAAGAGCAATATTTGGGCATCCTGAGGACAATACTGGTGTTGAGAAGTGCTCTTTTAACTATAACTATAAGCAGGTGGTGGATGGGCTGGTTATGGAGATGAAGCAGCAGCTAAGGAAAATAATTGTGAACTTGGGTTTGGCATTTTTATTTGTTCTGGTACTTTGGTTCTATGTCAAGCATACAATCCATTCAATTCAGGAAATTAAACGCCAAGAACTGTAAATCTGTAATAACTGCTCATGCATGCATATGAAAAATGCATGAATGAATAAAAGGGCTTGACCATTGGAAGGTTATCCCTAATTCCTTTACTTACATTTTCATTGTAAGATTTGATTTACCAGTTAAAAATTATTGTTATGTTCTAAATGTTGTTTCATGTTTGATAATTTTCCCAAAAGTAATTTTATACTAAATTGTTTCAATCATAACTTAAAAGTTCATAAGACTGGTGCAAATGGGATCAGCATCCAGCATGAGAAGCAGATACGTGCCATAAGTTTAGGTTAAACATAACTGAATGTCTAGTTGGATATCATGGTAAAACTAGGTCTTATCAAAGACAATATCCTGGTAACACCAGCAACTCAACTTAATTGCTTTCTTCATTTGGGAACTCCAACCTGAAAGCCACCCACTTGTCATCACTAACGGGCAGCACTGTTATGCGATTAGGGAATGCAATATCAAGAAATTCTGTGTAAACTCTAACCCTGTTGCACAGCGAGTAACTCCTCACCCCTGTACCTTTCCCAACATTTGTGACAGCAGGAAGATTGGGTTGTATAAATGCTGGAGAGGAAGGGCTTTCTTCAGTTGAAGGGAGCATCGATTCAGAGCATGAAGAAGGATTTCCGGTTTCTTTCATGTTATCCATTTCCGGTACTGCATGAAATGAATCACAGACCTCAGCTTCGAGATTGGCGTTGGCTGATAAATCGTGTAATGTGCCTGTTTCATAAATGCAAAAACAAAGAGAGTAAAGGTTTTTGGACAAAACAACAAAGGTTCCTTTACACTAGCTAGTTTCCTTTCCTGCCGTGTGCACCAAACTTTCACCTGTTTGTTATACAGAGAATAGAGGACAGCATAGTTAGTCTTCAATGAACATTCCTTGAGCACCAAAAAAGCTGAAAGCACAGCATCATTTTAAATAGTCTTCTTAAATTACAGATGGGGTAGGTGGTAAACTGTGAGGGCAGCCTAAGTATGGGGCATCTAATATTTAAGTATTGTTAGCCAAACCTTAACTCAAGCATACACCACAATTATTGGGATTGCTAAATAAACAATTCGACAACCAATATATAACGTCAAAATTACACAAGGGAGGACATATCAATATTTCTCTGAATCCATTAATTTTTTCATGCAAAATTAACATATTTATTTTCTCCCAGCTGAAATACAAGAACAGATACTACACCCACAACGCATCAATTTAGCATCCTGTATATGCAAACTTGCATATACTAAATAAAACAGATACAAGTGTATATCACGTATTTGAGTTGCCTAAACCAGCCAGCCTTAAGTCAAGCATACAAAAAACTTAGTAGCATAGTCAACAACATCTCGACTATACCCACTAGGAATAGTCACTTGCAAATAGTGAGTATATCATTTTACCCTTAGGGGGTGGTGTAAATAACGCTTTAATTAATAAATAATAGAAGAAACAGAATATAGCGTGCAGCATAACGTTTCTTTGCTTTTCCAAAAGGAAACGGTACTGCATTACATTTCACATCACCTAAGCATAATACAAGACATGGTTTAAGATTTTAAAGATTTTAAAGATTTTGAGACTACCTTACAATCATCACTATGGCACAGCTTCTGCTCCAACAAAAATTCATGGGTAGAAGGGAGCTGTTAGAGAATACAAGGAATCGAATGCGCGGTTACTGTTGGACGAAATGGGCTTAGCCCGATTTAAGCCGACAAGTACATAACATAAGAGCAAGTTGGGCTGCGGGATAAACCCTGTTTGGAAGAATGTCCTCTGCAGATGAGGAATTGGACAAAAGTCGGATGATAGTTCAGAACTTTTCCCGGTGGCATTGGTTAGTAGATCCCCACTAGTGGGAGGTGTTGATTCATCCTGCCTTTCTCCAGTAGCTGGCTGGTTTGGGTCTAGGCAGAGAAATGTAATATATAAATAGTATAGCCGTCCGGCTCTACGTTACTGATATATTAGAATATTTAAATCGTATAGCCGGACGGCTATACATTGTTCATATATTCTAAAATTTTAATAGTATAGCCGAATGGGTATACTTTGTAACCTAACCTCTCTTAAGCTGGCTTGGGCTGTTCTGTTGCTCTATTTTCCTTGGATTCGGGCCGACTAAAATGAAAGGCCTATATATCAACAGTATAGTTGGCGAATATTTAAATAGTATAGCCGCACGGCGATACTATTTTCATATTTTCGAATATTTAACAGTATAGCCGAACGGCTATACCGTTTTAATATATCGAATATTTAAACAGTATAGCCCTGCGGCTGTACTTTGAAATATATTCCAAAAATTCTGAGAATTACATAGAAGAAGCAATATAATTGATCTATGCATATTAGGTGTTTTACCCTATCCATCATATTATACAACAACAATTATAAAGGCCCATATGAGGAAAAGTTAACCAACTGTTCTGCAAACTTGAGTTAAATGACGCACAGCTCCATTTTGTAAGTGAAAATTTGCAACAGAATCCAGGAGCTTTTCCACTCTTTCTCTCTTGCAGAAGGTAACCATAGGCAAAGGAACAAGAATTAGTTAACAGTGTTTCAGACGGAATAACATAGAACACAAGCTTGTGAAAACTACAGGAGCAATTTGTATGATGTAATCGCCAATTACACAATATTCACTCTTAGCTGTTTCATACTACAACAGAGCCGTCGTCTCCATTTATACCAGTTTTGCAGGAGAAAAAATTCACCTAATATACGAATTTAATGCTGAAAGCAATTTATCAGAATTTGTCAACTCATGGTTTGGTGAAGTCAATAAATTTAACAACACTTCCATGCTGTTTTTCCCAGAAGTGAATTCCCTGAAAGTAACTTGCCAATTACAGTATGAAGCTTACAAGCATCCATCAGTGTTCTTTCCTCTTCTGGTTCAAGTGTGTTCTCCCAAAACGTAGAACCAGATGTATCAGCTGGCGAATGTTGTATGTCTTCACCTTAAGAAAGTTTTGATTGAGAAGCCAGTTTAGATCATAGGAGCCACTGCATGTACCCTGGGATGGGGCTGAGAGTCACAAATGTCTGATTTTAAAGGGAATAAAAGGCCATGTGTCAGAGAGCAAATCCATGAGCAAGACTTAGACAGAAAAGTATGATAAATATTATATATCCTCAAATTTTAAAAAGAGACTGAAGCACTTACAGAAATATTTGTCATTTCTCTTTTCACAAGTGTGATCACACGTTTGATTAGAAATTCCCAGGTTGATCCCTTGTAAGACAGGCTGTGGAATTTTTTCAGTATTCAGATCAAGCAATGGTAGCAAAAAACCGAAGATAAGAGGTCAATATTCCCTTTCAAAAAGGAAACAAAAAGTTGAAGGTTATTTAAATTCTTAGGTGACATAAAAAATTACCAAAGAGACAACAATAATAGAATACCAGGTATTGCTGGATGTAAATATCCAAAACAACGGCGACCGAGTCCCAGCCTTCTCTTGAGATCTATAAGATTACTAATTGGGTGCACAGCCTAAACAATATAATAGGACGACATCAAGGTTGCATACATATAATACACTTAAATTTGTTACGAGACAAGGAAGACTGAGTACCTCATAAATTATCCACAATTTTTTCCAGCAAAGAGGCTGGATCATCCCATGTGATCTGGTGAAGCTCTAATGCAGCAGGGCTAAGCCACGTACTAAGTTTTTCCTTTAAGTAGGAACCCAATGCTCGCAAAGACACAATATTTTCCTCTCTGAGAATATGCAAAAATAGCAATTCATCCTGGAGTCTGATTTCATTCTTAACATTATAATATTAATGTTATAGTATATAATATATATATATATGTATATATATATATATATATATATATATATATATATAGGTTCAGGTTATAGTTGGGGAGTCAAAACGTGCGTTTAACTTAAAATAAAGAAACCAAAACCTTAAACGAAGTCGTTCCATTGAAGAAGAAAACCTTAAAAAAAACAACTTCATCTTCTCCATCGCGCTATTTGCAGAACGCAGAAACAGCAGCGCTGTTCTGCCTCGCTCCGCCTCGGCCGCCTCACCACCCCTGGGGTATATGCAGATGGTGGCCAGGATCTCTATGTTCTAGGAGGGGCTAGGCTCGCTAGGCGGTCTAGGCGGTCTAGGCGGTCGCTAGGCGGCCTCTAGGCGGTCTAGGTGGCGACATGAGGGTATATGCAGATGGTGGCCAAGATCTCTATGTTCTAGGAGGGGGCTAGGCGGGCTAGGCTGGGCTAGGCTCGCTAGGGGGTCTAGGCGGGCGCTAGGCGGTCTAGGCGGTCTAGGCGGGCGCTAGGCGGGCTCTAGGCGGTCTAGGCGGACGGGCTAGGAGGGCGCTGAGCCTAGAAAAAAATAACTCCATTTTGGAATCTCCAAGGTCAGGGAAGAGATCACGATGGTGCTATGAGCGAGAGACAGAGAGATGAGGATTGAAGAAGACGTCTGAGCGAGAGAGAGGGGCTGGAAGATGGCTCTTGTTAGAGTTAGGGTTTGAGAAGGAAAATTGCATTCATATGTTGAAGAAGAAAAAAACAAAAGAAGAGATGGGCCCCCGATTACTCCTCTAGGAGTAAGACCCATGCGTGCAGCCCGGCTAGTGCTTTTAGACTCCGGTAACTTCATTTTGAAAGATAATATAAATGGAGGAATCTTTTGCGAAAGCTTTGATTACCCCTGTGATACTTTCTTACCTAAATTGATGATAGGATTCGACAAAGAAGAATGTTATAGTATATAATATATATATATATATAGGTTCAGGTTATAGTTGGGGAGTCAAAACGGAGAGAGAGGGAAAGAGACGGGGAGAGAGAGGAAGAGAGATTTTATTTTTTCATTTAAAAAAAATTTAAATACTGATTTTAATATTTTAAAATTTATTTTAAAAAGTAGATAAGTACATAACATAAGAGCAAGTTAGGCTGCGGGATAAACCCTGTTTGGAAGAATCTCCTCTGCAGATGAGGAATTGGACAAAAGTCGGATGCTAGTTCAGAACTTTTGATAGAAGGTTTCCCGGTGGCATTAGTTAGTAGATCCGTCCCTGAGATTTTGAGGGCCCTGTGCGAAACTTAAATTGGGGCATCACATAATCTAATACGAAAATACTATAAATAAAAATTTGCCATAACTTAATGTCATAACATTTTTTTTATAACTAAAAGTCACCATCAATATTTATGTAATGATAATCATAAATCAAATTCATAAAATTTAAATGTTTCCATTTGATAAAATTAAATGTTTGGTACAAAAATAAGCTCCTTATGCCCCTATAAGGTCCCTTGTTTAATAGGAAAAAGAAATTGGCAATCACAAATTAAAGAGTAGTTGCACACAAATGTCAATCACAAATTAAGAGAAAGAATAAGCCATGAAGTTTTTTTTGGTTTTGTTTTGAATGAAGAAAGTACTTTTCTTAGAGGAGAAAACTTTTTTTTTTATATTTATTTTAAAAGAACGATAGGTAAGGAGTAGAAAGTGTTTGGGGGAATATATAAAAACAGGCAAAATAAACCAACATCAATGAGATTCGAACTCTAGCACTTCGTTAAATAGACAGCGCTGGAGCCATCCACCAGACATATTCTTATGCAAATATCTAGCACGCTGTACTATATATACAATGCTTACAATATTAATATATATAATATAAAGAAATTTTTTTCAGGGGCCTTTAAGAATCGGGGGCCCTGTGCGGTGGCGCCACTTGCACCACCCCAGGGCCGCCCCTGGGTGTTGATTCATCTTGCCTTTCTCCAGTTGCTGGCTGGTTTGGGTCTAGGAAGAGAAATATAATATATAAATAGTATAGCCGCCGGCTATACTGTATAAATACATTCGAATATTTTAATAGTATCGCCGCGTGGCTATACGTTACTAATAAATTAGAATATTTAAATAGTATAGCCGAACTGCCATACATTGTTACCTAACCTCTCTTGGGCTATTCTGTAGCTCTATTTTCCTTGGATCCGGGCCGACTAAAATTAAAGGCCTATATTTAAACAGTATAGCTGGCGAATATTTAAATAATATAACCGCGCGGCTATACTATTTTAATATTTTAGAATATTTAAAGGTATAGCCGAACGGCTATACCTTTTGAATATATCGAATATTTAAACAGTATAGCCCTGCGGCTATACCTTTAAATATATTCCAAAAATTCTGAGAATTACATAGAAGAAGCAACATAATTGATCTATGCATCTTAGGTGTTTTACCCAATCCATCATATTATACAACAACTAGAGTTAAATAACGTAAAGCTTCATTGTATAGTGAAAATTTGCAACAGAATCCAGAGCTTTTCCTCTCTTTTTCTCTTGCAGAAGGTACCTAGAGGCAAAGGAACAATAATTAGTTAACAGTGTTTCAGACGGAATAACATAGAACACAAGCCGTCGTCTCCATTTATACCAGTTTTGAGGGAAAAAAGAGGAGAGAAAAATGCACTTAATAACTAGTTTTATTAGAATACTAATAACTGGCACACAGTCGCGTTAGAGGGGGTTTTAATGCTGAAAGCAATTTATCAGAACTTGTCCACTCATGGTTTGGTGAAGTCAATAAATTGAACAACACTTCCATGCTGTTTTTCCCAGAAGTGAATTCCCTGAAAGTAACTTGCCAATTACAGTATGAAGCTTACAAGCATCCATCGGTGTTCTTTCCTCTTCTGGTTCAAGTGGTTCAAGTATGTCTTCACCTTAAGAAAGTTTTGATTGAGAAGCCAGCTTAGATAGGAGCCACTGCATGTGCCCTGGGATGGGGCTCAGACTCTCGCAAATGTCTGATTTTAAAGGGAAGAAAAGGCCATGTGTCAGTGAGAAAATCTATGAGTAAGACTTAGACAGAAACATTTGTCATTTCTCTTCTCACAAGTGTGATCACACGTTTGATTAGAAACCTTCCCAGGTTGATCCCTTGTAAGCCAGGCTGTGGAATTTTTTCAGTATTCAGATCGAGCAATGGTAGCAAAAAACCGAAGATAAGAGGTCAATATTCCCTTTCAAAAAGGAAACAAAGAGTTGAAGGTTATTTAAATTCTAGAAATAATAATTAATGTAACAATATGCACACCAGAGTTGATGATATGGAGTAAAGCAAAGCGGATGTAGCCTCACATTCGGGAAGACTGAGTACCTCATAATCCACAATTTTTTTCCAGCAAAGAGGCTGGATCATCCCATGTGATCTGGTGAAGCTCTAATGCAGCAGGGCTAAGCCACGTACTAAGTGTTTCCTTTAAGTAGGAACCCAATGCTCGCAAAGACACAATATTTTCCTCTCTGAGAATATGCAAAAATAGCAATTCATCCTGGAGTCTGATTTCATTCTTAACATTATAATATTAATGTCATAGTATATAATATATATATATATATATATATTTATATATATTATATATAGGTTCAGGTTATAGTTGGGGAGTCAAAACGTGCGTTTAACTTAAAATAAAGAAACCAAAACCTTAAACGAAGTCGTTCCATTGAAGAAAACCTTAAAAAAAACAACTTCATCTTCTCCATCGCGCTATTTGCAGAACGCAGAAACAGCATCGCTATTCTGCCTCGCTCCGCCTCGGCCGCCTCACCACCCCTGGGGTATATGCAGATGGTGGCCAAGATCTCTATGTTCTAGGAGGGGCTAGGCGGGGGCTAGGCTCGCTAGGCGGTCTAGGCGGTCGCTAGGCGGCCTCTAGGCGGTCGCTAGGCGGTCTAGGTGGCGACATGAGGGTATATGCAGATGGTGGCCAAGATCTCTATGTTCTAGGAGGGGGCTAGGCGGGCTAGGCTGGGCTAGGCTCGCTAGGCGGTCTAGGCGGTCGCTAGGCGGCCTCTAGGCGGTCTAGGCGGGCGCTAGGCGGTCTAGGCTGTCTAGGCGGGCGGGCTAGGAGGGTGCTGCGCCTAGAAAAAAAAAGGCCATTTTGGAATCTCCAAGGTCAGGGAAGAGATCACGATGGTGCTATGAGCGAGAGACAGAGAGATGAGGATTGAAGAAGAAGTCTGAGCGAGAGAGAGGGGCTGGAAGATGGCTCTTGTTAGAGTTAGGGTTTGAGACGGAAAATTGCATTCGTATGTTGAAGAAAACAAAAACAAAAGAAGAGATGGGCCCGCGATTACTCCTCTAGGCGTAAGACCCATGCGTGCAGCCCGGCTAGTGCTTTTAGACTCCGGAAACTTCATTTTGAAAGATAATATAACTGGAGGAATCTTTTGCGAAAGCTTTGATTATCCCTGTGATACTTTCTTACCTAAACTGATGATAGGATTCGACAAAGAAGGAGCTTAGAAGAGCAATATTTGGGCATCATGAGGACAATGCTGGTGTTGAGAAGTGTTCTTTTAACTATAACTATAAGCAGGTGGTGGATGGGCTGGTTATGGAGATGAAGCAGCAGCCAAGGAAAATAATGGTGAACTTGGGTTTGGCATTTTTATTTGTTCTGGTACTTTGGTTCTATGTCAAGCATACAATTCATTCAATTCAGGAAATTAAACGCCATGAACTGTAAATCTGTAATAACTGACCATTGGAAGGTTATCCCTAATTCCTTTACTTACATTTTCATTGTAAAATTTGATTTACCTGTTAAAAATTATTATTATGTTCTAAATGTTGTTTCATGTTTGATAATTTTCCCAAAAGTAATTTTATACTAAATTGTTTCAATCATAACTTAAAAGTTCATAAGACTGGTGCAAATGGGATCAGCATCCAGCATGAGAAGCAGATACATGCCATAAGTTTAGGTTAAACATAAATGAAAGTCTAGTTGGATATCATGGTAAAACTAGGTCTTATCAAAGACAATATTCTGGTAACACCAGCAACTCAACTTAATTGCTTTCTTCATTTGGGAACTCCAACCTGAAAGCCACCCACTTGTCATCACTAACGAGCAGCACCGTTATGTGATTAGGGAATGCAATATCAGGAAATTCTGTGTAAACTCTAACCCTGTTGCACAGCGAGTAACTCCTCACCCCTGTACCTTTCCCAACATTTGTGACAGCAGGAAGATTGGGTTGTATAAATGCTGGAGAGGAAGGGCTTTCTTCAGTTGAAGGGAGCATCGAGTTGATGATATGGAGAAAGCCAGGCCGTGGAATTTTTTCAGTATTCAGATCAAGCAATGGTAGCAAAAAACCGAAGATAAGAGGTCAATATTCCCTTTCAAAAAGGAAACAAAGAGTTGAAGGTTATTTAAATTATAGAAATAATAATTAATGTAACAATATGCACACCTGAGTTGATGATATGGAGTAAAAGAAAGCGGATGTAGCCTCACATTCGGGACTAAGAGGGTCATCCCACAAAACTTCCTGTCATGCTGATATTAACTACATGACCATTGACCAGAAAACAAAAAAAGAGAAAGAAAAGAAGAAGAAGAAGAGTCTAATAAGCTGAAATAAAACTGACCTGTACTGTTTGAGCCACATTCTTCATGAGTGCAACTTCAATGAAAATAAGCGGTTCACCTAAAAGAAGAAAATAGTAATAAGCGGTTCATTCTTAACATTTTAATAGTTGTAAGTGTAACCTTACGCGACAATGGATATCATATCTGCTCGAAGAATGGACAAGAACTTCAACCCGCAGGGATGCGTGTTCAGCCGCTCAAATAGAACTTCGTACGCCGGCTTGAGAGCATGTCTTAGATTTCGCTCAATAGCTCGAAAATTGAATATGCTTACGGCGAGAGGAGAGCGAGCGAGGTCTCTGGCGTCGTTGAGCCTCATTCTGATTCGCATCAACATGGCCAACCCTTTCTTGTTCGTGTTTAATTTTCCAAGTTCGATTTTTATAGTAAATGTAAGATTCAATTCTCAGTCTCTCGGACTCCCACTTTTGTCTCTTGTCTGGTGGCGCTTCATTTTCCACACCCGCCAGCCGCACAACCAGGTACACTTTTCTTGACGACACCCTCATACCTCAAGGCCCCTCAGTCTCTTCCAAATTACGACATTACCTAACTTCTCTTAAGCTGGCTTGGGCTGTTGCTCTATTTTTCTTGGATCCGGGCCGACTAAAATTAAAGGCCCATATTTAAAACGTATAGCCGTTCGGCTATACTGTTGAATTATATTCAAATACTTAAATACAAATTTATAAATAAACCCAATCCTATACATGTATTTATAAAAAAACTCAAGCACTATTTAAACATAGAAACACACCCAAAATCAACCCCAAAGTCAACTTTTTGGGTGTGTTTATAAATAGGTTTTGAGTGTGTGTAATGATGGGTTTTGGGTGTGTTTATATGTTTAAATAGTGCTTGGGTTTTTTTATAATTTCAGATCCCATTTTGGGTGTTTTAGTGAAACTCCCATATTTAAATAGTATATCCGCGCACCTATACTATTTTAAAATATTCTAGTACAGCCGCCCGGCTATACGCTTTTATTTAATATATTCCAATATTTAAAGTCGTATAGCCGCGCGTCTATACCTTTTAAATATATCGAATATTTAAACAGTATAGCCCCTCGGCTATACGACTTTAAATATAACAGTATGGCCGCACGGCTATAAAGTTTAGATATATTATGGTTCAATTATATATTAGAATCCCTTAATAGTGCGGGATTTCTCAATGATATATATAAGAAATCCATATGTCTCAATTTTCAATCACCTATTTGACAGATTCAGTCCCACCCAAACCCAACCCTAAAACTCCTCCAACCTTCGATTTCGAGATATCATATCAAAGTGGTGATGGCGGCCCAGCGTAAGAACCGCAGATTGAGAATGTTCTGATGATGCTTCCCTGGAGCATTCGCTGCACCGCTTGTAGCACTGTCATGGCCAAAGGCACCAAGTTGAATTCCCGCAAAGAAGAAGCCCTCGACGAGGTACTTACTTGGCTTATATATATATATATATGCATGCATGCTTCATGTCTTTCTGTTTTTATATTGCCTTTTACTGTTATCACAATTACTCAATCCAAACTTCCTTTGCAGAAAGAGAAGTTGGTTCCTTACACGGACCCAAACTGGCAAGAGATATAAAAGAGAGGAGGTGTTAGTTAACAGGGCATGTACTTGTTATCAGGTTTTCAGATTCCCAAATCACATTCCTGCTGCTGCTGCTGCTGCTGCTTAAATAATGACTCAAATCATATATGCTTATTTCCATTTCTGATACAACAAATTATAGATAAGCATATTCAGAAAAGGAAGATTGAAGAAGCGGGAGATGCCATGAAATCTTTGGATTTCAAAAGAGTGATTTAGCAGTTTTCCGTCAAGGTAGATTCCTTATTATTTGTAATCAGATTCATAGCCGATCGATGTGATAATGCATGTAGTTTGCTAAGCTTGGGCATGTGACTGATCATTTAGGGCGGAATCAAGTGTGGACTTTCCTAAACAAAAATATATACAAGTTGGTCCTACATTCCATGCTTCCCTCCAAAAACGGATTGCTAATTTAGCTAGTTTTCATTGTCATTGGTTTATTTGATATCCTTGTGTACATTAACGTGTTTCTTAACTTAAAAGTTTTTGAGATGTACACAGGTTCATGAAATATTTCGAATTTCGTGTCTATAGAATGGAGGGCGCTGCTCCTACTCCTACATTCCTTTGTTTATGTTTGTTTAGGTATTTCGAATTCAAACACCTTACAATTGACTAAAAACTAATGTATAATGATTAAGGATTTACTTACCATTGATCACTTCCCCCTCCTCCATCAATGCTACAATTTGGATATCTCATTGGTTCATTCATATCTTATAGTTGATTACTTTGGTTTTCAATACATGATGATCTAATCTTGTATACCCCTTGGAGCTTTATGGCTCTTTCTAATCTTGTTTTCAATACACGGGATGATGGAATGGAATGGAAATGTATGTCCATAATATTGGGTTCATTCACATTCCAAGAATGATTGATTGATTCAAGTTCAACTATTACTTGTAGCATATTTAATGCCCATCATGGTCATCACCCAACACTCATTTCAAACATGAGGCTGATTTTCAATAACTTTGTTTCACTCTATTACAACTCACCTAACGTTCCTTCTCTCTCTCTCTCTCTCTCTCTCTCTCTCTCTCTCTCTCTCTCTCATGTACACACACACGCACACTATTTAATTATTTTCATTTGTTTACATTCCCCAATCCTCCTCCTGCCGCACCGACAACTTTTTTAATAACGATGATAAATTCTTCAGAAATCTCAACCCAACAACAAGAGGCGTTATAAGAGTTGTTCTATGGTGAGTGTCATATATGTACTATAGATGTGGATCTTTATATGAGCCATATGATTCATTTGAATAGTAACTTCACTTGAATTTAATGATGTGGATCTTTATATTTCTCTGATAAATTGTCCTGACTTGCAAACGATTATAACCTTAGATGAGCTTTCTACTACTAATGGTTTCATGAGGAATGAAGTTGAAAATATATTGGGTGGCCTATTGGGCTACAGGCTTAATGCTGAATTAGATCCTCCGTTATGCAGCTGCTAACCAACAGGCCCACAGTCCAAATTTATCACATACAAATACAACTAGAAAGTTTGAATTCAATCCTTGAGAAGAATCAAGATAACTTAATTTCAAATAATAATAATAATAATAATAAATAAAAAGGAAAAACGTAATTTCCAAATAAGGACCCGAAGAGAGAATCCCTTTCCTTGTAAAAGAAAAAGCGGATAAACCTTTACCGGCATCACAAACCTTCTTCAAGTATCAAATAAATATTAAATTGCTGCTAAGTCTGAGCCCACCACAACATCTTGACCAAATTACCCTTGCAAAGGTGGTAGTACTTTTCAAATTTACCTTCCCCCTTTCACAAGCTCACAACGAACCAAATCTATTTCCATTCAGTCATAATCAAATTTACCGTTTACTACTTCGGAGAAGTGTATGTGTTTCGCTACCGACGTAGTTGAAAAATCAAATTCCAATGTTGCCCTTTTGGGTTTTTTAAATTCCACAATGTCTTGAATTCATAAACCACAATTGTTGTGTGTACTCCATAATTGTGAGTGTGACAGAGAGACCCATGCTGCCAAAATCTTTGTATTAAAAGCAACAATAAAATAAAATAAAAAATAAAATCAAGGTCTTGAATGATCTGTTTTTTATATTGAAAGTTGGCATGAACCCTAGCACCAGCGTACATATATGATTTACAACTAATTCGTGTATTTTTGTCTACCGACTATAGTTCCTGTAAATCTAATCTTCATTGCATTGAATTGCATTTAATGAGATTATATTCGCCCTTAGTTTATAAATCCCCAACCATCACAATTTAATAATCATTTTATTGTGCATAAGCAGAATCTATGAAGATTCTAATATTTGAAGATTTTATGGCAACCATAGAACCCCATTTCATTAACTCACAACAATCCCAACTTCTTGGTGGGATATGGACTTATAAGATTGACCGCGAGATATCACGAGTCATTCTATAGTAAGGGTCTTATATATGACCTTTAAGTGAGACTTTATTTTTTTAATCGTTGAATCGAATTGGTTAGCTTCATTTAAGGACTATATATAAAACCATCACTATAGAATTCTTGGAAATATCATATCAAATGCACTATATGGAGGGAGGGTAATTTGCCTAATTGGGTTTTAACATCATATTCCATAAATGAGGAGCAAATGTGAGTTAGGTCAATTAGCCAATATAGTATACATGTCTCATTTTATTCGAGTTTTAATTTTCCTCGTATATTAAAATAGTTTAGAATATTGTCATAACAAAAAGTAAAAATAAAAATTCCATAACATTTTGATTGTCATTAATTAAACGTACTCTTTACTATTATTTGATGAAAAACAAAAGAATGGAGTGATAGATGTTTTTTAACTGCAATGGGTGCGGTGGAGAGATGATTGATTCATCTCTGAAGTGAACAGCTAAGCTACAAAAAGGAGCTTGAGGGTAAAAGGGTAAAATCAAAGACATACTTAGTGAGTACGTATGTGGGGTGGGTACATTATACATACATCACATGAAGGCTTTGAATGAAGGCTTGAAGAAGGCATGAGGAGAGGAGAGAGGAGAGAGGAGAGGAGGGGAGCAACCGGCTATCATCATCATCCAAATGGGAAAAACCCAATCAAGTAAACTCGCTGTACCGCCATTTGAAGACAGGGGACACACACGTCATTATCACAAAGCCACAGACCCATTTCCGTCATTTGACTAACCTCCTCCCTCAAACACCACCATCTCCATTTCACACACACACACACACGCACGCACACTGACACTCTCCTCCTCAGTCCCCTCCTTCACTCGCTTTTTCTCTACTTCTGCAGCTGCTGCTGCTGCTACTCTCTCTCTCTCTCTCTCTGTGAAAAACCCAAAAAGCCCAATGGGGAGCCGAATCCCATCGCACCAGCTCAGCAACGGGCTGGTGGTGTCGGGTCGACCCGAGCAGCAGCTCAAGGAGCGCCAGCCCACAATGGCGTCACGCGCCGTCCCCTACACCGGCGGTGACGTTAAAAAGTCCGGGGAGCTCGGCAAAATGTTCGATATCCCAATCGCCGATCATCCTCCTCATCTCCCATCCAACGGTCCTCCTCCTTCCAAGCTCTCTGGCTCACGTCCTTCCTCCTCTTCCCAACATAACAGCGGATCCGTTCGATCGGGACCCAACTCCGGCCAGATTTCCAAGAAATCCTCCGGGCCCTTGACGCCCCAGCTCCAGCCCACGGGTCTGATTACTTCTGGGCCATTGGGCTCGGGCCCACTAGGTTCCGGACCGAGGAGGTCCTCCGGCCAGCTAGAGCACACCGGGTCGATGAGCAAGGTGGTGTACGGGTCGGCCGTGACGACCTTGAGCGAGGAGGTGAAGGTGGAGTTTCGAGTATCGAAGGCGGCAGTGTGGGTGTTCATGGTGGTGGTGGTGATGGGGTTGCTGGTGGGTGGGTTTCTGATGGTGGCCGTCAAGAAGTGGGTGATTTTGGTGGCGGTTGCGCTCTTTTTGGTGCCCGTGGTGGTGGTGATTGTGTGGAATTACGCCTGGGGGAGAAGAGGGTTGCTAGGGTTTGTGAGGAGGTACCCTGATGCTGAGCTTAGAGGTGCCATTGACGGACAGTACGTCAAGGTCACCGGGGTAATTTCACTCTCCCCCCCTCTTCTCTTTCTGATGCTCGTTCTTAAAATAATTCAGCTTAACTTTGTTACTTAAATTAGATACACTTAATGCTTTCCCAATTTGTTATTTTTGAAGATTTTGATATTGGGATATTTGCTGATGCTACTATATGTTGTTTTTTTTGTTTTGATTTATTTGGTACAACGTTTATTTATAATTTAGTCTTGAGACAGAACACGTCAGTTGTTTGATTTTGACAAATACTAAGCCATATTATTATTAAGAGTTTGGGTTATCATCACTGTCAGTGTCAATTGGTGAAGGGAATCTGGGTACGAGTCCGCTTTGACCCAGGAGGCATAGATTGCCATTTTTCATGAATAATTGTGGTTACTGCGACCATTTGCATTGGATGCTATAACAATATGTTCTGCAAAATGTTTCCAATTTCTTCTGCTCATTTCCTTGTTGTAGATATTAGGGCATTCAGAACCACCTAGGAATGAGATTCATCACAAGTGCTCTTTTATTTTACTATGATGGGGTTTGGTTTTTACTTTTTATGTTTGTTTTAATCCGTAGTAAATATATGATGGAGATCTCTTTATGTAGGTTGTTACCTGTGGCAGTATTCCTTTGGAATCGTCCTACCAAAGGGTACCTAGGTGTGTATATGTTTCTACAGAGTTGTGCAAATCTAAAGGATGCAGCGGCAAGTCGGAAAGTAAAAAATCTAGACATTCAGAGGTTAGTTGTCAGATTATGCTCTGAATTATTTTGAGGTTCAAAGTTTGGCCAATGATGATTTTTAATACAAATTTATAAATACTGCACTATCAATCAGACATGTATCTGTTATGGAAAACCGAAAGAATGTTTACATATGAGGTGGGCCTTGAAAATGTACATACACTAGGTAGAGTCAAGCTTTTTAGGTATGCGGTAGTTTCAATTCAACCATCTTTGGCTCTCTTACATGCATGTTTCTGGGGGGTGTGGAGCAATAATATAGTCTAATTGACCTGAATTCCCTGAAGAAGTAAATGATTGCCATCTTTGCAATTATTTTACCCCACCAAAAGACTGCATATGCATTTTTCCTGTTTACCTTCAATCAGGTTTGTTGGTACAGAAAACAGTACCTTCAATTGTCCGTATCACTAATATCAAAAGCTAATTTTATGATTATTTTGAACAGAAATATGTGGCTGATTTTTACATATCAGACTTCCAATCTGGGTTAAGAGCGTTAGTGAAAGCTGGCTATGGGGCCAAGGTTGCCCCATTCGTAAAACCAGCCACTGTAGTGGATGTCACAAAGGAAAACAAAGAGTTATCTCCAAGTTTTTTGCGGTGGCTTGCTGAGCGCAACCTCTCTACTGATGACCGCATAATGCGCCTCAAAGAAGGGTATGCCACTTTTCTATTTCTAGCCCCCTCATAACTTGTGGATGGTTGGAAATTTTTACTTTGAACTTGTAACTAGAAACTTATATAGGATTATGCAATTTATGAGGTCGTTTACAATTTATAGGCTTTTAAGAGTGTTTTTTCTTCGTCAGGTATATTAAAGAGGGAAGCACCGTAAGTGTGATGGGGGTTGTAAGGCGCCACGATAACGTGGTCATGATTGTTCCTCCAACAGAGCCTGTTTCAACAGGCTTTCAATGGTTACGCTGCCTTCTCCCAACCTATGTTGAAGGCCTCATTCTGACATGTGATGATAATCAGAATGCTGATGTGGTTCCTGTGTAGATATATTTAGCTTCATGATAGTTTTGTTTATAAGTGGATTTTGCATGTAAAAAGTTGAAGGGTGAAACTGAAGGAGAAAGCGGATACCACCACCAGCTCTGTTCTTTCCTTTCCTGGTTAAGTGTATGTAATTTCGCCTAAAGACACAGTTCAGAGAGATAGACCGAAGATCATCTAATAATCAAGGTTAAGCGTTCTGTGAAGGTGGTGATGCAATAGGGAAAAAAGGATCTACTACTACCTTTTGAAGAAGTTCCTAGATGATGTAACGTCAGAAATCAGGATGCTCTGGTTTCATGTACATAAGTCAATAGCTTCATAGAGTGCCCAAAGGGGTTCGGCTGCCTTCCGTCTGAAGCTCAATTTTAGTACAAAAAGTAGTTACTGGGGTCTGGTTTTCTTTTCCATTATAATCATCTGTCATCACGTGTATTTTTATCTTAATATCTCATGTGTATTGTTTGTGACAAGCTGAGTAATGTTAAAATTCTTCTCAGCATGGTTTGTAGTGTTTATGCTTCCTGCCCTCCCCAAGATCGTATGTGGCAAAAGTTGTTGCCCTTGTGTGATTACTAGTATTATTATTAATTAGCACTTTATTTTAAGCGCCTGTATCAGATGGGAAAGAATAACTACACCCTCAGATGCGAAAATTTGACCATGAATGAATAGTATTATGGGTTAATTCTATTGAAAAGCCAAAGAGTACCGGCTTCAGAAACACCAGTAACAGGACATTTTTTGTTTGCACTTCATCCCTCCCAAATCCTTATTGATATTTGCTTCTTTAACAGTAAATATAAAATTCACGTGTTCTTGTAACTAGTAAGCATTTGGGCTTACAAAACACGGAGATAAAGAAAGGAACTAGAGTCTAGAGGGCATCCCTCCGGCCACCACCACAGTTTCTCCCGTTATGTAAGAAGCATCATCAGATGCCAAAAAGGCAGCGGCAGCAGCCATGTCTCCAGTGGTACCAAGCCTGTTAAGTAACGTCTGCTCCTCGAGGGACTTCCTCTGCAATAAATTACCATTCAAATTCAGTCATCGGCAAAGGTGAATGCCCATTGCCCAAGATCCCTAGGAACTATATACTATATATGCAAACAAATATGTCGATATATACATACCACAGCATCAGTTTCTGTAATGTATGAAGCAAAGTTTGTGGGTACAAAACCAGGAGCAACACAATTTACACGAGTATCTGGGGCCATATCAGCAGCAAGAGCCTAAAGTAAGACCAGCAAAGAATAAGCAGAAGAAATGCCTCGCTTGTGAGTTGATGAAGAAATAAATGAGGTGAAACATGAATCATGTACATACCTTGGTTAGCCCAAGAAGAGCTGTTTTAGTGACCCCATACATTGCCATGGAAGCTGGTGGGTGGTAGCCAGCAATCGAGGAAATGATAACAACTGAAGAACCCTTCTTCAAGTGAGGATCCGCGTCCTGTTAAATAATTATGTTGTATTATAACCTTGAATATATTACACCAGAAGTATTATGCACATGGAAAATGCAAAGAGAGGATCAAAATAGCTTATTCCAAAGCTCAAGCAGAAAATTTCCATGGGAAAAGAGCTCACGATAAGTCATGGCTACTCAAGCGTGTCTACCTATGGCATTTTACCTTCAGAAGAAGTATAGAAGCTTTGACATTTATTTCCCATAGCTTGTCAAGCACAGATTCTTTGGTTTGCAATATGGTATCAATTGATGGATTGGCAGCAGCATTTGATACAACCACATCTATTTTTCCATATTTCTGCAAACAAACAAGTAAATTTCAACCATTCAACAAAATGGCATTGAAGAACCATTTGAAATAGAAACAGTAGCTGTTTTCAAGTAAAAGAGATAATCTGTAGCCATCACAAAGATAAAGCTTTTTAACTCATCTGTCGTTGAATTTGAGACCTCCACAAGAAAATTTTTAAACCTAAACAAAACTCATACATCCCACATTTTTCTCACAACTTTCTGTTTATATTTTCCATCCTGCTTGGAAAATAAGTGGCAAAGCAAGGATTCAACAAATGATCTTACCTGCACAGTCTTGCTTATGAGGTTCTTCCTCTGTTCTTCATTTGACACATGACAAACGACTCCAAACACTTCAATTCCTCCGGCTTTAAGTGTTTGAACTGCTTCATCAACGTTTTTCTGGAAAGATTTGATTAAGCATGAAACAACTCAACACAACTATTCAAAAACAACACAAAACTCAATACCACTTGGCTGGTTGTGGAAGATAGCAAAAGAACCAAAAGCACAGATTCAAACATGTACCATTTTAGCTCGATTGAACCTGAAATGTATGTGTAATCCATAAAACTATTGCAATTTTAAGTTCATGATACGCAAGATTTCACTAATTTTTCCTCTCTCCCTTTCTCTCTGGAATTAATTTAAGAGAGGGGGATGAAATCCAATTTGATGGGACAAATTGGTCCAATCATCATCTGAGCTTTGCAATATTGAAAAGCTAAATATACATTACAAACTGAACATTTGATATCATTTTCAGCAACCACATATAACGAAATTCAGCGTTTCGTCTTTCGATCCCAGTTTCCACAGAAACCAAAAAGCAATCATACTTGACTAGAAGCAACGATAATCCGGATGAATTTCATGAAAAACAAAAGGCCAAAGATGTAAAATTACCTGCTTGCGAGAGGATATAACAACAGAGGCTCCTTCCAAACCGAGGCGCTCGGCGATGGCGAATCCGATGCCCTGAGTGGAAGCCGTCACAATCGCTACTTTGCCTTCGAATCTCCTCCCAATCTTCGATTTCTCCATTTTCTTGGGTTTCTCCGTAACCAATTGTCTTTTTTAGATAAGCAGCGAGCAGAGACTTGTTTTGTTTTTTTTGTTTTTAAACTGAAAATTATTGCCTCCTGACCCTGAGGGGAAAACGGTTGAGAGTTTAAGAATTTTTACATCGTAATTATTTAATGTTAAAAATGTAATGATCCCTCGTTCTTTGGCTAATTATTAGTAATTAGAGATAAAAATAGTGTCATTATACTGAAGCTCTATTGATTTATTATTGATATTTGTTTTATGTTCCAATGAGATAGATATTAGAAAACTGATTCAGGTTCAGAGGGTAAGAAAAGCCATTTCAAATTCAGTATTGAAACAATAAGCAAACGAGGAAAGAAATGGAACATCAATTTAAGCAAGACCATCCCACATACAGCTTAAGAAAAGCCAAAGCTTTCAGTATGAAAGCCCAAATACCCAAATCATGTTCACATCTTACATGCCCATGGATGATGATGCATTCCAACTTCTGGGAATGCAACTCTCAAAAGGTATTCAACCAACAATAAAATGGATGGATGATCAAATATAGAACAATATAGTCTGATATACCATGCCATATATCTAGAAACCAACATTTTTAATCATAAGGATTTCTGAAATTCTTCAACAGTTCTGGGATTTCACGGCCAAGCATGTCATCTACAGCTTGAATCATTTTCGGCTTCAATTTCTCAAATTTATCGATGTTGTAACCTTTCAAGACCTCTCTAAAGTGCTCCACATCTGGAAAGTCTCCTGCTGGTAAATGGAAGTCCCTCTGAACCTGTTTTTGGAAAGCTTAATATGAGTAACTATGCTTGGAATATATAGGTGGGGTAAAACTAAATAGTGTTAAAGAGAGACCTTTGCAAATTCATCTTCAAGATTATCCATCAATCGTTGTTGAGTCTTAGTTTTGCCCATCATAGCAGGCATCTCCTTTTTCAGATGACTAATTATATAGGCATGAGTCTTAGCAGCTCTAGCACGTTTAACAAATTCATTGATCTACAATTTACAACATTAGAATCAAATTTTATCAGTGCAAATCTAAGAACCTAATATAGAAATAAAAAAGGACATACTATATATCAATCAAAAGTAACCAAGTATTCTTTCGTATATCAATCAAAACAGTAACAAAATATCAAAATAAGACAGTCTTACCCGTCGATCACAAGCTTTCTTTGGTATATCAACCAAATCTGCTAGTAAATCGTTTTGTTCTTTTTCGAAAAGTTCTTTACCCATAGGGCCAACAGCTGATTCATTGACAGGTTTATCATTAAATGATCTGCAAAGCCAAGAAAAACAAAAACATGATTCGCTTAAATTAACTACGCATAAAACCAGCTTAAAGAATTAACAAATTCAAAACTAGAAAGCTTACCCAATATAAACACGCACAACTTCCGGAGTATTCAAAACTTTTCCAAGTGACCACATCAATGCCCCATAAACTCTCATCAACTACAATGTGTAATTGAAGAGTTAATAAGTTGAAAAGTGTTATCAAGAAAAAGTAAAATGCACAAAGCCAAAACAATATATAAACTAGAAGTGCATCTCACTTGTTGAGTATCAACTTGATCTGCTTTGTTTAGAACCACTCGAATCTTGTCATCATTACCACGTAGAGATGTAATTACACGTTTAAACTCATCGCTGATATCAAGTTTATGAGGGTCAAACAGAAGAAGAATAACATCACATTTTGCAGCAAACCATGATATAGCACCAGTGAAATCATAACTCCTTTGTGTTCGTTGCTTTTCTCCCGATAGAACTCCAGGAGTATCAACAAATGTAATTTCATCTAGCAACTGTAATCATAAAAATGAAAGATCAACACACTGATGAAAATGTGATACAAATATATGGTTATCAAAAAATTTCAACTCACTGGATGTGGCATTTGAGAACACTCAAATTTTGACAGAAATGCACCTCCAAAAGTTGCTAACCCACTAAAAGGCATGTCTGCATGAACGGCTATGGTATTTCCAGGAATACTCCTCTCATCAGGTCCAGACTAAGTACAAAAATATGAGTATCGTTCAGAATTACCAAGAACATTTGACACACAATAAACCTCATATTACAAAGAAACAATGATAAACTTAATTAGTTTTAAAAAGGAACCATTGTGTTATTAAAAATTATACCATCACAGCAACAAATCTATCAGTAGTAGGTTCTGGACCAATATGAGCTCCTGTTCAAAGAAGTAAATGTTAGGTCATTAAATGGTTTGGTTGTCAATTAATCACTTCAAAATAAATGAAAGAGAACTTAACCAACCTGGATAGTTACATCTTAGCAAATGTTTGATAAATGTTGTTTTTCCAGTTGAATATTGTCCCAAAAGCATGACCATAGGCTTAGCATCAAAATCACTATTAGTCTGCAAAAAAATTAATCAGCCAAACCATATTTCATTCCCCATCCCAATTTGAATGATAAAGAGAACTAACAAAATCATATATATATCCTACTAAATACATAAGAAGATATGAGACTCACCAATGATGGAGATACAAAGTCATTGAAGCGATAAGTAAGTTCCAATGGCTTTAGTTTTTCGTTGTACAATCTCTTCAAACCATCGGTTATAGATGTAACAGCAATAAGAGGTAGCTGAATAAACGATTTGAACAAGTCAGGCAATAAGGAAAGAGAAGGCATCCCTTCATAAATATGAAAAACAAGTTGATATGTAGATTACAAGAATCAAAATAATAAGCGACACAAGAAAAAAAAACCTTTACCAAAGATTTGGGAGTAAAACAATGAATATCAGTTACCAAATTTCAGGGTTAGATGTCTACGAAAAATACAATGTCATATCCGTGAATTAGAACACAGGGAAACTAACTACTTTTAACTGAATAAGCGAAGAAACTGGTTAGGGAGATAATTCAACTGAATAAAAAAATGTACAACGAGTATAAAGATACAGTCCTAACTGTAATTCAACCATCAATAAGGACGATAGACTTGCATCACTATCTATATATGCTAATGATAAGATTTTGGAAAGACGACATGGCAGCAGTTCTAAAGCAAATCATTCAAAATCAAAAATTATCTCCAGTGGAAGAAACGACATCTGATCTTACCTTCTTCACTGATTTTGAACCAAACCACTGGGCTGGTGGTTGAGATTGAATGCTTCCTACATCATTACCAACAAACAAACTTAGTAAAAGATCGTAACACACTTATTCACATAAGTTAGATGGATTTTCTAACCATTTACTTCAAGTCCATTTGTCGTTGAACTCTTGGTTTTCTGTTGATATAGAAACAAGAAACTAATGAGTGAAATTCATAGTTTAGGCCACAAAGTCAAGAAGCAGGAAAAAGGAAGATACTCACGGCTGAGAGAGCATCCAAACCTTCCATAAGTGGAGGATTAATGTTTTCCCAGTCAACTGCAATTAAATAGGAATAATGTTTAGAGAGTTCTGAACTCATATCATTCTTGTCAGCCTCAAGGAAAAGCTTTCAAATAATATAACCGGAGGAAAAAAATGAATGAGACCTAGTCAAATTGTATACGTTGTATGGTTCTGAATTTATGCATGCAATGCAAAACAGCAAAGAAGTATTAAACAAATATATTCCACTTGCCTTCAGTTTTGAGGACGTCTGGGGTTAGTTCATGTTCTTGCGCCAAGGAAATCAGCTATCAATTCGAACACAGATGAGGGTAAGATTCTATTACAATAGCTAATATAACATATCCCAAATATTCTACACAAAAAAGAAATCATGTACAACCTGCATTGCAGTAATGAACTCTGTAAAACCTAAAAAACCCTGTCGCTTCTTGTCAGCAGTGGCCCAAACCTTCAATTATAAATGAGAAACAGAAAGTGAGTTTCAAACTCCATACATCAGATTGTCACATAGAAGAGGCTAAGAGACCAAATACATGATACAAGCAAATTAGCAGCCAAAAACTAGTGATCTGAGGGTAAAACCACCAAATCTTACTTTCCAAGTTCAATAAACTATTTTAGGCTATAAAACAAACAAAATCATAAGCTAAAAGCACTGGAATGGAAAATAGAAATCAGCCTGATATCACAGTGAAACTTAAAAACCTGCTTGAGTTCTTGTCGAGAAAGCTTAGACAGGGCGAAGAACTTAGTGGCTTCGTTACCGGTAATGCGACCATCTCCATCTGAACCAGAAAAACATAGCTAAGAATCAAAACCAATATTTGATTAAAGTTCAGTAAGAATCAGACGGAAACAAATTATACCTGAATCAACCAAGTTGAACCATTCCTGGTAAACCTTCTGGTACTCTTTCGGGCACAGACTGACGGTACCCATTTGAGAGCCAAAAGGAACTGAGAAATTTGAAAAACGAAATGAGATTATGAGAGGGGGCCGGAGCGGCTGTGTGGTTTTTATCTCTTTTTTCTGTAACAGTTTTGGCGCTTGGGCGAAATGGTATTTTGCCAGTGGAAATATTAAAGCGGTTCGCATTTGAATTATAAGCGGGGCCAGAGTCCCTGTGGAACGTTGAATCAGATTTATTTATATGATTTTTACGTTCGGGGCAGGTGATAATCATGCTGGTGGACTTGGACGTCGAAACTGGGCCCCGCTTAGGAAATTAAAAAACTAGGTCTAAATCCGGCCGTTGGATTAATGCAACTGCGTAAGGAACAGTATAAGAAGGTGGGGGCGTCTGTACGTCATTATTACCTAAGCTAATTTTTGTTTGGGGACAATAATAGAGGAGTGCGTAATTTGAAGTTTTGAACTAAAAATTCGAGCGCCTATATGTTCAAATTAGTTTTTTTTTATTTTTTTATTTCCCAATATGTGTTCAAATTAGTTAAGTTCACCCAAATATTCATTTCCACCTCTGGCTCCTATAATTTGAAGCGGTAGTTCAGTATTATCCTATAATTTCTCTTTAAAGTATTTTCAAAACTTATAATTCTATGCTCAATTCATTTCTATTTCGATTTTTGAAATCTTTGAAACTACAAAAATTCAAAAACCAATAAAGAAAAGTTTGGGTACAGCTGTTACATTCTTTTTCTATGTGTCAACAAACTCAATAATATATACTTTGCATGAAATCCTTCATTTACATAAATAACCTCATGCAAGATGAGGCATAACATAACACTAATAAGAGCCAAAGAATGAAGACTAACATACAATAACATGACCCCAAATAAGATTATAAAAAAATTAACATCCAAGAATACGTTCTAATTACTTTAATATTAAGTCAATATAGCAAACATTTTCTTAAGAAAAAGAATAATGACAACCGCAAATAAACTTTCCGGTCTTTAAAACAACCAATTAAACTTTTCTTCTCCCTTTCACTTCAAAATAGACCCAAAGCAAAGCCATGTCCATGTCACTGCCTTTCACTTCAAAATAGACAGCACCAACTCTGCGAAAGAACAAAAGAACATAAATATTAGTAGTTTGCTCCTGATGATGAGGAAATGTAAAACATATATAATGACAGAAGCTTTGGCCGGCCTCAACCATACCATAACCATACCTTTGATTTGGAATTGGAAGAAGATTTTCCACGTTTATTTGCACTATTTAAATGATTGACTGGTTGTTGTTGGGGCATACTGGGAAATTGTGATGCAGTTTTTTTTTCTTCTTTCACTTGCTCGAATATGTAAGTAAAACCTTCTCCCGAGTGGGGGTCTTTTTCATCCCAATCCCCAAACTTGGGTATTGACGCGACTCTAGTATGCTGTCACGTTACAAATTTTGCACAAGATTATTAAAACAAGATGACCCTAGAGAAAGAAATCTCTACTATTATAAAGCGAGACCAAAAACAGTTATGATTTAGAGTGTTTTTTCGGAAAGAGAACTCACAGTGTCGTGACCAAGAAGATCAGAGTGAGAGTGATGGCTACTGGTAGTACTCTTAGGCTTGCTCTGAGAATGGGACATGCTGCTATGATCGCTTCCAGTTCCAGACGAAGCCAAACTACTCTTTCTTCTATCAGATCTCTCACGTCTGTGTCTTGACTGTTGTTGATGCAACAGTGAATAATCTGAGTTGCTCCTTTCACTGCCAGACTCTGACGTGTTACTCTTGCGGCTCCCTACAGAAGTCTTTCGTCGATGCGCCCCATGGCCTGCGTCTCCCTCAGTTTGGTCTGCTTTAGGGTTTGTCAAGGTTCTTGATGTGCTGCTGGAACTCATGCCATTGTATGGAGGCTGTGCCGCTTGGAAATCTAGCATGGCCTTGAAGGCCTCCGGGTTCTCTTCGGGATCATTTGGGTTCCTCTTCACCCCATCTTTACGAGCGTTCTCAAAACAAGCAGTGTAGGATATATTTTCACTGTCCCAGTCCCCAAATTTCGGGACATGGGTTTTTTTCTGCAACGTAGTCATTTCAACAAGAAAGAAGGCTACTAATTACTTTACAAAAGAAAAACAAAAGTGAAAAGTTTAAGAGAGATCCTTTTTAAAAATAAAAAAAGAGAGAATGCTCTCGACTAAATATCGATGAGAAATTAAAGTATACGAATCACGCCATTTAAACAAATTTCCTAATTTGTATCAATCAAACAAAGACGGTCAACTCTCAATTCAAAACCTGACATTAATTTACGGTATGAATTAATCAAATAAATCCTTAACTAATATATATTCCTTAAGAAAATGAAATAATTAATTTCCCACTCATGAAGCAAAGAATTTGTGACCCTATAACAATAAAAATAAGAAAATATATGTATGGAGTGAATCGAGTGATATATAACCAACTAACAAAAACCAATCAACATAAACCAATGACGATCAATTTCTTCACAAAAACCAATCAACATAAGTCAAATTCCAAAACTCAAAAAAGCATATATAGTAAGAACATGACTTACGGACATAATATCGGTGGATTAATTGTTGTAGAAATGATGAGTGAAGAAGAAGAAGAAGAGGGTGGAGGAAGAAAATGAAGAAGGTGGATCGATTGATCCTTTCTTGTTTTCAGACAATTCAGGACGCGTTTTGAGCACCAAGAAATTAAAGTTGGGGATCTGGACGTGCGTTAGAACATCGTCCATCCGATGGTTACAAAGTTTGCTAAGCGTGTAAACCATTTCAAACCCCCCAAGCAACAATGTCTTTGTTTGTTAGCTAACTATACTTCAAATTTTTAAAAATATATATATATATTATCTGTTATGGTTGCCATGAAGTGGCGGTTTTGTCGTCCTCTCTTGCTCCTCTTCTTCCTCGTCGGCATGCTCACCATATTACACCCATATATTACTCATAATATGTAGTAAAGTATATTAAAAAGAGAGTAAAATAAGTGGAATTATGCTTAGAAAAGTGCTCCTCAAAGCAAGATAACAAACGATTCAAAAAAAAAAAAAAAAAAAAAAAAAAAAAGAAGAAAAGACCAAACCTCCTTACTTTCGGCAGCATGGCAGTTTGTGGATTGGTTCTCCATAGATCTCTAACGCGACACCAAAAACCAAAAAATGCTTGCTTAGATACAGAGAGATAATTGACCCAAAAAAAAAAAAGATACAGAGAGATAATATACAGAGACATGATTCCCTTTATATAATTTCAGATACGACAAATTAATAACTTACCCTATGATTGGCCTCCGACGGGTTATAGGGTTCATCAGTCCAGAATTTAGCAACATTTAAATTGGTTTTTTTTAATCGACATTTCTTATGAAATAATAGATTTTCAACTAATGTGTTTTACTATTGTTTTGCTCCATCCTGGAAGTTCTAGCGGTTTAATAATCTCCTGATTTTCAATAAATAATTATCGATTTCTATTCAATTATCCTGATTTCCTCATAAATGAGTTGTCCTTAACTTTTATTTGATGAAGATAATCCATGAGTTGACTTCAACTCATTACTATTTTGATTTCATTTCTTTTTCTGAGTCTGAGTTATCGTAACTAATAATCATATTCCACGAGGTAATAATTATATTATTTACTTTCTAATTTTGGAAAACTGCCCCCCCCCCAAAAAAATGGAAAAAAAAAGGTACAACTTAGATCTTATATTAAAAATTTAACGGTAAATGACCCACTAGTGTAGTGTTTTGGAGTAATTACTCCTCTAAACAAGGTTCTAAATTCTAGTCCTAGCACATGTGTTGTAAGTGAGTTTATTATATTATCACATCTCTCAATAGGAAAGGTCCTAAATAAAAAATAAAAAAAATAGCGGAGTTAGAGAATAATATACACATACGTACGTCTTTTTTTAATAATACTTCCATTTCCGTCACATCTTAAAAACTCAATAAAATACACGTTTAAAAAAAATCAAACATACAATACATGTATTGTGCACGTACATGTTTAATACACGTATTTTTACAAAATTATCAATAGTACATACAAAATTCACGTATTATAAACATAATTTTCACATATTATTGAATAAAAATAATATATATTAAAATATTATATAGTGACCGAACTTTTCAGTTGTTAATTGGTAAAATTTTACCGAATAAAACACGTATGTATTTTATTCGTATTTTAAAAAAATAAAAAACCGGCCGCCTAGGTGCTATCCTTTATTTATTTATTTAAATAAATAGTACAGTCGCGTTATTATACTGGATCTTTATTGGGTTTTTTTTAAAAATAAATAGTATGGCCGCACGGCCATACTTATAAATACAATATATTTAAATAGTATAGCCGAGCGGCTATACTGCGTCGCTTTGTAAATATTTTTTTAATTAATAGTATAGCCGCGTGGGTATACCGAGCCCTGTTTAATTTTTTTAAATAAATAGTATAGCCTCCCGGCTATACTCTTTAAATATAATATATTTATTAAGTATAGCCGCTCGGCTATACGAGGCTCCCATTTTTAATTTTTTATATTAAATAGTATAGCCGTGCAGATATACCCTTTAAATGTATTTAATGGAATATAATCACGCTTTCAGCACGGTTCATGTTTTGTTTGTTTCAAGACTAGAAGGCGGTTTAACAGATAGCAAAGATCACGTTTCTTCCGAGAAAATAACAAATAAAACCAGGCTAAAGATGTCAAGTGTAATCCATGCCAATAAGGCCCTCAACTGGAAATCTGCAGAGTTTGTCGAAAATGTCTCTAAATCAAACTCCACAATTCACAGTAATCATATTTTGAACCCAAAAAACAAACTTAAAAACAAACACTGATTGAAGCAACACGGGCTTAATAAGGCTGTTAATGGTATTTGCAATGGCCTGTATTAGTTGGCGCCGGTGGTTTTACGTATTCTAAACCAGTTTTTCTTTTGGTCTGACTGACAGTTACACACAGGGCCTTAGGAAGAATCAAAAAAATCTGGACTGCACAACTGCACAGTAAATGAGGTACCAAAAACGTGGTGGTGCCTGCCCTATAAAGAGAGGCATGCATCTTATGCTCTAAGCCACAGCGAGTGAGTTGAGGTTTTACGATATCCAACAAGCAAGCAATTTTCATATTGCCTTTGTGTTTTTCTCTTCCCTTTGTTCAGAAAGAGAGAGTATGGAGATGAAACTGATGGGTTGTTGGTCTCTGATAGTTTTTGGGTTGGTGGTTATGGTTTTGAACAATGCATGTCCTGCAAATGGGGTCACATGCCAAGAGGCCCTAATGACTTTGATGCCCTGTGAGACATACTTGGTGGGTTCTGGCCCAGGCACTCCTGCCGTTCCTTGTTGTGCTGGTGTCCAAACCCTTGTTTCTGAGGCTACCTCCACTGAAATCCGCAGGAGCCTCTGTGAATGCTTGAAAAAAGCTGCAGCTGGGATGAAGATTGACCCAGGCAGACTTAAGGCCATCCCCGACTACTGCAAGGTCTCCATTCCTGTACCTCTTGACCCCACCGTCGACTGCAGCACGTAATCTCTCTCTCTCTCTCTCTCTCTCTCTTCTTATTTATGTATCTAAGAATATCATACACATTTTTTGTTCATATGCTATATATGATTTGGTTGGACTAATGTGTTCTTTTTACTTTTGTGATGTGCAGAGTTCCTCTGTTCTAAAGGGTGTGTGTGCATGATGATGGTATGAAATAAAACTTGGAGAATGATTAGCTGCAAGCCAGATGTTTTGGGATGTGCAGAAAATTAATTAGTGTTTGATTCCTTTTGTGCATCCAAAATATGTAATGAAAAGCAATTATAAAGTAAACGAATGCTATCATTTCTCCAGTTTCTCTCTTTTTTCTTAACTTGGTTTAGTCTCTGCTCCCAACTAAAAAGCAATTAAGCTGTATCCTTTTGTAAGGCTATAAAATTTGACACGCATCAGATGGCAAAACTAAATAAAACTCCAAACTCCAAATGCAGCCTCCAAACTCTTCTGAAATAATATGACTTTAATTACCAATAAAAAATATACAAATTTATAAATAAACCCAATTCTAGACATGTATTTATAAAAAAACCTAAGCACTATTTAAACATAGAAACACACCCAAAATCAACCCCAAAGTCAACTTTTTGGGTGTGTTTATAAATGAGTTTTGAGTGTGTGTAATGATGGGTTTTGGGTGTGTTTATAAAGTGTTTTGGGTGTTGGGTTTTTTTATAATTTCAACCTCCATTTTGGGTGTTTATCGGCACCAAATGTGTTTCAGCTGTGGAGGCTTGTTTGAATGAGACTGAGAGTTATTGTTGCATGTCAAGACATTTTCCAGGAGCCTTACTGTTGTACCATTTTCATTAGAAAATTTCACTCACCGAAATCTACATTGCTAGGTATTATACTCGGTGCTTACAATGTTAACTACCCTGTAATGAAAAAGAAGAAGAAAAGATTAGCATCAATGCAAAACTTAATCTCTGATTCTCTTTGTGTCTCAGAAATGAAAAAATCAAGAAATACCAATTGTCTTGTTGAGCAGCCAGAGCAGAAGGGCCAGTTGAATTGCAAAAATAGAGTGAAGCCACATTCTATCCACCGTGAACCCAAACACTGTGATCCCTGCTCTATTATTCTCCAGATATTTCACTGCAAAAGCGCCCACACGCTATCATTACCATTAAAAAAAAGGGGTGGGGGGGCGGCAAAAACATAAATAAATAAATAAATTCAACACTGTCACTGAAGATGATGATCTGTTCCTACTACAACCTAGAGCTTGTCTTTTCTGGAATGAGATTGTTTGAGTGTAAATTGGCACCAGCCTGGTGTTGTCCAAATCGTCATCTTCTCCAGCTTCGTCATCTTCTGATTCGATATCAGCACCAAAAGGAAACACTTGAGCTGAAGAAATCGGAGCCATTGGAGTCTCACTTTCTGTGTAATCAAAAGACTGTATTGTGGCGCAGACATGCCACTTTGCAGCAAGCCCCGTTATTGACTGTGCCTTGTGTGTTATTTTTGTTGCACTTCGCAGGCAAATGAAAAGACTAATAACTAGGCTAATGGAACATAACTGCAACATGACCAGAAAACAAAAATGACAATAAATATATAATTTGAACAAGATATTGTCATATATGTAAGTGAAAGAAATATTGAAAATTACCGCAAGATCTCCAGCCTTGAAGATATTAACATGAGCACTAGACCTAGTTACCATGACCAGAGAAATGAGCTGACTTGCTGTGACCATAATTAGAGAGAGCAAGATGAATACTCGAAACCTATGGCTCATCAGCCGAAGGTTCCTTCTGATCTTGAGGTGCTCCATCAAGATTAACTCAACCTCGGTCTCCTTTTGAAAAACTTGGGCAAAATTTTCTAGTCTCAGTATTTGAAGATGGCAAATAAGCCGGAACAGAACGCACACCAGGAAGAAAACTGTGGTTCGATAAAGCCATGAACACAGCTCCAACGTACACAAAATCGTGTTGCTTAAATAGATGTTCCCATAATACGGTAATTCGGTTGCTCCCGAGACATACCACCATATCTTGTAGAGACACTCTGCCGCAAAACAGGGGAACAAGATCATGCAGAGGAGCTTCATTGAATTCTGCAGCAATACGTAAAAACGTAGAAATTAGAAGCTCAAAGTTTCAAGATTTTGTCTAAGGTTTTGTTTAAATCAACTAATTATATATACCTGAAACTGTTGTTTATATCCATGGCGAACCTTCTCACTTGCGTCATATAATTTGTCAAGGAAGAGAAACCTCCTCAAACCATATTTGCGGGTCCAGCAGAAGAGGCTGATGAATGCGAGCACTGAGAATAAAGAAAGTGATAACTGAGAAACTACATGGTAAGGCCTGCTGTGATTTTCATCGCAGTCGGAGCAGGAGAGGAGAAAGTGTGAGACAAGCGGCACGCCAATGGCTAAAACGAAAAAGATGGACCATGAAATACCAGTCCTCCATAAATTGGACTGATCCACGAAAACCCATTTGAGGCATGCATCGAAGTTCTTCAATTCAAGTCCTTCGTGGCCTATGTAGCCTGAGATTGCTCGGTGTTTTGATAGAAATGATTGCCTTTCGTCTTCCATGGTTTTGTAAGCTTTGGTTTTTCTCAAGTTAGAATCAGAAAGCAGAGGAAAACATATAGCCAAGAGAAATGGAAGACCTGTCAACTATATCTCTCTCTCTCTCTCTCTTAAAAAAAGAAAAGAAAAAAGCAGATCCAACAACGTTAGTCACTACTTTCATAATAAGTTTCAGATCCAACAACGATTTAAACTAAACAAATCGGATTTCTCTCTAAACCAACCTAATTTGTCAGTTCTACATTATTTTAATTTATGACATAATGGTCAGTTCTACTTGAATCAAGGTTCACAAGACACCTACTTAGCAAGTTTCATAAAATAATATGTTAAAAAGTCTAATGAATTCATGATGCGCCACGTTACAATTTGAAGAATTTGGGCAACCAATTTTCAAATGTCTTAGAGTAGGTTTGGGTTTCTTCTGTACACGCGTAAAAGGGGCTGAGGTTGAGCGAAAGCTACCAATGAGAGAGAGAGAGAGAGAGAGAAAACTGTGATTTTTATTTATATGACGTTCTGAATTACTATTATGTATAGGGGGAATGAGATATAACTCGTGTGTAAGGGTGTGACGAGAGAATATTGTCTTGACCAATTAGTCCAATTTTTTTAGATAAACATAACATGGAAGAGCTACTATTTTTGTGATGGGCTTTTTATGCAGAATCTGTCAAAGGCCGCTTCAAAATCTGGACGCGGCAAACCTGGACAAGCCCAATGACCACACAAATTGCAGAAAGTCAAAACCAGAGCCCACAGTCTAATAGCAACTGGTGAAAAGAGGAGCCACGAGAGCTAAAATGTGAACAACATATAAGACACAAAATAAAATAAAATTCATGACTTTGTAAGTGCTAGTTTGGCATTGCTTATTTGGGGTGATAAGTGATTTTTTAAAAATTTTGAGAAGTCCAACCCGTTTGGTAAACTGTGAGAAAATCACTTATTGTTAAAAATTACTGTGAGAGAAAGCTATAAGGGAAAGCAGCTAATAAAGTGCTTTCATTTTCTGATTATACAGGAATTAGTTTCGAAGAGGCGCTGAGTTTAATGATTATGCGGCAATCATTTTTTGATTATGCGTAAAATCAATACCAACAACACTTTTAACAAAAAATTTACCAAACGTCAAACTGCTTTCTCTCACAGCTGATTTCTCTCACAGCAAATCTGACAGCGATTATTTTCACAGCACAGCAATGCCAAACTAGCCATAAGTATTAACATAGTATCATCCTATCGTTATATACTTTTGATTTGTGCCCGTACAACTACAAAGCACCAAGCAAAAACACAGATGGCATTGGCCGCCCCCCAGATTTATGCGCAACGCAAGCCGTGCCAACTTTGCTAGACTTGCAAGACGACACAAAATACTTGCAAACAAAAATAAGAAAGATACTTTCCCTCCCTCTTTGGCCATTTTCCTCTCCCTCTTTGGCGGTTGACACTTTCCCTCATACCAACTGACCGAAACCAATTCCAATTTGATTTCCATTTTCTGGCTTTTGAATTTTGAATTTTCTTTTCGGTCTCTGCAAAAACCTTCGGGAATGGCAGCGGCGACTTTGTCTTCCACGGTGTTTGCAATCTCAACCTCCTGCTCTTTTTCGTCTCTCAAAGCAAGGAACTTCAAGAACTTAGCTTGCTCCTCGTTTTGTTCTCAGAATCGTCTTCCTTACAATCCCATTTCTGCTCGTTCATCAATTTCCAGGTATGGTTGTGTGCCACCACTTTATATGTTGAAAAAGCAATCTTTAATGTTCCTATTTGTGAGAAAATGTAGAAACCTAGCATGGTTGGGTATGGGATCTAGCAAGTGGATTTATCATTTAAACTTTTGGGCCTTTTCAATGATGGGATAACAAGATTCATAATTGGTGTTGGAATTTGTATAGAGTTCGTGCAACTATTCTGCAAGAAGATGAAGAGGAAGTGATAGTGGAGGAATCCTTTGAGTTCAAGGCTTCTTCTCCCTCAGATGAAGTGAAATCAAGCAGTGGGGGCCCATCAGAGAGTTCGTCTTCAAGTACTTTTGAGAGCTGGGTTATTAAATGTGAACAAACCATCAACATTTTCCTTACGGTAAATCTTAACTCTTATCCAATAATTGTTCTACGGTACTAACCGTAGCTCCCATGTCGAATTGTCAAATAATTGTTATCAGGCTGTAACTTTGTTGATTCATTTTGTGCGCATAATGAGTTGCAGTTTTTTATCTTCCTTGTTGACTGTTGGGCATGATTCTTGAATGAGCTTAATTCATTCAACGTTTTGAGATGTCCTCTTAGTTGATCTTTAATTCAGTTCTGCTAATCATTCCAGGATACAGTCATAAAGATACTTGATACTCTGTACCGTGACCGAGATTATGCCAGGTTTTTTGTACTGGAAACCATTGCAAGGGTTCCTTACTTTGGTGAGTGCTACACTTTGTTTAGTAATAAATTTCTGTAGTTCTGTAAGTGGGTATTTGTAAAGATATGTGAATAACTTCAAACAATAGGAATATAAGCCTTCAAATGCTTGAGGAGCAGTTACCAATACATTGCCAATCGTACATGCCCTCGCATACATCACAATTGGCCCAATATCTTGTATTATAAATATGCTTCATCTGAAATATGGATTCGGATGTTGATCATGGAAAGGCATGCCCATTAGTTCCTCTTAATTTTCTCTGCAAATGTGCATTTTACCTGCTACTGCTAAGAATACATTCTTGTGTAATCGTTTTCCTAATATATTATTGTGATTCTCAGTTGTGATTTTTAATTTGTGTCTGTGTGTTATTTTGTGGCAGCCTTTATGTCTGTTTTGCACATGTATGAGAGCTTTGGCTGGTGGAGAAGAGCAGATTATCTGAAAGTGCATTTTGCTGAGAGCTGGAATGAGATGCACCACTTGCTTATCATGGAAGTGAGTATCTTTATTTTTTTGCTCTCTTGCCAATGATTCCTTACATTTTTGGAGATTCCACAATAAAAGAAATTTAGATAATTAGCATCAACAAAGTAAGCCTGCAGGAGGAGACTAGAGTGAATTTAGGAGAGATAACAAAATAGATAGAAGAAAACTTGTATGACATGTGGTGAAGGCTTTTTCAGATGATGATGTTCCGGCTCAAAGGCACTCATGTAAAAACTTTGTGTAGATTATGGTAGCTTCATCTGTTTACTTCTGGCTTCCCTTCTGTGCACATAGAGGCCCACATGGTTTGCTTGATTTAATAATAGCATATGGATACAATTGCAGGAATTGGGGGGAAATGCTTGGTGGTTTGACCGCTTTCTTGCTCAGCATATTGCAATCTTCTATTATTTTATGACGGCCTTTATGTATATAATAAGCCCAAGAATGGCATGTAAGTATGAGTATCTGGTTTTTAATGTACTATAATTTCCTGGGTTTGTCGCTCTTGCATCTGAGCATCCCTGTTGGTGCATTTGTCCTTGGTGGTTGCAAACTTGCAAGAACTCTCCATCTAAACCAAAATTAAACCTTTTAGTACCAAGTATGCAGGCAAACTTGTTGAAATTTGTATCCCTTTTTAAATTTGATAATATTTGCGTAGTTTCTAGGATATTTTCCACTCTATTTTCTGTTTAAGTTCTACAGAATTCTGAATTAGCCTGCATGCTTGCAGTAATGTGTTTTTATGTATTTAGTTTGATGACTACTGCAGATCACTTCTCTGAATGTGTAGAGGGCCATGCATTTTCAACTTACGACAAGTTTATCAAAGCCAGAGGAGGTATGGTTTAGATCACCTCTCTATATGTTTGTGCTCATATAAAGGTGTTTGTTGGATCACATCAAATTACACTAACTTCTAAGCATGCAAAGTCGAAGAGATGATCTTGTATCATCCGATCAGTTATAAAGTGCACTGTCTTATGCTTACCTCAAATGCATGTTCACTTATTCTGACGTGGTCTTTTCTTCTGTTGTAGAGGATTTGAAAAAGTTGCCTGCTCCTGAGGTTGCTGTAAAATACTACACTAGCGGTGACTTGTACTTATTTGGTAAGTTTTTCTGTTTTTCAATCTTTGTTTCTGTGTCCTGAAATGCTGTAATCCTAGATTTAACAATCCCCCCAAATTTCATCCAGATGAATTTCAAACTTCCAGAGCTCCCAATTCTCGAAGGCCAAAAATAGGTAACTTTCAGACTCAGATTTTATTCTGCCAGTTAGCAGATGATCATGCTAGGAGTTAGCTCAATTGTCAAACTTTGTTTTAGATTATGATCTCTCTCCTTTACGAAATAAACTTGTGTGGGATGGACAAATTTCGCTTATCACATAGTATGGGTTGTGGGACCCATAGAAGTTTGTGGGTCCCACCTACACCATTCCACAAGACTGAGTTTTTTGGGCCAACTAACCTGGGTGTCTTGTAACACCAACTGAATGAGTTAAGAATAAGAGTAAGCATATGTGTTGTTTTTTTTTTTTTTTTTTTTGTACGACGTGTTTCTGAACATAAGAGATGACGAAGCTGAACACTGTAAGACGATGAAGGCCTGCCAGACTCACGGGAACCTGTGGTCTCCTCATTCCCGTGCAGAAGAAGAAGATGACGCCCCGTGCGTCATTCCTCAAACAGACTGTGAAGGTATTGTAGATTGTATAACAAAATCCGTGACAACAAAGCCAGAACATTGATCATATAAGGCACAAGAGGGGACGAGGAAATTAGGTAGAAGTAGTGAATGGTATAAGGAATTTGTTTGTAAACACAAGAATGATATAGATCCAAAAGAAGCATTTGGTTATCCAATGAAGGTTGCTTTTCTAGTTTCCATTGGGGAGAAGGCTTCAAGGCGTGGTTGTTTCACATATTTCCATTTTTTGGACATGTTTTGTGGGACTATTAGCTTAGCTAGCATTAATATGTGGTGGCACCCCCCCTACCCTAGCATATCTTCTTTTTGGTCCACTCGTCATGACCGAGTGACATTGACAATGCCCGACCATACTGCTATCTTCTTGCGTTGTTCCAGTGTCGCAAACCGCCTGTATTTAAAAACCCTAGAAAATATCAACAACACTTATCAGTGAGTTTGTGTTCCACTGGCATTTATGCTAAGAAAAGAAGATGAACTCTCGTTTTATTTGCATTATGTTTATGTACCTATCTTTATCATCTTATCTTTAATGAGCAACATAATTCACCCAGAAAAAGAAAGACATAAATAAACCAGATACCCAGCCTCACCAATAAAAAATAACCATTTACCCAAAATTGAAAAAAAAATGTACAAAGAAATCAAAAGCAAGTGAATTTAGAATTACATCTTGTTATAAGCCATCTCATATGTGATGTGATGTTATCATACTCATAGTTACCTTCAATGGTGGACTCATGAATTTTTATAGGGGTAGGCTAAATAATTTTTTTTCAGAGGAGATATATTATAAGCCCTTTTTCTCTTGAAACAAAAATGTAAATAAAATTTTATAAATCAAACAAAGTCACATTACAAGCAAATATAACACAAAGAAGAACAAAATATAAATCAAATCCACTTTTTTTGAAGAATGAATAAATAATTTTTCCTCTCTTTACCAATCTATTATCATCATGTGACATGATATCCTAACAAGAAATACTAGACACCAAAAATCATATATGCTAATTAATAATTCAAGTTGCAAAAATAAAACATATATCAACAATCTCCAAAAGTTTTCACTCAAGCCCTAAATCATAAAAACTTAACAACAACAATTAAAATTGGAAATTGAATATATATAAAAGAGAAACACTTACCAAGATTGAAGAACCCACTGAAGATAGGGTTGTACAATTTTTTTGAGGAGGAGAGCTATTTCCTCTAGGCTCTCAATGTTCAAATACGACATTTTGGATGGCTAGAAGAAATCTTTTGATGTTTGCTCTCTGTGTGTGTAGTATAATATCAGTACGATTAGAATAACTCAAGTTGGTACACCCTTAGCGTGAGTTTTGCTTCAAATCAAATTTATATAGGTTTGGATTGATGTTTATTATTTCCTATATGCTTCAGGAGGAGTGACCTCATTTTAAATAGAAGGCTAAGTTATTATTTACTTTACTTAGATTGGGCTATTATAAGTTCATTATATTAGCGATGAAAAAAGAAAAACAATGCATGTGTGGGCCAAAATATTTATTGGATGAGGAATAAATTTATTAAATTATTTTAGAAGTCTTCCCCTAGGCTGGATTGGTTATCTTTACCTCTCGCAGAATTAGTCGGACCATGTAGCAGATTGTTGATATGTAGTCGACAATGTATCAATACTATTATTGGCAACAAAACATATACATTATCGCCAACAAAATGTACATGCACAAAGAATTCTCTGCTTTGGGGACACGTCTAAAATCTCTCAAACGTGTCCTAACATAAAATCTATCAATGTGTGTTAAACATGAAGGCAAGCTAAATTATTATCTTCTTTGTCCCATTTTCCATTTCCTTTTTGTTTTGTTTGGTGCACGAATCATTCGTTTTCCTGTTTTTATTAATAACCGGTAATTGCAGCTGCACTGCACCAGCTTTGGTACGTCGTGTTCAATACTCGTCGTCCCACCTAATTTTTTCTGAAAAAAACAAAAAAACATAGATCACCCGCCTAACGTTACGTGGGCCGCTGTTGCCCTCACAACAAAGTCTTCAAATCAATGCTCTCGAAGTCACTACACACAGAGACTAGAAGACCTAAAGTAGAAAAGACACAGCCTTCTTTTCTTTTCCTTTCCTTTATTTTCTAATTTCCTCTCTTCCTTTGGTTACTTTTCTAATTTCTCTCTCCTTCTCTCGCTCACCACAAATTCACAAATTCCATTTATATTTGCAATGGAAGACAGCTCAATGGGCGGTGCGCTAGTCCCCACCGTGAAAGGATACGAACACTTACCAGGCTCGGCCACCGAAACGGCGTCGGAGGAGCCGGAGAAGGACATTATGTGCCCGATATGCATGCAGATCATCAAAGACGCCTTCCTCACGGCTTGTGGCCACAGTTTCTGCTACATCTGCATTCTCACTCACCTCCGCAACAAGAGTGATTGCCCTTGCTGCGCTCACTCTCTCACCACAGACCTCATTTTCCCCAATTTCTTGCTCGACAAGGTTCCTTCTTTTCTCTCTTCGCCTTTCCATTTCGATGTGTTTGGTTGACATTGTCAAGAAAGAAAGTAACATCATATTGGAATTTGCAGTTGCTGAAAAATGCTTTGGCTTCTCGAATGGCGAAGACTGCATCTCCATTTGAACAACTTCGTCGGGGACTGCACCAGGTCAGTAGCCATTTTTGTCATAATTAAATCAAAACTTGTTTATTTTTCTTCTTCATTCACATGATTTTGATTAGTTAATAATTTGATCGTATTTACTTGTACGACTTGTAATTCGCAATCTTAGACAGGGTTGCGAGATGTCGATTAAAGAGCTGGACAGCCTGTTGTCTCTCCTTGAAGAGAAGAAGAGAAAAATGGAGCAGCAAGAATCTGAGATGAGCATGGAGATCATGCTTGGCTTCTTACATTGCCTGAAAAAGCAAAAGTTCCAAGAGCTCAATGAGGTACAAATTAATACATATGTATAAGCTTTATGATAGGAGTTTAATTTTCTTTTTCGCATTCTTTTGTTTTGGCTCTGTACTTTGATTATGATGCTCTGTTTTCCTCTGCAGATAAAGGCCGATCTTCAGTACATCAAGGAGGACATAACTGCGGTTGAGAGACGGAGACTAGAGCTGTGCAGCTGGGAACAGGAGAGCTCCATAAAGCTGAAAATGCTTGCTCCTGGTGATCAGCAGCAGCACAGCAATGGCATTGTCTGTAGCACGCATCACGTGCAAGCTCAAATGAGTAGTAACGATTTACAGAACAAAAGATCTGATGTAAAGGCTCAAGCAATCTCCAAGGCACTCCAACTAAATAATGATTATGGCAGCAGCTCTGATATGCAGTGTGTGACAACACCAGGTGTAGCATCACTAGCAAGAAAAAGGCGAGTCCATTCACAGGTTAGTGATCCTGCAAATTGATCTGAGGAGGCTACCAACAAAACTTCCCAGATTCTGAACTATTGGACTTCTATTTTTCCTTGCAATAGTTCAATCACCTACAGGAGTGCTACTTGCAAAAGCGACGAAATTGGTACAGACAGGAAGAAAGGGGCGAAAACACTATGAATATAGAAGGTTATAATCCAGGCCTTGAAGATTTTCAATCTGTGCTTACAAGCTTTACACAATACAGGTACAAACTTCTCAAGTATCAATTTCAAGTTTCTTCTAGGAAATCCTATCCTGTTATAGTTACTAATGCAATTTTTGGTTGCTTGAAACAGTCGAATGAGGGTCATTGCTGAACTGAGGCATGGTGATCTTCTTCACTCTGCCAATATTGTGTCCAGGTGATTTAAAATGTCATCCCTCATGCACTTTTTTCAGGACAAATTGGAAATGGTTCTCATTTCATTTCATACAATTTTGTTAGCCCTTTCATCAGCGATTTGCTACCCTGTAACCACCATTGGTTGTACACCCGTAGGCTGTATCTACTAAATTTAGGCAAATTATCATCATGGTCCATTGTTTAGTTAGGTCATTTGGTTACTGCAACTTGTGATCTGTGTTTGAAAATTTATCTTTAGCTGATCTTGGTAACGTATCGTGATATTTGAGGTTCCCATTACATTTGTTGCAGTATAGAATTTGATCGTGATGATGAACTGTTTGCTACTGCTGGAGTTTCACGGTGCATAAAAGTTTTTGAATTTTCCTCGGTAAGCATTGGACAGACGCTTTAGTACCTTTATAAAGTCTGTTACTTTTAGTTTTTTATTAAGCAGGAATAATGTTCCAGGGCCGAAGTTGAGCAATGACTCCATATATTGCTTCCAAGTGCTACTGGTGCATCTTTATACTTCTTCACTGCACTAACCTCGTTGATATCTAAAAGTTGTATGTTGTGGTCAAATATGAAAGGGATGCCATCTTTGATTTTTTATATTACTTTTTGGTAATAGTTGTTTTTCTGCATAAGACAATGCTTTTGCAGATATACCTGTCGCCTTTGGGTTGTGCCTGAACACCTCAGTCTCATGGAATTTTTTTTTCTTTATTTGTTCATAGTTTCTATTGTGATTACTTCCAGGTGGTTAATGAACCAGCAGATATCCACTGTCCTATCGTAGAGATATCCACACGATCCAAACTTAGTTGCTTGAGCTGGAATAAGTACACTAAAACCCATATTGCTAGTAGCGACTATGAGGGGATAGTAACTGTTTGGGATGTAACTACTCGTCAGGTAGTGAAATCTTTTCTTTTCATTAAAATAGTGCTAATCTGCACACCTATGCTGTCATAATTTTGTCACTGCCTCAACCCATTTGTTCACATCCAGTTATTTAACCAGACTCTTTTCTTACCAGAGTGTGATGGAATATGAGGAGCATGAAAAGCGGACTTGGAGTGTTGATTTTTCATCTATTGATCCTTCAATGCTTGTATCCGGAAGTGATGACTGCAAGGTAATTGGACATGAATTTTAGCTCATATCTTAGGGGTTTGTGAGCTGTATCTTGTTAAGTGACCTAAAAAGTAACTAGTTGTAGTTATAGGCTTGGAGTATTTGAAGTAGCATCAAGAAGTTCTCAGCATGCATTTTTTATGCTAAACAGGTCAAAATTTGGTGCACAAAGCAAGAAGAAAGTGTTCTTAACATCAACATGAAGGCTAATATTTGTTCTGTCAAGTATAATCCTGGATCCAGCTTTTATGTGGCAGTATGTCTCTGTTCTTAAGATTAAAATGAGAACATAGCTTGCTTAATTCTCCTATCCAGAAGAATGCAAAAAATTTATACGTACACCATATTTTGAAAGTTCACTGTTGATTCCTTTATTTCATGCCAATTAGTTCAACAAAACTAGTATATGTATAGCCTTTCCCTGAGCCCAGTGTGATTGAAAACATATCATTTAATCAAATTAGGACACAGAGCTTGGTATAATGCACTTGGTAATTTTGCAGGTTGGCTCTGCAGATCATCACATTCATTATTATGACTTGAGAAATATCAGCCAACCACTGCATGTCTTTAGTGGGCATAGGAAAGCTGTTTCATATGTGAAATTCTTGTCTAACTATGAACTTGCTTCTGCATCCACTGACAGCACATTGCAATTGTGGGATGTAAAGGAAAACTTGCCTGTGAGTCATCTTGCTTATGGGACTTTTGATTTCTAATTTCCAAACAGAGTTTGAGCTAATTCTTTGTTTTCACATTGACAGTTGTGCACGTATAGAGGCCACATGAATGAGAAGAATTTTGTGGGTCTCGCAGTAAATAACGAATATATTGCTTGCGGCAGCGAGACAAATGAAGTGTTCGTTTACCATAAGGTTAAGTTGACAAACAAGAAAATGATGTGGTAGCTAAGTTGACATGCCAAAATTGAACCCCCACTAAAATTACAATGTTTACATTGTATATAAGGCACTTGGCACCAACAGTAGTTGATTCAGTTTTGGTGTCTACTTGCAGGCAATCTCAAAACCTATGGCTTGGCATGGCTCTTCAGATTTAGGCGAGAATGACGACGACGCAGGATCATTCTTTATCAGTGCTGTATGTTGGAAGAGGGATAGCCCAATGCTATTGACTGCAAACAGTCGAGGAACAATTAAAGTGCTTCTACTTGCAGCCTGAGACTATCGGCAATCAAGTAAAAATTTCTTTTAAGGTATCGCCAACACAAAGATATTCATAAATTTTATCGATGCTAAACAAAGATGTGTGTCTTTGTATTGAATTCAAACCTGGTATTTTGTTTCATGTGTTGCAATAGTTGAGTTAAAACGTTTGAAAGTTTTAATGATGTTCTCTTCTTTCCTTTGAACGTACGAAAGAACAAGTGAAGGGCATACACCAAAATAAAGGGAATTTCCTTAGCGAAAATGGGGTCAAGTGGAACAGTTGATGAAAAGAAGGGTGCAAATGAATGAGGGAGGGAGGGAGGGACAGAGGGATGGCCTTCTGTTCTTGTGCCGCACCCCCACATAGAGGCAAGGTTGTGTCCGTTTCTAAGGGTTATTTACACTAATACCCCAATGAGATTTCTTGTGTTTTTACAAAACCCGCTCAGGCCTAAAAAATTACACGAACACCCCTGAGGTTTTAGTTTATTTTCACAAAACCCCTTTTTGTTGATTATTTGTCCAAAAATTGATGATTTTATTAAAAAAAAACTTATGCAAATTACAAAATTAACCTCAATGAAGTATATGCAGTCTCATTTCAAATGCCAACTTTGTATCTGTAGAATTTTTTTGTTGTTGTATAAAATCATCAATCTTTGGATGAAAAATCAATGAAAAGTAGTTTTGTGAAAACAATTTAAAACCTCATGAGGTGTTCGTATAATTTCTAAAACCTAAAGGAGTTTTGTGAAAAACCTGAGAACCTTAAGGGTGTTAGTGTAAATAACTCTATATAACCAAATGCAACACCCTTCTAGAAAAGCAAAACGGTTGATCATAAAGTTTTGCAACCGCCAAAGAAATAAAAGATGCCAACCAATATTGTAACAACTGAAATAATTTGGACATAATATAAAATAATAAAAGTGAATTAGCCAGTCATAAGGGAAATTCATTAAATAAAAAGCTTCTTTGTAACGGGGATTTCTTTAGAAAAAGACAAAGAAATATATCTTCGTCCATCTTTTGGATTCAAACTCGGCTTCTTATTTTTTGTTCGTATGTTTCAAATGAAAAAAAGGATCGACATGGGTCTATGAAATTTGAAACGAACAATTCATGTGAACGCAAATTTGTTAAGTACCACTGTACCAAGCCCAGCCCAAACCCACCCCAAGTCAGCAGTATATTTCTTCCCCATAGGCTTGCCACCACTGCGCATCTTATACAAGATCCTCTCTCTCTCTCTCTCTCTCTCTCTCTCTCCTACAGTCCTATTCCCTTTTCGCTTCCTTCTATGCATAAATAGTAGCACTCATATATAAAAAAATAGAGATCCCCCTCCTCCCTATAGATTCCCAGAATCGCGCTCTCTCTCTCTGAGATACCAGAAACGAACCCAGAAAAGAAAAAAAACTTTCTTTCTGCTTCTCCTTTTTTTTGGCGCGAAAAAAAAGGAGGCAGCAATGAAAATAGCCAATGGGGATCGGGAGGTGTGCGTGGCCTCGCCTGCGGTGAAGGCTCCGTCGGTCGGAGATGAGAAAGAGAGGGAGGCAGACGCATTCTTGCCACCTCTAAACTTTGCGATGGTCGACAATGGCGTGTTTAGGTCCGGTTTCCCTCATTCTGCCAATTTCAGCTTTTTGAAATCCCTAGGTCTACGTTCCGTTATGTAAGTCAAATCCAGCATTGTTTTTGTAAATTTAATTTATTCCTATTTTCTTCTTTTTCTAGGCACTTCAAATTTGACTTCAGTTTATCAAAGTTCGGTAATTTTGACTAATTCTTTGGTTTGGGTTCGTGTGTTTGCGTTAGATACTTGTGCCCGGAGCCATATCCGGAGGAGAACGAAGAGTTTTTGAAAGCAAATGGGATTAGGCTTTTCCAGTTTGGGATGGATGGCTCTCAGGTTTCCTCTTCTTTTTGCCTTATTTTGCAATAATGGTATTTTGACATAATATCTTGAGAGTTGAGATTAGACAATAAGATGATACTGATGCAAACTTTGTCATCTCTATGTTATAATTCCTGCTATAACCGTGAGTGTTTATCAATTTGGGTGCTCTTCTGTAGAAAAATGATTATGCAGAAGATTTGAACCTCCGGGACAAAAGCTTGAATTTAGTAGAAATCACATGAGGGCTTGGGGAAAAGAAAAAGACTATTTGATTGATGATTTCAGATAAAATTTGTTTTTGGAGTGAAAGAGTTTCTGGTTTGAGTTCATGAGTTTTTAAAATAATTAACATCCGTCACCGGTTGTTGAGAAAAAGAGACATGGCAAATTGCGTGTCAAAATCACTTCACTTCATCAGCTTAAGTGCAAGTCTGATGAATTTTTGGGCAAGAGATGCATCACCATGAGCCTATGGCCTTGCTATATCCCATTCCCAATTTGCTGGTGCAAGCCCCGTGTCCGTTGTCTTTTTTCCCACTACGATGCCCCTTTCTGCTAAGCCTCCGCTTTGCATGAAATCTATAATTGAATGGAACGACAAGATAAACATATTGACAATCCTAATAAGCAGTTGGATTTTATATTTACTTGTTACTGACGTATGTTCCGTGTTGAAAACAGCCGTGCACCTCTAACCTCAGGTTGTTTTTGCTTGCCTTGTGCTTTAACGGTTTACCTTAACTCTTTCAGTTACTAGATATGGTTTTGTCAGCTGGCAGTAAGTGTAGATTTCATTTGCCTATTGTTCTCTACTCTGGTTTTGTCTGCAGTACCGATTATCTCACTTTGATCGTTGTACCAACCCCTACATAATCTAAGATTCTTTCTGCTGTTGTTTCTCTGTTTTCGGTGACTTAAATGTTATTCAATCTTTTGAAATGAACTTGTTGGCATCGCATGTTGACTGATGATATCTTCTGAGCTCACTCATGTTTGTAGCTAGGGACTTTTCTTCTTTGAGCTAGTTATAATTGCTATCAGTTGATGTTTTCACTCATGTGGCGTGCTGCAACATATTTGCAAATGGATGCTGGACGACAGGAACATTTTGTGAAAATTCCGGAGCACGCAATTCGTGAAGCATTAAAAGTAGTCCTTGGTATATCACAACACCTTCAACTTAAAGTTCTATTTTCTCTCTTTTTTGTGCTTAAGATTATACCACAGCAATTTGCTTATCGACTTGGATGCCTGTGTGTGCAAGATGTAAGGAATCACCCGCTCCTGATTCATTGCAAACGAGGGAAGGTACTCAATTCTTTTTAACTTATTTGCATTCTCTCACCCAAAATGTTGGGTTCCATCTTCCAACAATACAAGTGTTCTCTTTTTTGATATTGTGCAGCACCGGACAGGCTGCCTTGTTGGATGCTTAAGAAAGTTGCAAAAATGGTGCCTGACCTCAATCTTCGACGAGTACCAGAGGTTTGCAGCTGCAAAAGCTAGAGTTTCAGATCAAAGGTTCATCGAATTGTTTGATATTTCTGGCTTCAAAAACTTGCCAATGTCATTTTCGTGTTCGAAAAGGATAGTGTAGAGTCATTCGCTCCCTGGAGAATGACCTTTCGGTACTTTAGTATGTGAAGTTGATTATTGATGATTGATCAGGTCCAGAAGAATGTGCAATACTCAAAATGCGTGTTCATTTTCATGCAAATCTGCACCTCGCAGTACAAAATAGGCGTTGATTCCAACTTTACTTTGAACTTTTTATGATGTATGATTTTGATCTGTCACTAAATTCCCAGTCGAAAATTGGAGGGTTTATTCATGTTTAGAAGCATGAAAAGCAACTGCAGTGCACAAGTTTGAAAAATCGCTAGGCGGTAGGCTAAAAGAAAAAAGAAAAGAACCCACCGCCTAGCCCCGCCTAGAGCCGCCTAGGACCGCCTAGGACCGCCTAGAGCCGCCTAGAGCCGCCTAGGACCGCCTAGAGCCGCCTAGGACCGCCTAGAGCCGCCTAGGACCGCCTAGCCCCGCCTAGAGCCGCCTAGAGCCGCCTAGCCCCGCCTAGAGCCGCCTAGAGCCGCCTAGAGCCGCCTAGGCCGATTTTTCGAACACTCTGAGATTGTCATAAATTCTGGAAAAGAAAAAGATAAAATGAAATGAAATTGAAAAGAATGTGGACGAGAAACAATCGAATCGCCAATCCAAATAATGACGACCGAAACGATGGCTCGGCCTTTTCACTCTACCTCGCTATTCTTCTCAATCCAGGAGACACACAAACTGTCCCTCGTTATGTAAAAGAAGCGAGGCATAAATTAATTCAAACAAAGAAATACAAAACAAAAGAACAAAAGCACAAAACAGAGACCAGCAAACTACAGATCTACAGAGAGGGGCTGAAGAACTCAATTCTTCCAAAGCTGCTGCGTCGCGGGAATTTATAGAGAGTCGCCAACCCTAGCCTAGCCCCCTTCGAAATTACCACACAACCCTTATCTTACCATACTTGGATCACAATTGGGCCTGTAATTTTCATTCAGTCCCAATCTCGCACCAACGGGCCCAATCTTCTCAACAATTCATCAGAAAGATGCAGGGATATCTGGATCCCAGTGGCCCCGGTTACCTGATCAAATCCGTTAGAGTCAACGATTCTACCAACATAACAAGGATCGACGGTGGAAGATGATCTAATAAGTAGGGCCCACCTTAGATTATTAAACCCCGACGGAATTCATCCAACTAGTTTAGGGTTTGAAGCCCAAGTGTGCTTCCAGCTATTTAGGGTTTTTATCCTCCCCCACCTGAGTTGCTGAGCGCCTGAACATTTCTAGGATTGGAATTCATCCAATCCACCTCGGCTCTTGAGGCTCCAAAAGCCCATCCTTCCGAATCAAAGCCTTTGTGTAAAAGATTCATGCTTTTTGAGTTTCGTCATTGGTAAGTGCCTCGCTTCTCTTCCCCTTTTCGTTAAATTTCCGTGTAAAACAGTGCAAGCTCTCTGCTTTAATTCTCCTGTGCCTTAATTTTCAATTAGATAGATACGAGCTTTTGTATATACAAGCGAGGGTGCGTTTGTGAGCAAGTGGGAGAGAGGGAGAGTATTAAATGGGGAAATCAGGGGGCAGAAAGAAGAAGGGAGCTTCAAACCAAGTTTCTAGTGATGGAAATTCATCTCCAATGGCTAATGGTGGTGTTGATTTGGACTCTTCAATCTTTTTGAAAAGAGCACAAGAGCTCAAAGAAGAAGGGAACAAGAGATTTCAGAGTAAGGACTATGTGGGTGCTCTTGAGCAGTATGATAATGCTCTTAAGCTCACTCCTAAGATTCACCCGGACAGGGCGGTTTTTCATAGCAATAGAGCCGCTTGTTTGATGCAAATGAAGCCTATAGATTATGAAACTGTGGTTGCTGAATGCACCATGGCGCTTCAGGTTCAGCCCCGGTATGTCCGGGCTCTCCTTCGGAGGGCTCGGGCATTTGAGGCGATAGGGAAGTATGAAATGGCAATGCAGGATGTTCAGGTGTTATTGGGGGCTGACCCAAATCACCGGGATGCTTTGGAGATTGCCCAGCGGTTGCGGACAGCACTTGGGCCTCGTCAGGAGGCTCAGCAGGACCTCCAGAGCCGCCCGTCCCCTGCTGCCCTTGGGGCTTCCGCAGTTCGCGGCGCTCCAATTGCTGGGCTGGGGCCTTGTTTACCAGCCCGGCCAGCAGCAAAGAAGGCAGCTGCTTCAGCGGGGGGTTCTGGTTTATCCCAAATTAACAGGCCAGATAAGCCACAAACAGTTCTACCGGCTGAGAATGGACCTGAGCCCAAAACCCAGATGCCAAAACTTGTATTGAAGCCTACAAATGCTTCTTCAAAATCTCCTAATCCAAGTAAGGCTAACCAGAAGGAGCCATCATCAGTTTCATTGTCCATTCATGGGCAGCGTTCTGCGGCTGCCAATCGATGGAGACCATTGAAGCTTGTTTATGATCACGACATAAGGCTTTCCCAAATGCCTGTTAATTGCACTTTCAGAGTGTTAAGGGAAGCTGTAACAAAACGCTTTCCATCATCAAAGTCAGTATTGATCAAGTATAAGGATAATGACGGTGATTTGGTGACTATAACCTCTACAGCTGAACTTAGGTTGGCTGAGTCTTGTGCAGACAGGGTCATTCCAGAAGACCCTGAAATAGATAAAGCTGACTCGATTGGAATGTTGAGATTGCATATTGTGGACGTGACTCCTGAGCAGGAACCACCTTTGTTGGAAGAAGAGGAGGAAAAAGCTGCCGAAAACGAGGGGATCAAGGAAGATGAAAGCAATTCTAATTCATCACTTAGTGAATCTGTTTTGGAAGCTGGTGATTATGAAACTGATAAGGCGGAGAAAGAAGCTCAAAAGGAGAAACCAGGAGCCTCGGAAGATCCTGAGTGCAAGGAATTGGAAATGGATGATTGGTTGTTTGAGTTTTCTCAGCTTTTCCGCAGCCATGTCGGTATTGATCCAGATGCTCACATTGATTTGCATGAGCTTGGAATGGAGCTTTGTTCTGAGGCCCTTGAAGAGGCAGTAACTAGTGAAGAAGCTCAGGGTCTTTTTGACAAGGCTGCCTCAAAGTTCCAGGAGGTGGCTGCATTGGCTTTCTTTAATTGGGGAAATGTTTATATGTGTGCGGCAAGGAAAAGGATTCCCTTAGATGAGTCTGCTGGAAAGGAGGTAGTGGAATCACAGCTTCAAACAGCTTATGACTGGGTCAAGGAAAAATATTCCTTGGCCAGAGAGAAATATGAGGAAGCACTGTCGATCAAGCCAGACTTTTATGAGGGGCTGCTGGCACTGGGGCAGCAGCAATTTGAAATGGCCAAACTTCATTGGTCATTTGCACTTGCTAAGAAAATAGATCTCTCAAGTTGCGATTCCACAGAAATGCTGAACCTTTTTGACAGTGCAGAGGAGAAGATGAAAGTTGCCACTGAGATGTGGGAGAAGCTGGAGGAGCAGAGAGCAAAGGAACTAAAGGATCCAAGTGCAAGCAAAAGAGAAGAATTGTTGAAAAAAAGGAAAAAACAAGGAAGCGGTAATGAAGGAGAGTCCTCTGGAGCATCTGGTCAGGGTGAGATTTCGGCAGATGAAGCAGCAGAACAGGCAGCTGTTATGAGATCACAGATCCATCTTTTCTGGGGTAACATGCTTTTTGAGCGATCTCAGGTTGAATACAAATTGGGGCTGGATGGTTGGAAGAAAAACCTGGATGCTGCTGTCGAGCGCTTTAAGCTTGCTGGAGCTTCTGAGGCAGACATTTCTTTGGTTCTGAAGAACCATTTCTCCAATGGCGATGGAGTTGAGGGAGATGGGAAAAAGGTTCAGAATTTAGGCAGTGATGTACCTGTTGAAGCCAATAAAGACAATGAGATTCTTTCAGGGAAGTGAGATAATTTATTTTAATGGTGGCTTCCATGAATAATCTTCAATTTGTGCTTGTTAATCATGATAATAAACTGGAGAGAGGAACTGCTTTTGTTTTCTGTACTGAATGGAGGAATGCTGGAATTCTTTTTGTTCAGTTCTGAAAGATTGGGTGCCAGAATATGCAAGCTGTGTACTCAACAAGATTTTGGGCAATGTTCTTATGGTAAAGATAACATGTTGTAAACATTTTTTTCGCAAGGCTGATGAGTTTCAAGTGTCAACTTTATGTGCGTAGGGTCTTATTTTTAGCTCGCTGCTCCACTTCAGTGCAGTGTGGTTTATAAATGCTAATCTTAATTTTTACGATGCATCTTATTTGAGCTGATTCTTAAATTTATTACAAATCACCAGAAACCAAATGGATACAAGCTCTTCAAATTTGTTCCCCTCATATTGTTAATTCTTAAATTCTTGTTAGTGTCAGTTTCAGATGTGATTTCATGTCAGTAGAAAAATGAAGAGATTTTCAGGACTTTTCTCCCTTTGGTTGCCAATGCCAATGAGGATGAAATCGATTTTTACTTAAATATTGACCATGATGGGAAGATGCCATTATTCTTAGTGATGGCAAATCAAAATTTGAGGTTTCTGACTGAGCCATACCAAATGGATGGAGTGCTTGAATATATTATCTTGGAGGCTACAAATTACAATAGATAGAATGATAATCAGCTAATATATTTTTTGCATCTCCCAACAATTCCATTCTATATTCAATATAATGAGGATTAATTAACAATCAAACATGGGTCCCTCAAGTTTTTGGCATCTAATCATTTGTATTTATATATTGTTTTCAATTACAGAAACAGTTATGCAGATCAGATATGGTTGGTTACTTTCTATAACAGTATACTTCATCCACATCATAAACACTAAACATCACACCACCATGGGATGGGAACTACTACTCCCAACTCCCAAGCTAAGCTTATAACTATGAATTCCACCAGGCCAGGAGGAAATAAAACACACACAATTTAAAATAAAACCCAAACTTCTCCTCCCAACAGCTTTATTTAGAACACCAACTACTACTAGCACACAAAACCACACAAACCCAATTTTAATTATTTTATTGTCGTCCATCGGACAGCTCAGACAGTTGCAACAGGGTCCAAATTAACGGTGGATTCCATGGCCTTCATGGCTTCAAATCTTGGTTCCTTGGCTTGGAATTTGAGGCCAGAATAGAGCTTCATGTAATCATCAAACACAAATTTGGGGTAGGCTGAGATTTTCTCAGTTTCTTTTTCCAGCAATGCTGGTGCTGGGCAGATAAAAGCATCATCACCTGGGTTGTAGAATGAGGCTATGGACATTCTGGTACCATCCGGCTGCGCTATCACACGGTGCATCACACTCTTGTATTTCCCATTAGTGATCACCTATATTAATAATTCAAATCACATTTTAATTAGTAAATTTGAGATTTAAAATAACCATTTTAATGGGAAGAAAGAAAAAAAGTCAAAATTTGAAACTAGGTTATGGTATTTGTACCTCAAGTTGGTCACCCAAGTTGATGACAATGGAGTGGTGCATTGGAGGAACGTCAATCCATTGACCATCCTTGAGGAGCTGGAGGCCGCTGACCTTGTCATCTTGGAAGAGTAGGATGATGCCACCTGCATCGGTGTGGGCCCGGAGGCCCTTGATCAGGTCTGGTTTGGGGCAAGGAGGGTAGTTGCTGACCTTTGTCCCAAAGTTTGGTCCCTTTGATCCATAGAAAGCCTTCTTCAGATAACCCTTCTCCAACCCAAGATTCTCACACAGCAAGTCCAGAAGTTGCTCAGCTAGTTTCTCTAATTCCACTGCAAATTCTTTCATGACCTTCCTGTAATCTTCATCAAGGTCAGGGATTTGGGATATGTTAGAGACAGGAAGGTGGCGCAAGAAGAAGGTGCTTTCCCAGTCCAAGTCATGGATTTCAGACTGGACAGCTTCAAGGCCTTTGCTTGCGACCATTTCCTTAAACCTTTGCTCCATGCACTTTTTGTAGTGCTCCTTTGTCAGCTTCTCCACAGTATCCATCAGCTCATGAGATATCCCATGGTTCACCAACTTCATTAATTAATTTGTACATTAAAAAAAAGAGTTATTATTAGAAACACATATGATCGTGATATAGAAAGAAAAAACATCATTTGTAATTAACTAGCTGACTTCTCATCAAAGCTTTAAAAGAAATAAAAAGATCTCAAAGCAGCTTAATGGTTGGTTTACCTCAAAGAAACCCCAATTCTCACAAGCATCATTTATCTTCTCCATGGTAGCTTCTCTCTTTTCACCATTAATTTGGCTCAAGTCAACAACTGGGAAAGCCTCCATTTCTCTCCTTAGTTACTCTCTCTCGCAATATCTCTCTCTCACACACGCAAACTTAATCCTCTCGATGTAAGTGAGTCTATGTGGCTAGCTCTATTTGGTGAGTGGTGTACTTGTATATGGTGCAATTTATAGGCGCTAAGGGAGTGGCAGATCTGTGAATACCTAGGATTTCTTAGTTAATAATTTATAAGAAAATTAGTATAATGGAATGTTGGCATATTTTTGTACGTAATACGTAGACTTATATATATATATATATATAGAGAGAGAGAGAGAGAGAGAGAGAGAGAGAGAGAGAGAGAGAGAGAGAGAGAAGTTTGAAACGAAATTGTTCACGTAAGAAAAGAATACCCTGAAGATTAAGAAGAAGAATTTATAAGTATCAACTCAACGCATGGAATTGAAAACATGAAAGTAAATTTAAATGATGAATGTAAATCTAGTTACATTTAAAAATAGAAAATATACAGAAAATGAAATGAAATAAAACAGAATAAAAAGGAACAGGACTCGTGGAGTATGTAAGAAGAAAGCACGTCCATGGTGGATGGACCCCTACCAACTTTTTTCTCGAAGCTGCGGCCATGATCTATGCTATATATTATGCCCTGTTGGTTGGTTGGATCATCTATCTTTCTTTCCTCCTTTTTGTCTTTTACATGTTTTTTTTGTTTTCTGTTTATTTATTTCTTCCAGTCTTAATTAGACCAACCAAACCAAACCATGCATGCACGCGCCTAATTAAGCTTTTCTATTTGAATTAAAAAAAACCCTAATTTCTCAATTATCCCAATTAAACACTAATATAATTTCTCAAGTATCATTAAACATAAAGCCTGAAAAAGAGGAAGTGTCCCGCGAGTGCATGAGTGATATGCATGGCCCCAATTCCTTTACTTGAAATGAATGCCTTATTCATTTGCCATGTTTTGTTTCACTTTTTCTTAATAATGACAATTATCGTAAGCAGTAAAAACAAAAGTAAGGCATGCCACAAAAGGTAACATTTCATCATTCATGACATGAAGTATAGGGAAGGGAAGCTAGCGCGTTAATTAATATAATTAACAAGCTTTGTTAATGATTAACCAAGGTTTAATCAACGATTTTAGAGGGCTCTTCTTATGTTTAATGAAAGATATTGATAAACTAATTAACAACTTAGGGTGGTTGAATTTGGATTAATTTTCCTTCTTCCATGTTAATTACCACCAAACAGCTTCAAGCAAAGAGAAATCTATGGGCTTTTTGATTTGTTGAGTTGACAAAACCTGGACCTGACCAACTTTCAGCATCTTGACATCTGACCAAAGAAATCTCTGCTCTCAACTTTCGGTCTTTCGGTCTTCAGTCACATGCTGATGTCGCTTAGTCAAATTCTAAATCTGCCTATTCACTCTTTTGTTGGATTTAACCCCATCTAGTAAATCTGTCGCTGCCATTAACGACCAGAAGTTGGAAGAAGAAAAAACACATGTAGAAAAATAGCATCTAAATTCCCAGTTCGAGTTATATGGCCCAACAAGTACAACTCCGTGACGATTAACTTTGATTCTAAATTTGACTGATTCGTAGGTTTTTAAGGAAAATGAAATCATCTTATTAGAAATCTGTTCTGAAAGTTTCGATCTAATCAGTTTTAGTCGTTTGGTTCAAATATATACGTACTTGTGCTAAATTCACACACAAGCTAGGCTACGTATGAAAATGTATAGTGATCAAACAAGTTATTCGGCTAAGAATATCCCATGTACGCATTCTCGATAAGGGAGAGCAAACCAAAAGCATATAAAACTGGATCATGATCTATCATGCGTCCCTCTTACTCGATCGCTTTGTTGGTTTTTGGATCAAGTTCCAAATTCCATGTATTTTCTATTGGTGGGTTCTCGGTATTGTTTTATAATCTTCAAATAATGCAATTCCTTTTGCTTGTTAAATCTAGAATGTAGAGTCATGCATGCATCACTCGACAATTGAGAGTATGAATTCCACGTCGGGCATAATAATCTTAAACCCAAAGAGCATAAGCGCTTTCTTTTCTTTTCCATCTTTATTACTTTCACCTAGCAAATACCAATAACCATGAACAGTTACTGCTGGTTCATTTTCATTACAAGAAATCATTGAGAAAAATGAAGCTGAGTTGGTCGGAGAACCTCCGTACCAGACAATCACATTACATAATATTATTGACATATGATATGGGAGGTAAATAAAGAACAATTAATCTCTTTTTTCCAGGACTTATATATTATATCTATCTGCCAAAGCCTCCCCAGTTTGGCTCTATATGCATACTACTACTGCCCTAGCTACAACTTTTTTTTTCTCTTTTTCTGAACCAACAGCCATGGCTACTCTGCCACAGAGAGAGAGAGTTACAGTAGCTACTGCCCAATAGCTTAGATTTCATCCATTTGAAAGTGAAATCTCTTACAGTAGTGTAGTACTTTAAGGCCAAAGAGAAGAGAATATAAATTATAAAAGATGGCATTGCCAAGAAGAAGCGCCATAGTTTTGAGAATAATTACTTGATTAGAATAATTGGATCGGCTCGATTAGACGAATAGGATTCCTTACCTTTCAGATGGAAAATGACTTTGGTCTTTTGCACTCAGCAAGTGGCTTAAATAAAACAAGAATTGACATTTATTATTCCTGGCAGTGGCAATGGCTGGTTGTTCTAAACCTAAGATTGAACGAGATTACGTACCATGATCTCCCATCAACTCTTTAATTGATTACGTAATTGGGTTGTCTAGATTCGAATATAATTTGTAATTAGTGTTGATTAGCCAGACTACTAACCTATTTTAACCACTAATCCTGATCGAGAGAAGGCCACTAAAAGTAGATTTATTCTTTCCATATGAAATGAAAGGAGAGAAAAGCTGCCCAAATGGCGAATGAAATTAACCTTTCCCCCCTCCCCCTCTATAGCCTTAGCCTAGCCCTGCACTCAACAAATTCTCTCTCAGGTCAAGCATGGTGGCAACATGTTATTATTTTGGATCCTGTGTATATATTTGTTTATATGGACCCCACGTGTTGAATCAAATGTCAATCAACGGTCCAAAACTTATGATTGTTAGTCTTAGATCTCTGGTGTGAGGTATATATCTATTCTATATATCAATCAATCATACAAATATGAATGAATGATCTAAAGTGGACCCTCAGTGGGATGTTTTTCTTCCTTGATCGTGCAATTGACCAGTTTCCTAGTAGCTATATAGCTCTTTCTTTCGGTCATGTGATTGAGTTGAGATGAGAGAGATGAATTGGATAAGTCATGGAGGGGGGGTCCATCCAGATCCAGCATGCATGTGTATGGGGGCGACTAGATTTCATGATATCGAAGCTTGTGAATTTGCTTTTGATATTTAATAGCCTCTACATCATCTGCAACGTACCTTCTTCTAACACGTGACCTGTTTTGTGAGTGTCACTGGATTGAAGAATAAATTATATATTTATAAGAATCTTTAGTGCAGTGGGAACCAGGAGCGTCCATGGATATAAAATGAAGTGATGAAACCTTAAAATATGAAAGAAGCAGGCAATCTTTAACTCTATATGGGCAAGACCACAAGGTAAATAGTCAATATTATTTATATTATATAATAAAATGAAAAGGCAAGTGGGAGACCATTAGAATCAATAATTTAGTTAATTGACCAAAAGACAAATCGTGAATAAGTTCGGGACTATTTGAGTCAAAAACCCTGTACATTTTAGCACGTATTGATGCCAAAGTGTCTCCATCATGCCAAAGCTGAAAAAGTTCACAGAGATCTTTGAGTTGATCAACATCAATGAAGTGAAAGGGGGCAGTACATTTTTGTCACATTGCTAAATTGAAGAAGGAAAAATATACCACATAATTGGAACCAATTGAAGAAGAAGCTTTTTCTCAAAAGTGGAAGGAATTTTGATGCAAATTTTAATGGAATTGCGTCTTGGTTTGGACCTGAAAGAAACTCTTCCTTGAAACACATATCCTGCACTTCTATAAAAAAAAAGACATGTGGAGTGGATGCACTGCGCGTAAAAATAAAACATGTTCATGCATTTCAAACGATCACCAACTCTCATCTCCCCATCACGTCAGAGAAATATGATGCTCTCACTTTCATCAATCCTATTCCTATATGTATATATATATATATATATTGCACACCCTCATTGATCATGCTTATGCGTTTACACGATTCTCCCACTTTCAATCACTGCACATGAAAGCTCTCTCATCTCTCCAACTAACACAAAAGCAAGCAGAATATGAGAATATATATAAGTCAATAAACAAGGAATTAATGCACCAACAAATTAACAATGACGATATAAAAAGGCATCTTACTTTGAATGTGAGAAAAAAAAAAAAAAAAAAAAAAAAATAAGCAAGCAGTGGTGGATTCATGAATTTTTCAGGGAACGTGTAATATTTGAAGGGCTAAAAATTCGCAAAGGACTCAAGCAAGGTCTTGGGTTCAAGTTTTAACATCCGTGTACGTAGTGTGTTAAAAAAAGGTTAAAAATTCAAAAAATAATTTAGACAACCAAATGCCTTAGAATTTAAACAAAACTAATGTCATTCATAATTAAAACAATAATAGTGCTTTCGGATGAGGAAATTTAAAAATACAAAGGATTTCCTAAATGACGGAAATTAATGTTCTAGAATTTGTAAAGTTTCTTGTTTGGGTGACTGATTTAAAACACGGAATTTAACCTTTAATTGTAAAGTTATCTTTTTTTAAAACTCAATCTCTCTTGAGACTTTAGAAATGACAACTTTTAGATAGAATTTAAACTTGAGATTTATGATCTCCAAATTCCATGTTATTTTCCACGCGGGATTTTTAAATTTCTATGTTCTTTTAACCAAACACCGGAATTGGTTCATGTCAATTTATTTGGGTGACTGATTTAAAACACGGAATTTAACCTTTAATTGTAAAGTTATCTTTTTTTAAAACTCAATCTCTCTTGGGACTTTAGAAATGACAACTTTTAGATAGAATTTAAACTTGAGATTTATGATCTCCAAATTCCATGTTATTTTCCACGCGGGATTTTTAAATTTCTATGTTCTTTTAACCAAACACCGGAATTGGTTCATGTCAATTTATTTGGGTGACTGATTTAAAACACAGAATTTAACCTTTAATTGTAAAGTTATCTTTTTTTAAAACTCAATCTCTCTTGGGACTTTAGAAATGACAACTTTTAGATAGAATTTAAACTTGAGATTTATGATCTCCAAATTCCATGTTATTTTCCACGCGGGATTTTTAAATTTCTATGTTCTTTTAACCAAACACCGGAATTGGTTCATGTCAATTTATTTGGGTGACTGATTTAAAACACGGAATTTAACCTTTAATTGTAAAGTTATCTTTTTTTAAAACTCAATCTCTCTTGGGACTTTAGAAATGACAACTTTTAGATAGAATTTAAACTTGAGATTTATGATCTCCAAATTCCATGTTATTTTCCACGCGGGATTTTTAAATTTCTATGTTCTTTTAACCAAACACCGGAATTGGTTCATGTCAATTTAGAAATTCTGAGTTTTGTCAAAATCCCAAGTTTATTTCCCTCATCCAAACGCACCATTACATCTATAACTAATTGATTATAGTCTATATGGAATATCAATTAATATGAACAAAATCCTTGTCAACACAATTAGTTTACCAAAATTCATATCAAATATGAACAAAATCCATGTCAATTACATAATTAATTTAACAAAAGTCAATACCAATTAATCTAACCAAAATCAATGCCAATTAATCTAACCAAAAGCACATGTGATTTGGAGGTCACAAGATAAAAGTATACGTGATTAAAAGTTCGGGGTAATTTTCGGTGAATTTTTCGAAACACATATGAGTTTTTAATGAATTTTTTAAGTTAGGCCAATTAAAAATAGACATATTTCATCTTGCTATTGGACCATTTTAAAAAAATCAAAACGAGAAGCGCTGAGTCTTCTTCTTCCTCGAACTATGGCTCTGCAACTTAACTTCACATATTCTATAAAAATTTCGAAAATTCATAACTTTGGTTGTGGAGCTCCGATTGATGAACCGTTTTCTCCTACATGCTCGTGAGATCGAGCCCAACAATCTAAGGTAAATATTCAGGGTCTCACTTAGCAAAGGGGCAAATTCCGGCTTCCCCAAGGAAGCTTTCGGTGAGGGGAGATGTAGCTGCACCTCCTTGCGCCTATGTGGATCCACCAGTGTCTGCAAGAAGATTGTATTTCAAATGATTAAGAGCAGATAGCCGTGCACCCAAGGTCTTATATTCGAATCCCCATCACTCAAGTATAGCTTGTTTCCAAAAAAGAAAAAGAATCTTAGGTTTGCTAGTTCAGGACTAGGCCCAACTTCATTTTAATTTTTGGGTCACCAACTTCATCAATGAGTAACATAGCCTGCTATCAAGTGAGTCCAATGCTGAAGAGTGCTGTGCTTATAGCTGATTGTCATCAGCCCATATATTTGTTAAAAGCCCACCAAATTAAGTTGATGGTAGGTTTGATCCAACCCAACCTCAAAAGCACTTTGATTTTGTCGTGCATATGTTCCTGAAGATTGCACAGTACGTATGAATGATTTGATACGTACTATGAGGCCCAACCCAAGCACCAAATTCATGGCATGCTGCATGGATATTCTGACAACATTCGCTAAGAAACCAAACATTACTTTGAAAAAACACAATCACAAAATCGTTGCAGTTTCATTGTACTTTTGCAGGTTGCATAACGAAGAAAAAAATAGAGTAAAAACAATTACATTTGAACAATTCAATTGAATTTTTCTGCGATTGAAAACTCCGCCATCAAGACTTGAACAATCACACGAATCTCGAGGCATCTCCCGATCGCATCAATGTAGTTCCTCCTTTTGTATTGTTGATCATCAAACCATCTCAGAATATATCGAGGATCTCGAGGATTGAACGGTTGCAGAGGGGACAAGACCCTCGATTCAACCACACCTCCCTCGAACACACTCTGCAAAAGGTGTGCCCACATGGGATGAAAGCTGCACCTTTCTTCCTGCTCATGCACACGCAGCACACCGTATCATTGCCCAGCCCTCCCTCTGCTTTGTCGCTCTCTGCCGTCGCACCACCAAACGCATCACAGCCGTCCACTTCCGTTTCCTCCAGCAATCTCATCAACGACACTCTCGTTGGCGTGCCAGGTGCCGTTGCTACTGCACTTCCGACACCAGCGGGCCCCAACACCGACCCTCCTCCGTCCGATTCTTGCGGTGCCCGAAACTGACGCTCGGCTGCTAAGGCGGCAGCCAAGTTCATGCCCGACCCGGTCGAAATCGGACCCACGCAATCCGGATCCCAATTGTTGACCGGTTGAGCCTGGCCCACCACACTTACAACTCGTTGTTGTGGTGGTAGTGGTAGATGATGTTGCTGATGATGGTTTTGTGGTTCTTGGTCGTCCTCATCGCCATCTCTTACGCTTATCGCCGCCGTTCGTCCAAAAACCCAGGCGGCCCCACAGCAGCCAAACCCATTCAATCTGAGCCTTTGCTTGAAGGTCCTCCTCCCGCCTCTCGTTCCATCCGTATCGTCCATTTGTTCCCTCAGAATTTCAAGAACAGTTCTTACTTCCCTCTCTCGACGCACCGTTTCCTGCAATATCACACTGAGTTGACTCATTCTTCAACACCCACCAAACCCAAAAGAAGAAAACAGAGATACAGCAGAGAAAGAGAATTGTTGTAAGGATGAGATGAAAAAGACGTACAGGTCTGGATTAAAGAGAGGGCTCTGTCCATGGAAAACCCGTGAGTATCTTCAAGAAGGAGAAAAGTAGTTAGCCCAGCACCAATCTCGCTGATCAAATAGGAGAAGCCGACAGTGACCAAACGTCATAAGCAAAAATCTGGGCCAATATCATTAACAAAAAAAGCAAGATCGGATGATTGGGTTTTGGAGGACGCTCTGGGTTTGTGAATTGTGAGCTGATGCCCAACTCTTTCGTTGAAAAAGAAGGATTTTGGAGTTGAAAAAAGGGAAAAGAGACAAAATAGAAGAAGAACGAAAGCAAACAAAAGGAACTACTTTACAGGGTTTCTGTGTTCTCTCTTGGGCTGGGAGCAACTCAAGAACTAGTTTTTTTTGTGTTGGGTGTATTGGTGGGAATTCATTTATAAAAATCAAAATTTATTTTGAACAGAGAAAATTGGTTGGTTTTGTATTTGATTTCAGGTAGCTTGGGCTGGTGTTCTTTGTACGCTGGCTGGCTGGTCGCCGGCTAGAATAAAGTCAAAAGCCCTGGAAGCCGGCGCGTCAATCGATACTCTGCCAAGTGGCACTACCCTCCAACGCTTGAGTTTTGTTTGTTTATTTAATATACGACAATTATATTTTATTTTCATGGATGTGCTCTTATATACATTGTTAATCTTGTATTTAAAAGCAATCTCAAACAATCGAATGCTCCAAAACTATGACTTCAATGCCAATGCTTCAATTGGTATGAAAATCCTGTTTTTTTTTTTTTTTTTTTTTTTTTTATTTTATATTATAATATATATATACCTACCCATTCTTCTTCTTTACTTTTTCTTTTTTGCCCAATGCATATCCTCTATTTATGGTCCTTGGATCATTCCTATATTCGGCTAATTCATCCCGCCAAAAAAAGAAAACAAATTCAATCACAATTTTCACGACCTCAGAATGCATGTTAAAGATCGGAAAACGGGGAGCTGAATTGCTAACATTACTAGCTCTCGCTCATCACCGACATTTTTCTAGCACGACGTCGATGTAGAAAATGAACACATAAATAATCACAAGGGCAAAATGAGGTCAACCCCGAGCTCATTTATTTGTAAAATTGGTAGGCGACTTTATGCGAGGTTGGTGTGAGTTCAATCATTATTGGGTATGCGCCATGATGTAACTGAAAAAAGTTTGTCCCTCTACAAATAAAAGGGCATGGCATTGATTGCGCAAAATAGAGAAAGAGGAATATATGCCATCGCGAGTGAGTGAGAGAGCGAGCAACTTAGCAAACAAAGCATATCTGATTAGCGAATAGAGTGAGTGATGGTGGATCAATCAATCAACTGCTTAAAAAGGAAGAAAATCATTGAAAAGCCTAAAGCCTAACCTAATTATGTATTGTGATTAATAATTTAATAACGTGAATTCGCAACCTCGAGTGGTCCCTCTCGTGGGTTATCATCTAATTTAATAATAATTTATACCCATTTTACAGGTTTCTTAATTCTAATGGGTTTATGGTCAATATTCGGCTGGCAGCGGCAGGCAAGCATATAATTGTAAATATTCATCTCCATATAAGTCATCAATGATTGGCAAAGTCCTCAATATCGCGTAAACAATTCTACACAAAATTATTTTTATAGTTGCCATTGGTACCATTGGTACATTACATACATGGAGTTCAAGCAATGACGACGTCTTTTGATATTTAGACACAACCCTAACTCAAACCTGGACTGGACCTGCAAATTTCTTTTACTTATTTCCTTCACAATTACAGCCCGCCCAAGCTTGAAGCTTCCTCCTTCACCCTTTTCCCCAAGCCCCAAACCCCACTTGCAAGGCCCAACCCAACCCAAATTTCAATTTAAACAAAAACTATAATGAGCTGTTGATCAATAGTTGCAAATCTAAAACACGCACAACGGCACAATGTAAAAGAGGTCAGAAACACTTTACATGAAAAGTTATGTTTTGCGCGATAATTTTTTAATATGGCAGTTTGTGATTGGTTGGGTATAACAAAATGATGTTATTCATGTTTCATACAAGTTTATGAATTGAAAGGTATAATAAGCAACAAGATATAATCCAGTAAAAAAAAGTGTTGACTTGTAAACTGGTGGTATCATGTTCGAATTGTCATGAAATTAGTGTGTGTGAGAAAAACGTCATTTCTTAATAAACAAGGACAACAATTAATAAGCATGAAAATATTTGAGCCAAATCACTCACTCATTCATTTCGCACGTAGTTGTAGATGAAAGTGACCAAACAGGATAATAGAGTCGGGAAGCCAATAAAATAGCCCATTGCCAAAATCATATAAGCGTCCTCCTCCTCTCCGGCTCCACCTCTTCCCCTATCTTCTCCTCATGTGATTTGTCTTTTCATTACGCGCTATCGACGTGTCATAAAGTTTATAGCTGTGGACAGCATCCGTGTCTACTTCTCCCACATGATTTAGAGACTGCGAGTCCCATTTTACCCTCACCACCAAAGCACATAAGAACAAACTAATTAGGGACATAAGTGTCCTTTTAAACACCATTTGCCAAGCATGACAAGGCAACAGTACCAAAACTACCAGAAAGCCTGCAACTCCCTCCCAATTTCGAGCCCTTTCGCTGCTGCTTAAATTTGCTCAACCACTTTCTACTCTCTCTCTCTGTAATTCAAGAAAAGAAAAAGACGAACATGGCCTTCGCTTCGCAGCTAAACCAATTCCCCTGCAAGATGCTATCGCTAAACCCAGCGCACCACCGTCTCGCCTCCAAGCCCTTCTCCCTCTTGTTCGCGCCAAACTCTGTCGTGCTCGCCGCCAAATTCAACAACCAATTGAAATTCTCCACCCATGAGTTCGTCGGGACCCGACCTGCTACCCGGCTCCGGGTGGTGGACGAGGACGAATGGGGCCCCGAGAAGGAGACCGAGTCGGCTGTGGCTGTGGCTGAGGATGACAAGCCGGGTGAGCCCGAGCCAGCCGAAACCAGTAGGCTGAAGAAGGCTCTGGTAGACTCGTTTTACGGAACTGATCGTGGACTGAGCGCCACCAGCGAGACCCGGGCCGAGATTGTGGAGCTTATTACTCAGTTGGAGGCCCAAAACCCGACCCCGGCTCCGACCGAGGCCTTGCCTCTGCTCAATGGCAAATGGATTCTAGCGTACGTAATTAGTCCCATCCATTCATCCCCTTTCACCTAAAACCCTAATTTGACTTTTAATTCGCAGACTGAGTGTTGAAGACAATTGTTTTGCAGGTACACTTCGTTTGCAGGTCTGTTTCCATTGTTGTCCAGAGGAACTCCATTGGTGAAGGTGGAGGAGGTTTCGCAGACGATTGACTCTGAGAATTTCACTGTACAAAATTCTGTTCAGTTTGCTGGGCCATTAGCTACCACTTCTATTACCACTAACGCCACATTTGAAGTTCGAAGCCCAAAGCGCGTCCAGGTCTGGTCAATTCATTTCCCTTTTCTTTGCTTCCATTAGTGTTTGCATAAATATGATTGGAGTTACTTTCTACACAAAACCAAATCAGATTAATTAATTGTGTGTCCTAGTGTTTATGTCACTCTGGAAAGCTAGCTCATTCAAAAAACAAATATGATTTAGGGTTCTTTGGCACATTGGAAACTGAATTTAAATGAGTTTTTTTTGTTGTTTTTGTTTCCCCGTTAATTTGTTGATTCAGATTAAGTTTGAAGAAGGCGTAATTGGGACTCCCCAGCTGACAGACTCACTAGTGATACCAGAAAATGTTGAGTTTCTAGGACAAAAACTTGACCTCACAGTCTTCAAAAGTTTGCTCACCTCTGTTCAAGACACTGCTTCATCTGTTGCAAAGACCATATCCAGCCAACCCCCGTTTAAGTTTTCCATCTCAAACAGCAAAGCTGAATCATGGTTGCTAACCACATACCTTGATCCCGAGCTTCGGATTTCAAGGGGAGACAACGGCAGCGTGTTCGTGTTGATCAAGGAAGGCAGCTCCCTCTTGACCCCTTGATCAAACTCACAAACAATGTACTTGTTCAAGGATAGGGGGATGTAATTTTCTACAATGAATTATATGAATAATGTAATCACTGGATTGTACGTATAGTATACACACTCTTTGGTGACAGAACAGATCTTGAGGAAAAATGTTGTGCATTAAACTTGAGTGGTCAAGGATAAACAAACATGGCTCCCCTGTTTCAGTGAAAAATTGAAGTTCGGTCTAAATTTATGTATTTCTTGAGCAGAGGGATTGCACAGCCAGATACGGATAAAACAAGGGATTTGAATAATGTAACAATAGTAAGAAGGAACAACATCAACAACCATGGCAACCCCATTTAATTTGTAAACCCACAAGTTAGATGCGGCTTTCTTAATTTCATTAGTCCTTAGGAATCATGTGGTGCAGGCAGAATCCACAATCTTCAGCTAAGTAACCTTTCTTTTCTCTCTCTCTCTCTCTCTCTCTCTCGGAAAGAGCATAAACAAATAGTAACTTTAGATATTCGTTTTATGCTTTATATTTTCCAACTTTGCTAATTTATTAAGCAAAGTATTGTATATCAAAGTCTACAGTCTTAAACAAATGAACTAAGCAAAGGCAGATCCCTGTACTGTACGGATCCTGTATACAGCTAGTAACCTTCAATTTTCGTTTATGCTTATATTTTTCAACTTGGTTAATTTAGTACGCAAAGTATTTTATATCAAAGTTTAACGCGAAGCAAAAACCACCACACAGAGCAGGAGCAAGTAGAGATGGACGACTTAGAGATAGAGAACGAAGAGATGGCGTACTGGAAAACGGACAAGGTTCTTCTTAAAGACGAGGGAGAGAGTGCAAGTAAAATTGAAGAAATGAAACTTCCTTACGATCAAGCCATGGAGAATGACTGGGAAGGGATGAAGAGATACTACGTGGAAAATCCGCAAAAACTGAATTCTCCAATGACAGTGGACGAAGACACTGCATTGCACATCGTAGCTTCCTGCTGCAGGAGAAAATCACAGGGCAAACAAGTCCTTGAATTCTTGATTAATTTATTGCCACCAAGCTATTATGAAAGATGCAAGGCCGTGAGGGTTCCAAATAAACTCGGCAACAACGTTCTTCACGAGGTGGCGATGTCCGGCAATTTGGAGGCAGCAACTTTCTTAGTGAAAAACTTCAACAAACCCGCAGGAAAAACTAGTAACGAGGAGAATTCTACACTGCCTCTGCTAGATATTCGGAATGAATTAGGAGAATCACCATTGTACAGGGCTGCTGCTCTTGGTCACCCTGACCTGGTTCAGTTTTTTGCTGACGAACTGGAGGAGAATCCGGAGAATCTTCGGAGGCACTTCCACCGAAATGATAGAATGTCCATTCTTCATATTGCAGTCATTGGCCAAAAATTTAGTCTCTCTCTCTCTCTCTCTCTCTCTCTCTCTCTCTCTATATATATATATATATATACATATATGTATAATGTACGCAGTGCACATTAATTTATACAACTGTTCTTTTGGCATCCAAAATGCAGGGACTGCTCTTTGGTTGCAGAGCAAGTACCCATTTCTTTCAACTAAGAGGGAAGGTAAAGGATTGACGAGCCTTCAATTGCTAGCCCAAATGCCAACTGCCTTCACACCGCAATTTCAACAAAGTAGATGGAAGATGCTCATATATCATTGTATGATGGTTAAGCCTTGCAGTTTAATTACAGCACATCAGTTAACAGATGCTCAAGTTTTATGACATTGACATGCATATTAATTCTTGTTATACATGCTGCTGCAGGCCTTCCTGCTCGAGACCTGGAGGTCACAGCAAATCCCAAGGATGATGTGGAGAGCAGCTTGGGCAGCAACCAACCCCCCCAAGCCATCTCTTGGAAGAAGCCTGAAGGTAATCAAAATAATTTGTGATCTAAGTAATTGTTAACCAGATTTTTTGAACTAATATTTATATATTATACATACAAGTTTAATATAGCTAGGATCCTGATGAAGATGCATGCATAAAATTGCAGGTATTCTGAAGATGTACACTTCCCTGTGGAACTTCCTTGCTAAAGGTTGCTTAGTTTCTGGCTTTTATATACCATATGATGCATGCATGCTTGCTTATTTCATTTCTCTTTCATTATTCTCTTATACAATAACTAATCGTGTATAAGCTTGACCATGATGGATAGAAATGGACATAATCGAAAAGATCTGGAAGGACAAGAGAATTAAACATGCTCTTAAAAAACTCATCCCTTTGCTCGTCGAGAAAGACAATTCATGGCAGAATTCTAAAGAAGCAAAAGGCAAGACGATTTCTCTGGGGTCAGTGGAAAATCTTTGTAAGGGTGATAATGATGGAGGAGATAAAAAAGGAAAGGATTCCGCAGAACCAACCAATTCTAAGAAGCAAAGCATTTATAAGTATAACCCATTGCTTATAGCAACTATCACTGGAATTGTGCCTATTGTTGCAGAGATACTTAGGCAGCATCCTCAAGCAGCTGAGCACGTTAGTGATAGTGAACAGAACATTTTGCATCTGGCCATTAAGCACCGTCAAAGAGAGATCCTTGAGCTTCTAAAAAGGAAGCCAACAACCATCTCAAGGTTGAATGAGATGATTGACAGTGACGGCAACACCATATTGCACCAAGCTGCAGATAGGAGCTACTACTCTGTAGCAATTTCTCAGAATTTAATTGGTCCAGCCATGCAATTGCAAGCAGAGTTGCGTTGGATGATGGTGAGATCCCTTTTATATCCACATTTACTTAATTATACATTTCTTCTCTGAACAAGAAGGAAAGACTGACAATAGATAACATGTCAATAGCAAAATTTTCATGCTAAGCTAACTAATTGGCCATTGTGAGGTTTCTTAACTTTCCAATGCGGAACATTCTTCACATTCTCACAACTTACTAGTCCATCGGTCAACTTGATAGCTGTGTGTGTTCTTCGTCCAGGGTGTGAAAAACATAGTACCACCTCATTACATCATGCACCACAACAACAAGGATCAGACAGCGGAGGAGCTGTTCAATGATGAGCATAATGAGCTTCTGAAGTCAGCACAAGAATGGATAAAAGACACAGCTGAGTCGTGCTCAACTGTGGCGGTGTTGGTGTGCACCGTGGTCTTTGCAGCCGCCTACACCATGCCTGGGGGTAACGATCCAAATGGCCTTCCCGTTTTCCATGATTCTCCTCTCTTCTGGCTCTTCACCTGCATGGATGTCGTGGCCATCGCCTGCTCATTGTCTTCGGTAGCCTTTTTCCTCTCTATCCTGTCCTCTCCCCTTGAGTATCCATTTTTCTGTCACGTTCTTCCCCGCAAGCTCATGATTGGGTTCACCTTGCTCTTCTTGTCAATGGCAACCACCATGCTCGCCTTTGCTGCTACCATTTTGCTTGTGATTCGTATCGAGAAGAAATGGACTAAGTCTCTGCTTTACACTATTGCCTTTTTTCCTGTCCCTCTATTTGGCTTGCTGCAATTTCCTATGTACCAGTCTTTCAAAGAAATATGTCATAAAATTACCAAGATTTTCCGCCCCTTCTTCGTTCCCTTTCTTGGCTTTTCCAAGAGGAGATCAATATGTGGTAAGAGCAAGGCGAACTGAATCACAAAACTAGAGTGAAGCAGTACTATTTGATGATTTGTACAATTTTAGTCCGTCTTCAATCTTCATTCGCAATTAATATGGACAATAAGAAGAATATGAAGGGCCTTGTCATTAATTGTATGCTAATAAAGATTCAGTATCATGGTTTTGTTTGATTTGCAATTATGATTTGGGTTTATTATATACAAATTTGTATCTGCTCTGGTTAAGGTGTCTAATGTTTATTTTGCATATAAGACTTGCTTCTGTGTCTTTAAATTTGGTGCTTTTTCCTGCTTGGGAAAAGATTAAACGCTGTTAAATGTTATTAACCACTTGCGTCAACCATAAACACATATTACCATGAAAATCGGCTCATGAATGAAGTTACATAAGGACAACTACAATGGCAAATTTTTCAGTATCATCCCATAATCCTCCTTTCATTTGTATGCTCAAATAATTGGCACTGTTTCATCAATTAATGGAATTTACATAAGAATAAATCAGAATAAACTTGATGAAACGCCTCCGTATATATACCATTTTCATACACTGGCATGGAATGTTTTCAGTTGGAGAAAACTTGAGTTCTCACTTGGGCCAGGTTCTCAGGGACAAATAAATATACAACCCATTTGAAGTTCGAAGCCCCAAGCGCGTCCAGGTTTGGTCAATTCATTCCCTTTTCTTTGCTTCCATTAGTGTTTGCATAAATAAGATTTTAGGTTTGATTCTTCCTCTGCTAATATGGCTTGTAAAAATAAATAAAAATATAAGTCCGGTTACTTTCTGCAGAAACCAAATCAAGGGAGACAACCCTTGTTTAAGTTTTTCCGTCTCAAACAGCAAAGCTGAGTCATGGTTGCTAGCCACATACCTTGATCCCGAGCTTCGGATTTCAAGGGAGACAACGGCAGTGTGTTCGTGCTCATCAAGGAAGGTAGCTCCCTCTTGACTCCCTGATCAAACTCACACACAGAGTAAGTTTTTATTGTGTGTTATGTACTTGTTCAAGGATAGGGGGATGCAATTTTCTATTATGAATTATATGAATACTCCAATCACTGGATTGTACGTATAGTATACATTCTTTGGCGAAAGAACATTTCTTAACTTAAATCATGTGATGCACGCAGAATCAACAATCTTAAGCTAATTAACCAAGCAAAGGCAGATACTTGTACGGATCAAGCATAGTGATAGTAACCTTTCTTTTTTCCTCATTTTTTTTTAACTTTCGGAAAGAGCATATACAAATAGTAACTTTAGATATTCGTTTTATGCTTCATATTTTCCAACTTTGCTAATCTATCAAGCAAAGTATTGTATAAAAAAAAGGCAGATCCCTGTACTGTACGGATCCTGTAAACAGCTAGTAACCTTCAATATTCGTTTATGCTTTATA